GCCCAAAAAATATTTTTTGGTCGTCGTCGTCGAAGAGGTCGACCCCCGGATCCAGTTTGGCTGGTGGCGACATTGCGAAATCTGGGATTGGCAATCTTGATCGTGAAACTGGCACCCAAGGTGCAGTTGGCCAAGCCGAGCACATTGCTCTAATAAAAACCCCACGTTTCATTGTATAGTTCGGAGATACAGGCACCTTTATGTTTGTAAGCGTGATGCTATATGAAGAGTGGTCTTTGTTCATTGTCAAGTAGGTGGACCCTGGCAGAGCAAAAGATGCAGAGGGACCTCTTTGGGTAACTCAGCTAAAAAGTCAGGACTTCAGGGACAATGCATGAAAGGTACGCAACCCTCACATTTATGTCATACATTGACAGCTAATAGCCACTTTTGTGCATTCCCAACTTTTGTGCATTCTATTGTAGGTGGACGATGCTCCTGCTCTAGACATTCATTTCCATGATTAAAGTAGGTTGATCCGAGCTGATTTGGTTGAGTTACGCTCACACAAGATTACATCGGTTGAGCTACATCGAGCGTGCTTTATGTCCAGAGTGATGTAATCTCTCTTTGACCGCAGCTCAGTCAAATCAGCTCGGATCAACCTACTTTAATCATGGAAATGAATGTCTAGAGCAGGGGCATCGTTCCCATGCAGTGGATCTCGCAACAATGATGATTGGATAAAAGTGGCCGTTAGCTAGCAATACATGCCTGTTCCTAGATGACCCATAAAGTAATTATACATTGACCCTTTCATTCATGCAAACGTAGCTGTGTTACACAACACGACCCTCTGCATCTTTTGCTCTGCCAGGGTCCACCTACTTGACAATGAACAAAGACCACTCGTCATATAGCATCACGCTTACAAACATAAAGGTGCCTGTATCTCCAAACTTTACAATGAAACGTGGAGTTTTTATTAGAGCAATGGGCTCGGCTTGGCCAACAGCACCTTGTGTGAAAGTTTCGCGTTCAATGTCGCAAACAGCCCAAAAAATATTTTTTTGGTCGTCGTCGTCGAAGAGGTCGACCCCCAGATCCAGTTTGGCTGGTAGCGACATTGCGAAATCTGGGAATGAAGCGTGAGGTCTTCATTAGAAAAAGTTGATCAGCATGTCCCAGCGAACCTTCTGACAAAGTTTCAGGCTTAAAATGGGGAACCCCAAGGTAATGCATACTATTTCTATAAATCATGACTCTGGGGCCGACGTGCATTTCCCACTTACATAGTAAACCCCACATTGCACCCTCCCATTCCAAATTTTCAAATGAAACATGAGGTCCTTTATAGATCAACGTGATCAGCATGTCCAGGAGAATCCTGTGTGAAAGTTTCAGGTTCGAGAGGGGCAATCTCAATATCAAGGTTTGATGTACAGTGTGCATGCATTTATACAAGAGGTGTCCGACCTCTTTAATTTCCACTTCTTCCGCTCCCACAACTTCTTGTCTCTTCCTCCCATTCTCAACTGTTGCCCCATTCAAGTACAACTTCCACATGCGAACGATTGTCCTGTTTCAACCCGCCATGTCAACCCTACAACTGCCTTGATCCGATTGTCTTTGACTGAATGGCGTGGTGTCCACAGCCTTCTTGTCACTCTTCTACAACACACGCCTTCTTGAAAGTACATTGTCTTGCACATTCCTCTGCCAGAACCAATCGTAACAGCAGCTGCCATCCATTGTCTTAAACAGCATTCACAACCTCGCAACCTACTACAATACACGCTCTTGCATGCTTCTCTCCCACGATCAAACGTAACAGCAGTCGACGTTAGCAGGGCCTTTACTCCATTGTCTCCAACAGCGTTCTTTGCTTGCAGCACCCTGCCTTACAGCCTTCGTTACGAGGACAGCAGATAGTCATTGTATAGAGGCAGCTTTGTTTACGTGTAGCAACTTGCTTCAACAATACATACGACTTCTTATGGATGATGCCATATCAGCTATCAAGTACACCTCACTACAAGCAATCTCTACTTAGTAGAGCTGCGATGGAGAATGAATTAGAAAGGGATGGATCAACAGCCGGATGGAAAAGGAAGCATGCAGCGATTACAATGGCTCTTTGCAACCAACAATTGGGTTTCAATGGTTATGGATGAATGGAGGTATGCAATCAAGTGCAGTGATGGGAAAGATCTCCTGGAATGTTGCTTTGGTTACTTGTCGCGCCATCAGCTTGAAGGATGGATCATATTACTTGGATACGGAGGAGGTTGATGAATGGATTGAATGGGATCGACAAAAGCTCTTTTCTCTTTGACGAAAGGTGTTCTACAGCAGTGGATGATACATATGGAGTACTCGATTCGAATCCTAGATGAAGGATGGCTACATATGATGGCAGCAACCAGGAATACAATGACACCATTATCCCTCTATGTGATGCACCTGTTCCTTTATCACATGTATTTGATAGACACCCACACTACCATATGCTGTATTCTTCAACTTTGTCATTGAATGAAAATGGGATTGAACATAATACTTGGGTTATCATGCTATCAGCTCGTATGGGCAAGATGTGGATCACTTGGTTGGTTTCTGGTTTGAAAGAGGGAACATGTGTCGATATAGCAAACAAAGAACCCAGCAGGGGATAGGATTAAAGGACAACAATGAATACAAGAAGAAGCAATAACAATGAAGAGCTGCAGCATCAGTAATTCGTTGCCCCCCCTCCCTCTAGAAAGGAAAATCTTTGTAGTTGAGGTAAAGCATGTCCCTGCAGGCTTGAGTGGATATTGCTACTTGAAGCATTGAGCACCGCAACGATCGATATGAGTGCATCCATCACCAATGCCCACCACTATTACAACGCCGTCAAGCACAATAAGCGTCGCCTCCCAAAATCAGCTACTTCTATTATGAAATGTAGAAATGATATGCCGTCTCATCTGCTCGTGATTATTAAGCATCGACACTTCATGCTGCGGTTTCGACGCTTTGCATTACGTAAGTCAACTATGTACATTTGACCTTTAACGGGTGACTAATAATTGCGATGATATTGAACACCCGCCCATCTTCGCTACTCCATAGCCATGCGATAATCTATGAGCGTTGATGTTGGATATCGATCTTGTTATCATACGTGAATGATTACAGTATCACAAGCCATGCCGTATTCTGTTGCCAGCAAAATAGCTTTTGGGGCTGTGTTGACATCTTTGATATGCAGCGGCGTAACACAACGATGATGCGGGGGGTGTTTACACCAAGTAGTACGACGATCACAAATAAGCACATTGACTCATCATGCGTGTCCATCATTTTCATTCTACCCGGGTTCGTGGGGTAAGGTAAGTGAGTATTTAAAGCACGATCGATCACTTTTTTTTCCTTATCGCTTTTCAAATCACATCATACATACAAGCAATGACTAAGGAGAACGCAACATTTGGAAAACATCTACGCTCGCAGTTTGTGTTGGATCCCAACTATGTGCCACTGAACCATGGATCCTTGGGTACCTTTCCTCATAGTGTAAGCGAGGCGTTAAAGAAGAACCGAGAGTACGTGGAGCTCCACCCTGATCGCTGGCATCGCGTTGAAGTATTCCCCAAGCTCCGTAAGGCGCGTGAGTCACTCGCTAGGTTATTGCAAGTCGAAGATCCCAGTGATTTGGCGTTTGTACAAAATGCATCAACAGGCTTGGCCTCGGTTTTACGAAGCTTCCCTTTTGAAAAAGGCGACAAGATCATTTGTGTAAGTGTTGTGTGTGTGGGGTCTATGGATGCTTGGATGCCGCAGCAGCATGATGGATAATAGATCAACTGACATTGTATATATAGTTCTCTGTTACATACACAACGGTGCTTAATGGGTCCTTAAAGTTCCTGGAAGATGCTGGGCTTGTAGAACTTGTCAAGATTGATTTGTCATATCCCATGAGTGATGAAGCCGTGATTGATTTGGTTCGAGAAGCAATCCAACAGCATCATCATCAAGATAAGCCTATTCGTATGGCTGTGATGGATGCTATTTCGTCCCTGCCGGCAGTGCGATTTCCTTTTGAAGCTGTGACACGTTTAGTTAAAGAGCACAATATCCTTTCTCTTGTTGATGGTGCACACACGCTTGGTAAGCCATCCTTATAACCTTAATAACTTTCTCACACTCACGTGTTTATGTGACATGCTACTAGGCCAAATACCTTTGGATCTCACTACTCTGGATCCAGACTTTTTCGTAGCCAACCTGCACAAATGGTTATATGTACCTCGAGGTGCCTCTGTTCTTTACGTCCCCAAGCGCAATCAACACCTTGTACGTCCCTTGTCAATCACTCCGGCTAATGATTTCAACAAAAAGGTGAACAAAGTGCCCTTTGAGCAAGATTTTGGCGATCCAGGCATCTTTGATCACAGCCCCTTTATTTGTATTCATGCAGGTAAATGTCTTTGTTTCCATGTTTCCCACGGCATGATATCAATTGTATACACATCCATCTATGATAGCACTCGAATTTCGTGAATCGCTTGGAGGTGAAGAAGCTATTATGAAGTTCACTCATGAGATGGCGGTCAAGGGTGGTGCTCTTGTAGCTGAATTGCTAGGCACATCGGTTATGGAGAACCCCGAAGGCACATTAACTGCTAGCATGGTCAACGTTGAATTGCCACTCAAGGAATCAAAGTACAGTGATGGTGAAACAGAGCGCTTGTTCATCGAAAAGATCATCTATGAACACAATTGTATGGCTCCTGCTTTCAAGCATAATGGCAAATGGTGGGTGCGTTTATCTGGTCAAGTATACAATGATCTCGACGACTTCAAGTATGGTGCCAAAGTCATCCAACAAATTTGCAATGAACTTCAAAAGTAGTAGTAGAAGTAGAAGTACTATTCTTACACGAATAAATTGTGAGCTGTTTAATCCTATTTTTGAATAGACAAAGAAAAAGCATTCACACAAAGAGAGGAGGATGTTGTGATTGCGTGTGGGTGTGATATGGGTGTGTGTGTGTGTACATGTGGGGTGTAAAGTATACAAATCGTCTAATCGATCAACCGCTTTCGTCTGAAGAAACGACGCAAATACAAGACTTGCCATGTGCCAAGGGTAACCAAGGTAAAGAGAGAAAGCAAGCTGAACCACTTGACACGTTCGTTGGTCGATTCTAAATGTTCCACGTGATATTACTATTTGATCCCTATCCTGGACACCGTTTTCATTTGATCTTACCATTGGTATCACGCATGCGTGCCTCACGTCGCTTAAGGTAGTTCATCTCGCCAACAACCTCCTTGACAATCGTCTCCAACTTGCGTAACTCAAGCTCCAAAGGACCCAACTTTTCAGTCTTTGCAATCTTGTCGAAATCCACAGCTTCGGCACCAATATTCAAGTCGAATTCAATGGAACGTGAAAAGCCCTGTTGCTCGTTGAAGCCTACGTTTATAATGAGTATCTCTCCATGACTACCACTTTGATCCTATTCCTTACCTTCAGGAAGCACATTGGTGAAACATGTATGGACGACACTGTTGGCAAGTGTGTTGAAGGCGTTCTTGTTCTCACCAGAGATACCCTTCTTTTTCGCGTATACATTAGGCGTCTCGGCGTCATCGACAATCTACTTGCACGTTTCAATACACCATGCTATCATATACACGTTCTTTGCAATCTTCACCTCCAAGTCGACACGTTGATTGTAACCAGTGCCAACGTTAACGGTTGCAAGCACCAATGTATCCTTTGGCACGTAATGCGACAGACATCGTTTACCGGATTCGATATTGGCAGGGGCGACGGCGTGAAGGTCAAACTTGACAGCCGAGGTTAATGAGGACAAAAAGCATGCCACCACGAGAACAATGAGACACGCTCGCAGCATGTTGGTAATGATGGTGACCAGATGAAGACCAAGCGGAGAGAAAGAGAGGAGGTCCTTTGCAGTGGATTCGTCCCAATACGCGTTGTTGCCTGGTTGGTACTGGACACCCAGCAAATGAAATGGAGGATCCTGATTGGCCACCTTACTGCTGGCCCTGGATACCAACGGATTGCTGACTTGGAGATACAACTCCCACATGTTGCACGGTACATTGTAAGCTATGTTGCTCTTTATACGACAAATGTTGGATCAATTTCTGTAAAAGATGACTGAATAAGGATCAATAGGAGATCATCAAGGATCGATTGCCGAATCTGGATTACTCTTGCCAAGGTGTAGAAAGGGAAAAAGAACCTTTGGGTCGAAAGTAAAAGGCAAGGACATAGCTGAATGATGTGCTGCATGAATGATACTAACCAACAAAGGATTACCGATATACTCAGAACACAAAGGAAACAAAACACGGATCAAAACGGAAGAGGTTGTCTTTCAACGGCTGCTGACAATGATACACAATGCCTCGAGAATCATCCAGAAAGCTATCGGAAGCAAATCGCCGAGGGGGAAGAAGAATGTCAAGGAAACAGGTTGTGTTTGCAAATGGCCGAGAATGGAAGTGGTGGTGGGCAAGGTCACAAAAGGTAAATAGCCGCCATATGAGATGATGCTTCCAGCAGCAAGGGTCATTCATTCATTCATTCATTTGATCATTCCATTGTTGTTATTATTGCTCAGCAGCAACAGCAGCTAGCCAACTCAGGTGATGGACCGATCCAAGAGGACACATGCCACGACTACTACCAAACAACTTTTTACCGATACCAACAAGGAGGACGACCTTGGCATTATCCAACAACAACAACTTGTTGGGGAAGATGAGCAAGGGAATGGTGAAACAAGAGATTAGCACCACTTTTGAGATAGATGAGATTTTTATTCATGCAGCACCGTTTTACATAAAAATATCATTTGCGTCAATCGGGTGTCATTTCTATTTGTTCCTCGGATTCCCTTCCCTTCATCAACACCCCTTGTACTCGACAGCACGTGTTTTTTGCGTAAATGATAAACACATGCCAGATACCATTTTCATGGCCTGTTGCAAACAAACCCTCGGTGGTTGACATGCCGGCATATACACACCACTTGAACACTGTGGGAAAAGAGCACAATTCTTGTGGTCCCTCTACTTGCCTCTTCTGCAAATGTTGTTTGACATGGCTGAATAAGACCTATTTAATCACTAAATCTTTGGCCAGAACATGGGTTGCTCAAAATACAAACCTTGCCCAGTAAAATGTATCGTGGTAGGGTGTATGTATAAATACACAAGCCAAGTTAGAGGTTGCTATTATGCATCAGCACATCTTGTTGGTACATAGCAGGTCAACCGATGCTGCATTTAGCAGCAGCATCAAATGGGGAAAATAGGCGATGGACAATGGACCAACCATATTTCAAGAAAACCTACGATGGATGGTGTGTGTAAGATCGTCGGTACAACTTGGCCACTATTTAAAGCAGATTTATCTTGGGGGGAAGGACAAATGCTTGTTGTTGCCTCGGGCCTTGAAGATCCAGAATCCAGAAAAGGAGCTCTTGTACACCCAAGTGAAGCTTCGGCATTTTCCCATGTGGCCCATTTCAAATCTTTAGGTGTAACATGCCGTATGGACCCTGCTGGCCCATTCAACTGCCTATACTATGGATTTACTTATTACCCTAGTATGATCTCAGTTCTAAAATTTACATGATCAGATAGTCTATCATCAATGCCCGCCCACACTTCTGACTATCAAAAAAAGCTTTTTTTATCATCATATGAATAAGCACTAGCGTCCATCAAGTTGTTGTTTGCTCGTTTTTAAAAGTATCAGGTGATATGGGAACACAATGCAGAAAAAGAAACAGCGTGTGTATATGAGATGATTAAGGAGTGTGCTTCATTCACGAAAGAAACGCCAGCAAACAGCTGGTTTGTGCACATTGAAAAAGGGATTCCGCGGAAATACTTGTTACACCATGCAAGGAATTTTGGCTTTGGAAGCATCCGGGGTGCTTCAACATGATTGGTGCTTACAGCTGTTTGTCCTCTTTCCCTTTTATGCAGGCTGACCATATAAAAGCCCATAGAGAAAAACTCCCATCAAAGCTTCTTGTCGTCTCTCCCTAGTCATGTTTGCGTACCCAACATTCTCCAACAACAACTATCCTTTGGCAAACACAAAGCCACAAGCTCCACAATCTCCACCAGCAACAACATCCACCATGTATGTACTTGCTGCAAAACCATATCTCATGCAGCAACAACAAAGGACGCGGCACTCACCATTCATTTGTGTGTGTATTAGATATGATGATGGAGCCTTTGTATCAAGCGAATACAAGACGTATCCAGTGGATACAACGATCCAGCACTGGTAAGTGCATCCCTATGGCGCCATCCATGTCATGCTTATTGACATACTACATCCATGTAGGCAGTTAAGGAATCTCATCCATTGCCCCAAAGCACACAACGTGCTTCATCCACAACCCAACGCATTGAATATGGTGAGTGTGTGTATATACATTTTCAAGAGATGAAAGGAAATGGGTGTGTATGGAGCATCATGCTGACACTCAATGCTGGTTGTAGTTTAACACAAAGACCGGAGAGGACACTACCATCTTATCCGATCTTCCTTTTACCCCAACCACCATGGACACTGCGTAAGTGTTTTGGCTTGCATATACAAAATTCTCTTTATGTGTCGATCTAATCTATGGGCTCCCCCCAAAAAATTAGGTTTGGATATATTGCGATTGCAGGGCCACGAGGCATGGGCATGGTGAAAGAGCTGTCGGGATCATGGTAAGTTTATTTTTTTTTTCTCAATCCGCTCCACACTATGGAGTATGAAAAAGTTGCAGGAAAAAAAACTTTTTGGAGACTAATGGCGCTATTATCTCTTTAGGTCGGCTCATTTCACCGCAGGTCCCGGAATGAACAACTCTATCACCTTATCCAAACACCATAATGAGGTCAGGGTAACGGTGTGCAACAATGACCAATCGGTGTGCATTATGTCGGTGCCCAACATGGAAAAGATCACAACATTGAAAATGCCAGCAGCTATCAATCATGGTATGTGTGTGTGTGTGTGTGAATGAAGGAAGGAAGGGAGGAGGAATAAGATTGTATGATGACTGACTTTGGGTTCAACAATAGCATCTGTCAGCCCAAATGGTCGTATGATGTTGATGGTGGGCGACAATGGAATGGTGTACCTTTACGAGATCACAGCATCAGATGACTACAAGCAAATGGCCGTATATCAAGGTAACGTGCTTTTATTGGGTTATTCTCCCACCACCACCCTTAAAACAATGTTCACTCACACACAAGGTATATAGCTTCAGAAGAACCAGCCTTGTCATGCGCATGGAATCAATCATGTGACAAGTTTGCAGTGACATCGCAGGACGGCATCATGAGTATTTGGCAGGTCGGCAACCCGGAACCACTCCACAAAGTTGCTTCGACCGAGACACGTAAAACACGCAAGGCACCCCGTGCTATCCAATTCAGCAAAGGCCCTTTGGACTTATTGGCCTATTCAGAACATGTATCCACCGTCAACATTATTGACACCCGGACATTTGAAACTCGCCAATTGGTGCGATTATCACCACGCCGTGACATGGATTATCATATCAGTGGTATGAGCTTTTCTCCTGACAATCGTTATCTTTATGTGGGATTTGAGGATGCCATTATTCAACTTGATGTTGACGTTTGTGCACGTCGCCAATTTGGCAGCTCACGTCTTTGTTAATATGTTTCATTATTTTCTATTACTACACTACTCTATATACCCCACCCAACACCAACTCCATGACATCTAAGCACATTTCATCTCACTCACTCACACACATTGATTCATTGTCGTAATGCATTTTCCTTTCTTTTTTGTTTCATTGGCATTAAAAAAACTATTCATTTTGCGTATTCCTGGGTTCCTAATTCTACCGGTGTCTGAAATCCGTGAAAACAACAAATGCCAAGGATTTAGCCTGTTCGGCTCATTCTCGGCATATCCTTTCAAGTCCAATCCCAGTGGTCATCGTCATGTTGATCACCAGCTCCTCTTGAAAACAAATGGCTTGCCGAGGAAAAGAGAGCAGGGGGAGAGGATGAGAATAGCACATGCATGCAATAAGAATCTTGTCATTATGAATCATTAATGTCATCCACATGATAGATTAAAGGCGTGTGATGTGATAATCGTTCGTCCCCATTCATATTGTTGTTACGTCAGTGGTACTGAATGTGGGGAAGGAGAGGGAAAGAAAGAGAACAAAGTGATATAATAATAAAAGTGTATGTATATGTACCGAGTTACGGGCGACTATCCCAATACAGCAAGTGCGTGTGTGGTATATCTTGTACATAACAAGGAGAGCATCATCGTGCGTGGTGGATGAGATAAGCAGCTCAACAACAGGCATCAGCATCAGCAGCAGCAGGCAGAGTCAAATGTTCTCCGCTTCCCTGTTTTCTCCCTCTCCCGTTCTTTTTCGTCCTGCACCTATTTTTATTTGAGCGAGCAAGATGATGTCCAAAGGAAACAACAGCGATGACCCCAACAACACTGAGGAACTTGAAGAAGGCTCTCGCAGTATCCTTTTGGGTATTGCCTCGCAGCTCACCAAAGGCATGGACCTGGTACGTTATGCCTCTCTTCTCTTTTCGCGATTCCAATGTGAAACTCACCACCCACCCAACCCATCGCGTTTCATTTAGCATCGAGTGACCTTGCCAACCTTTGTGCTGGAGCCACGTAGCATGCTTGAGCGTATTACTGACTTTATGTCGCATCCCGAGTTTATCCTAAAGTAAGTCGTTTAGTGATAGTTTACATATAGATGCATGGGTGTTGGGCTGATAGACTTGGACATCTAGTGCCAGTTCAATTGATGATCCCCTGGAACGATTTATCGCTGTGGTTCGTTATTATCTTTCAGGATGGCATATTAAACCCAAGGTATGTGTGTTTGTAAATTACATACGCTATGAAAGAGAGCGAGATGTCTCATCATGATGTGAATGAATAGGGTGTCAAAAAGCCATACAATCCCGTGCTTGGCGAATACTTTCGATGCCGTTACAAATACTCGGATGGCACTGAAGCGTACTACATTGCTGAACAGGTGTCGCATCATCCCCCAGTCTCATCCTACTATTTTTGTTCGCCTGAACATCATGTTGTCGTATGCGGTGATATTCGTCCTAAATCCCGTTTCCTTGGCAACAGCGCTGCCACGCTTATGCAAGGCGTCTCCAACATCATATTAGCCGATCGACATAATGAACGTTACGAGATTCTCATGCCAAACATGTATGCTCGTGGCATCTTGTAAGTGCATTCAACGACAAATCAATCATCACAACGTGGGAAAACTAATGATCCATCCAATGTTAGATTTGGAACGATGACGATCGAATTGGGTGATAGCTCACGGGTGCGTTGCGTGACCAGCGACCTTGTATGCGATCTTGAATTCAAGACCAAGGTAAGTAGTAGTGGTAGCATGGGATAAGAAGATTGGATCAAGGACAACAACACTCACTCATCATCCATGACACTGTTTTTTTCTTTCTTTCTAGGGCTTCTTTTCAGGACAATGGAACTCTGTTGTGGGCAAGATTAAAAAGGAATCGACTCAAGAAGTCTTGTGTGAGATCACTGGCCAATGGACCAATGAGTTGCATATCAAAAACAACAAGGTAAGGGAAAAAGGACAATGGCAAAAAGGGGGGAAAAAGGGATGGACGGACGACAGCTCGTGGCATTGTACTTAATAAGGAAAATCTATGCCATGTTGCACGCTATAGACCGGTGTCAAGGAATTGCTCTTTGATGTCAAGACCGCTCAGATTCATCCCAAGGAGGTCGCCCCTGAAGAGGAACAAGACGAATATGAGTCGAGACAGCTATGGTCAAAGTTAACATCGGCCATTCGCAGCAGGGATATGGATGGAGCTACGAACGAAAAGACGCTTGTTGAAGATCGTCAACGGCAAAAGGCTAAATCAAGGGAGGAGCGGGGCGAAACCTGGAAGCCACGTTTCTTTAATGAAGCCAATGATGAGTACACGTTCAAGGGTGCTGAAGGGTAAATATACATACATCAAGGGATTGGAAAAAGATATACATGACAGCCATGTTGACATGATTACGTATATAATAGGTTGGATTTGACGGATCCTGTCAAGGCAAAAGAACATTTGCAACAAGTCATCTTTGCAAAGCACACAGGTTCTGGTGAAGACAGCTGTTAGTGTGTGTGTGTAGACATACATTCCAATGCACCTTTTCTTTCTCTCTTCTCTCTCTCTCCGAAAGCAACACACATCAACATACAACAACCGATATACTCCCAGACATGAAGATGCCCCCCACACAATACAGACACACAACACACGCACACATACGCACAGCAGAGTTTCTTTTATCTCCCCTTATTCTCGATTCATTAATTTAGAGACATGTTCTTTGGGAGAATGACTTCTTTTTTAGATTGCTCCAACAGCTAATGAAGATTAAGGAAGAGAGCCATCGTTTTGCATACAATGGTGGCAATTTATCGAGTGAGATATGTGTATATTTTTGGATTGGTGGTGGGATGATGATGAATGGGTCGGAATGCTATATGATAATGATGATGATGATGATTATTACTACGGAGGAGAGAGACCACATGGCATTGGTTTCCACTTTGTGTGTATCACGTCCCAAAGAATACCATGGTTACAATCGTCTCGGAGTTGTCGCTGTGTCTCGTAATGCGTAGTGTGGTGTTGCATCAGGCACCGCTTTGCTTTCCCCCACAGCAGCAGGTGTGTGTGTGTGCCTCTCTCTCTTTTTTCTTCCCTTTTTTCTTTTTCTTTCACTTGCACTGTTTTTCTTTCTATCACTCGTAGCGTGTGCGTGTGAGCGGGGATTTGCATTGTGTATACTACTTTTATTACCAACCTATGCCAGAGACAACAAAGACGGACGACAAGAGTGGTGAAACTCAAGGCAACAATAACAACGGCAACTCGTCGTCGTCGACACTTGGTGTGCCCACCACCTGCAATAGTTCTCGACCTTCCTCGGTGTCCTTGTCACCAGCCGTGTCTGCATTCCAATTCAAGCCAAACCATCTTCGACACAATCGGTCCATGGAGCGACTGGATAGTGCAGCGGTGACCTCTCGACCCATTGGTGGAGGCTCATCAGGTCCTGGGCATGGCAGCAATCATCATCTTTCGACTTCGTTGGATATGAAACGCTCGCACTCCAATCGTACAATGCATAACAATACGCGTGCCAAAAGTCCTGTGTCGCCTCGACCTTCAGTGACCACAGGATCATGTATTATCAAAGATGGATACGTTTATAAGGATGAAATTGTAATTCTCGATGAAAAGAAAAAGGAGGAACTACTCAAGGTGGGAGAGATTCGGTTGCAAAGCGAATGGACGTTTTGGTATGATAGGTGAGTAGAAAATGGATATAGGAACGAGTTGAATGGAGGAAGATCTCATTATGCATGTATAATACAACAATAGATACGTGCCTAATCTCTCCGCATCTGAATATGAAGCCAACCTTCAAGTGATTTCAACCACTGGATCAGTGCAGGTACGTAATAAGAGAGAAGGGAGAGAGTGAGGGAATGTGGTCAGCTGCTTAAATGTATATGTATAGAAATTTTGGTCTGTATACAACAACATTGACGGCCCTGATCGACTCGGTTTTCGAAGCAACTTGCATTTTATGCGGAAAGGGATCAAGCCCATCTGGTACAATACGAGAAGGATTTCATTCCCTTTGGACAACTTTCATCTCACATTATCCTATCTCCCTCCTTTTCTCTCATAATCTTTTGTGAATTCATATATACCAGGGAAGATCCACAAAACGAGAATGGCGGCTCCTATAATTTCAAGATACCCAAGCATCATTCACCACTTGCCTGGCGGGATCTTTTGGTGCTCCTTATTGGTGAAAAGGTGGAAGGATGGTTAGGTGATGTGGTCTGTGGCGTATCCGTATCTTCACGTCAACAATGTGATAACTATCAGATTTGGACGGCACATAATCATCAGAATGATCCCGAGGCAGATGCAAGAGTCAAGGCCAAATTAATTGAAGTGTTGCGTCCTGCAGAGATTCAATCGTTCTATTACAAAGGTAACAAACCCTACACGTAACGGGACATCTCCAGCTTACACAGGTGGTTTCCATAGTACACAAGAACCATGCAGCATTTCAAAAACAACAATCCCCTCCCAACCACGCCAACAACAAGGATAGTAATACGACTACTACGTCGTCGACGACGTCATCCTCTCTCAAGCTCAAAGCCCCATTTGAGATGCGGCAAAAGATCACTGAGCAAAGCATTGAAAAGGTTGTGGCCGATATTGAACGACTCGGTCTCAAAAAGAAGCAGCAACAACAACAACAAAACAATACCAATAACATCCCCAACAACAACCACCATCGTCATTCATAAGATCCATCTTGATTTCTTCTCTAATATATTGCTCGTTACAATATTATTACATATACAAGCGTTGTGTGTGTGTGTGTGTGTCTATTTGGCGGATGTCTTGAGCTAAAAAAAGGGGATAGGGTCAATCATCATCATCCACATCCCATCTTGTGTTGCACACTTTACCTGAAGACCATGCATATCCTTGATCTCATCCTTGAGGATTTGATTCACCATACGATGCTGCTTGACAATAGTAGTGCCTTCGAATGCCTTGGATGCGATATCAATGGCGTACATGGATCCACAGCCACCTAATCAACAATGTCCATCAATCAATATGGGTCGTTGTGTTTAAAAGAGTTGCTTAATAATACCGGAGACGTCAACAACTCGAAGCTTGTGGGGTTCAAGGGCTTCGGTCAATTTGTTGTAAATGTGTTGCTCGCCCTGAGACATGCTCGATGTGGAGTACAGTGCAGCTTGACGCATGCGCATAGGGGATGCTAAACGGGCAAATGAACGCAACATTGTGTACAAAGAGAGGGAGAGTTGGGAGGTGGAGGAGTAGTGGAAGAAGGTGTGAAAGGTGAGTTAGCCGAGTCACACACGACCACTTGTCACCTTGGTTCATGCCTGCTGCACCTGAGATGGCATTTTTAATATAGCGACTTGCGTCATGTCTCTTGCACCAATGTTCAAACCTAAAGGGTACTGCCACCAATATTAATCCAATTGCATCATTGCTGCTTACTACAACATACACTGTTAAAAGTGGTAGCTAGGCTACTAATACCATGGCAACGAGCCTCACGTGCTGAGATTATGCTTCTTATGGGTAAACAATTATAGACCACCGGAATAGACACCGAAATAGCAGATCGATGTCATTGCTGATTTACGTGGTGATGCCAATCATTGCTCCTTGATGTAGATCTTTGTATAAGCGTATCAACTTCATACATCATCATCACCCTTTCCTCTCTTTGTGGTCACAGAGATTCATTACTACCATTCTATCATCTCACGATGCATCATCCTCACCTTGTCACTTTTCACCTTTGGAGATGCAGAATGCACATGCCTTTGTACATATAAATTAAGGGTTGTCGCTCATGTTATGTACTCCCATACCTCTGTTTCCTCTATCACATCGACCTGTGGTTGCTTACATGTATCTCATTTCTTCTTGTTACCTTGCGAATGAGCCGTGTTGTGGCCCTTCATTCAAGGAGTAGTGATTCATTGTTTTCATTCATATTTTCATTGTCAAAGGTCATCGTTGTGATGAAGTAAACAAAAGTCATTGTTCAAAACTTTGATGGAATATTAATGAACATCGCATTTCTTCAATGTAGATTTGGCACGGTGCAGATAGCAAGGCCGGTTTCTCACCTTTGCATTGATGAGACCTCATCCCTTATGATTCCGGAGCTCGAAGTTCACCACACAACTGCATGATGGCTCATAGATAAGTAACGCTTTCCATAGCCAATGTTCACGTTCCCGGATTGAATGCATCTTTGGATACAGGCAGCTGTAATCAACTCTCTATCCCCAAGAGTTCTCAAGAGGTGGGTGTTAAAAGGTAATGTGGAATACGAAAAAGTGCTAGTGGTGGGGTCTATCCATATAACTCGTCAAGCTCTCGAGGTACATGCGATGTGCCATTCGCTGTGAAATTCACGCTTGTGGCAACTAAGGAACCCTTAAGCATCATCAGCTAAAAAGGCAACAACTTTGAATTTGACGACGACGCGGAAGAAGATGAAGGCATCGCATTTTCTCAAGGGTGATAATTAAGAAGGCTTTTGGTGTGTGTGTGTATATAAGGACATGGTACTGTAAGGCTGCTGTATCCATGCCTACCAGAAGAACATTAATCAACTTTTTCCCCATGCGCGACCTCGACAAGTTGACGTGATGTTACATAATACGCTCATTTCAATCAATGACTTTTCACCACCAATACGTTGTCTGATGAGAATGCTCTCGTTTTATTATCACCCATCAATCCTAAGAACGAATACCTCGTTATTCTAATTAAGATCCCTGATGTCAAATTTGGGCAGCTGCTGCTGACTACTTATTTCAGCCACGGTCGTTGAACTATTGAATCCCGGTCTTTCTTCACCACCCAACAATGGAATCCGACAATGGTCTGGCACTCATGGTACAAGAATTGAAAGACCAGACATGCATGTACAGCAACTCCACGTCATTCATACGAGGATTCATGCTTGGCCAACTCTCGGTGCTCATTGTCATTGTATTGGCTTTACGGTACCTTCTCATGGAAGACGTCAAAAAAGTGCGAAAGGTATATACATACACCACGCGACGACCATTGTGTTTTCTTTTTCTCTAATGAGCAGCCGTGAATAGAGGTACATTCCTTCTCGATTATCGACGAATCCACCTTCACGAGCTTCAGCCTCGGCGGCACAACTTCCAGCAGCGTATATCAGCAAAAAGACGTATTATGACGTGATACACCATCCACCCGAGAGCACCGACTGGCTCAATGTGTTGCTAGCTCAATTCCTTATGCAATATCGCGAAGATGCAAAGATCAATGACAGGCTTATCTTGGCTGTGGATGAGGTTCTTAATGGAGGAGTGCGACCTAGCTTTGTGGTAAGTAAGATGTGTGGGTGTGGATGTTGGGATATCATCACCGTCAACGAGTCAAGCTAATATAAAAGTCAACAAGGGTCCTATTCATGTGACAAAACTGAATCTGGGCGAGGAGTTTCCAATCTTCCGTAATGCACGTATCCGACCCTCCGATGATGTTGGCTCAATGCGTGCCGAGATTGACTTTGAGTACAATGATCAAATCACGCTTGGGATGGAAACACAAATCATTCTCAATTGGCCACGTCAAGCATTTGCTGCTCTACCCGTTTCCTTGGTGCTTTCTGTTGTTCGGTTCTCTGGCACGGTACGTTTTCTTATTCATTCATTCATTTTGACGTTGGCACTTATATAGATATCTCGTTTAGCTTACCATTGAATTGATCAATCCGCCGGAGACCACCACTCGACCTGAAAAGCCTTTGGAACGATACATTGCCATCTCATCCTACTCTGACTTTGTACTCGACTTTGATGTGCGATCTTTGATCGGTTCACGAACCAAGCTGGAGGACGTACCCAAATTGACTGAACTTATCACCACCAAGCTACGCAACGTGTATATCGACAAGTTGGTGTATCCCATGTTTGTCAAGATCAAGGTGCCCCAAATGTGGAATGGATCGCCTGATGCTCCATCATCAACAACAGCAACAACCAGTAGCACAGCAACCAATGCCAGTAACCAAGCAACTAGCAATAAGCATGAAACTACTACTACTACCACTGCATCACCACCACAACCTGAACAACAATCATCCACGACCACTACAACGAGTGAAGTGACACCCAAAGCAAAGGAGAAAATGGAAGAGCTCGTAGAAGATATCAAAGACGCCTAATGACACCTATAACACCACCATTCCATTACAAATGCATCTATCCACGACCCCCCTTGTACAATTATTATTCACATACACACACACACCACACGTATTTATATACAACACACACACTCACACTCAACACCTACACCATACCCGACACCCTACCCATGATTTGCACAATCAAGATGATAACAAGTATTCTTTTTGTAACATGAATTTGAGGATGATGGAGAAATCTACAATACGCGTGAAAGGTGAAAGAAAAAAAACGACAACAACAAAAGAGGTGGTATGGGGATGGATGAGATTCTACTTGTGAACGGAGGAGGAGCGATTAAGCCATGCACTAATCTTGACAGAAAGACTACGTTTATACTGTGCTGAGGTGGTGGATGCTGATCGTTGATGTCCTCCTGCCTTTTTGGCTTTGGAAGAGGAGGCAGTGGTAGCCGTCGTGCTTGTACTCATGGAAGGTTGTGGTTGAGGTGGTTCAGTGATCATGGCAGCCTGCTGCTTGCTGTACTTTAATGTAGGTGTTGCTGCAACGGGAACCGGCGCTGCTGGTGTATTATTAGAGGGAGGTGGAAGAGGTGGCAAAGGTCGATCATAAAGGGATGGATCAGGAGCTGGCTGTTTTCCTCGCAAAAACGCACTTGAAATCTTGCGCAAAATTGTATGTGGCTTCTTTTCAGTGGTGGTGGATGGTGTTGTATTGTGCGTTGATTCAGGTGGTGTTGGCAATGGATCTTGTTGTTGTGGTTGTTGTGGTGCTGTGGATGATGATGGTTGTGGCGAAGGGGGTCTTGAAAATGGCTGTTGTTGATGATGATGTTGCTGTTGTTGTTGTGCAAGAGGAGAAGAGGGTGTGGGTGTAGGTGATTCCACAACAAGATGATGTTGAGATGTGGATGATCGAAGCCAACGTTGAATACGTGAAAGATAATCACCCGAGGAAGCAGAAGGTTGTGATGCAAATCCAGGAATACTGGCATCAGCCAGCAATTGATAATCGGGACGATTTGGCAATGATGATGGTAACACGGGTGCATCACCTTGTGGCACTTCGACCTTGTTGTTATGTTGTTGATCATGCTGGGGTGGGTTGCTGTTGTTGTTGCCAAGGGATGCTTGACTGCTACGAGCGGATGCTGTACCACCCATCATGACACCTGATGCAGAAATAGCCGATTCAACAGAAGCCTTGCGTGAAAGTACGGGTTTGTTGGCATTACTTGCTGATGCCATGGTGTTGGATGCGCCTTCCAATTCCATGTTGCGCTCACGCGTAAGATGATAAATGGATAGCAAAGGATGATAGGCATCGGGTACCGATTGTGGATCATCATAGGGCATAATGCATCGTTGTTCTTCGGGTGAGAGTGACGTGGATGATGTTGATGATGATGCAAATTGCTGATGTTGTTGTTGAATGTATTGAACGGCATCTTGATACACGTGGGATTGAACAATGACTTCAAGTTTTTGACGGATCTCATCAGCCGTGCCAAGAGCAAAACCCTTTGTCATTTGTTCGAGGATGGTTTCATCGAGAGGGAGTTGAATGGGTTTACGTGCTGGGACAAAGTTCTTTACAGGTGGAACGTTTGGATCAGGATTCAACCATGGGTGTCGGATCACATCGGTGAGAATGACACGTTTGGCGGGATCAGTGACAAAGATGCGGCGCAGCAAATCGAGGCATTCGGGTGACATGTGTGCTGGGTAATTCACGTGGCCACGTTTGATTTTATCGTGCAAACCAGGCATTGACTTGTCATCAAAGGGCACCGTACCAGTGACCATGACGTAGATAACCACACCCAAACTCCATACATCGATCTCTGGACCCTTGTATGGATTAGCACGCAATAACTCGGGAGCAGCAAAGTATAGTGAACCGCAATACGTGGTAAGCAGCTTCTCGGGACCAAATAAATTGGATAATCCAAAATCAATGAGCTTGATATTACGACCAGCCTTATCAAGAAGGATGTTTTCAATCTTGAGATCCCTGTGTACAATCGAGTTGCGGTGCATGTAATCAAGCGCACTCACAATTTGTCGTGCAAAGTGCCTCGCCCGGCGTTCGGACAATCGTTGTCGTTTGATAATGTAGTGCAGCAGTTGACCACCGCCCACGTGCTCCATGAATATGTAAAAATAGGGCCCCGACACAACCATATCTCGTAAACCCACAATGTGTGGATGCCGAAACAACATCATAATATGCGCTTCTCGTATCGTACGCAGCTCTCGATTATGCTCACGCGCTTGCTCTTTGGCCGTTTGCTGTCTCATCGTTTTGCCTCCTTCGATATTATTACCACGCACAGCCACAAGCTGGAAATTGGCTCGAGGTACAATCTTGACAGCCACCTAACAAATACAACCCCAACTTGTTAGTCGTTGCCATGGATACCTCTATTTGTTTGTGTGTCCTTGGTACCTACCTTTTCTCCAGTTACATTATGAACACCCAATTTAACCTTGCCCATCGACCCTTTGCCAAGATTCTGTTGTAAGACATAGTTGCCAATGGACTTTGGATTGGCCGATGCACAGTGATCCCGTGGTGGTGATGAGGAGGAAGAAGAGGGAGCTGTTGACTTTTCCTTTGGTGGTGTTGGAGGCAGCACGTGATGTTGATGATGTTGATGATGATGTTGTTTTCTTTGTTGGGATGAAGATGATGATGATGGAAAATGATGTTGATCAGAGGGAGGAGGTGTTGGATCCAAGAATGCAGCTGTCGCCATGTTGGGACGTGTTGGAAGAGGTTGTTGGAGGACTCTACGGGAGCAAGAAGTTGCACGACGTTGTTGTTGTTGTTGTTGTTGTTGAGAGTGAAGAGAAGAAAGAGGAAAATGACGGCGGTGATGATTATGATGATGATGAGTTGTTATGCCAGCGCCTGTGCTGTTGCGCCGTTTATTATCCAGATAGGATGATGATGAAGGTGCCACAGATCCCCTTTTGCTATGTTCGCTTTTTGAAAATGGCAAACACATTATTGATCTCCAAATTGTGTGTATTTGCAACGAGAAAAAAAGCAAACAATTGTAAGAGTGGCGATTTGGTCTCGAACAGGATCCTCGCCCACTTTTCCCATCGCCTTTTAAACAATGTTTGCCCATTTGACACCTATGTCTCGGTGGTTTTCTTGAGATTACTGCTCGATTACTACTATTGTTACAACCAACTACATTGGCTGGCCATGTCATCACAGTTCCCACAATGTTGGTCCTACCACTCATCTCCTTCCGCTCCAATGCCCGGAAAATCAGCCCACAAGTATATGTACATTATGTACCATGTAGCACGTGGGGCCATGCACTGCACGCGCATGTACATGTAATATCCACCACCCACATTTGAGAGAGCTTGCCATGATTAAATCCTCCGACACTCGCTCATCCTCCACACGCCGATCATCCAATGATATAATGATTGTCCTCCACCCCCGCTTATTAAACTCCTATGAATGATGGTGTTATTATTGAAATATTTGTGTTCAAAAGAACTCTTCTCTCTCATGCACGTATCCTCGTTTGTTCCACATGTTGTTGGTACAACGTTTAAGCTTTGCAATCTGTGCACTTGCCTATTTAGTGTATACTTAAGGTTGCAGCACATGACATTTGATAGGTATACAAGAATTCGTTATTGTTGTTTTTTACACACGCATAAAAAGATAGGATTAGCGCTTTAAAGAATATTACAACATAAGAAAAGTGTGTGCATGGAAGGTTAAGAGTGGGAAGGGAAGAAAGCATGGGTTGTTTTAGGAGCAAGAGTACAGCGAAAGAAGAGGTAGTAGTAGTAGAGAGAGAGAAAGAGAGAGAGAAGAGGTGTATATGTATGATCGTAGTAATGGAGAGGAAAGAAGGTAAGGAACGAGAGGGAAAGAGGGAGGGAGGGAGATCTTCTATTATGGGGAATCACCACCACCACCACCAAGCCAGTTCTTGCCAAAGTTCAAGACACCACGAATGGAAAGACCAGGGGTATTATCATCATCATCATCATCATGATAGGATGCACGGTGATGGTTGTTGGTAAAGTAAGAGAATGGATGGTGATCCGAACCAAATGGAGGAGAGTCGCTGCCACCTGCTGCAAAGGGAAAGTTGAATTGAGAAGCACCTGATCGCCGTCGTTCTTCATCCTCATTGCGGTGAATGTGATGGGATTCGTACTCATCCAATGCTTCAGAAGCGACAGAATCCATGTCTCTATAATAGAATCATGCTGAATCAGCAAATGGTTTTTTCCACGTTGTTCAACTTCCTTACTTGTCGGATGATGATGACACCACGGGTGACGATGTATCTTGTTTCTTGTTAAGTGTTCGTAACGTTGTCTTGTCCACTTCATCATCATCCTCAAGCCGTCTCATCTCTTCAGGTGTCAAGTTGTTGATGTCCATGATATTATTTTTGATATAGACGAGCTTGTCAGTGAGATCTTCCAATCGATCGCTGAGTAAATTTTGTGCTGCTTTAACCACCACGACTTGATCATTGGATGAGGATGACGCTGATGCCTCATTGTTCTTTGGTCGTTGTTGTTGTTGATAATCATCGATATAGTCATTGTCATCTTCTTCAGTGTGTACAAGGTAGGCGGTTGGCATGGATCGTGCTGCATAGTATTCCTTGTGTTGGGGTGGTGTTTGCATTTCTTGGACAATCGGCCCGCCGTGACCATCCAGGTACGCTTCTTCACCATATTGATCCATGTCCCCCTTCAATAAACAATAGCATGTCAACATGTGTGTGTCTCTCTCTCTCCCCTATAAAATGCATGACTTACTTTGCTGTAACGATTATATGCCAAATGAGCGATTTGTTCATCACCAAGGAACTCTGCATCCTCTTCTTGGTCTGCAAGGAAATCCACATCTCGAACATGCTTATTCTTTTTGCTCTTTTTCTTCTTTTTTGATACGTGCGACTTTCCAAATGGATTACGTGTGACAATATCAGCAAATGCCTGTTGTTGATGGGGCGGTAATAGAAATGGAGGTGGTGGATGCTGCTGCTGTTGCTGACGATGGGTATCGGTGCTGTAATCGTTATAGGGGTCAGTCTCCCAGTCGCGTGTGTCGAGATAATCTCGGTAATAATCAGGTCCCAAGAACAGCTCGTCGTCGTCGTCTTCGAGGCGAATAGGTTGACGTCGACTGGAACCACAACAGCTGGGAAAGAATTGTGAAGGAAGAAGGTAATTGCGCCAAGTCAGGTCAAAGACATTGGGTTCTGCAAGTGGCTCGGGCATTTGTTGCGAACGTCTTTTGGATATGCAACAGCAACAACTCATGGTCGACAATTAGCCATTAAGCGATTACGAGGTTGAGTGTGTGTGTGTGTTTGCGTATGTTGGGTCAAGTGAGTGACAAGAAATACGAGTTGGAAAGGAAAAAAGAAAATATAGACGCAAGGTCGGACCTGGGTAATGATGAACACAATACATAAATGGATCACATGTTCCATCCAGCAAGCGTTACTAAAGGGATTTGCCATATTTGACCATATCCTGCTGCTGCTCCTCCAAACAAATTTCATGCTATCTCATCCATGGATACTCAACACATGTCACCATTCATTTCCTTTCATTGTTGTATTTGCTGCATAAGAATAGCTCCCTCCTTTATTTATTACTACTTGACGTTTTCTTTCTATATGCATAGTAATCATCAGCATCGAGCCATAGTAAAAACAATAATGAGAATATGACATACCTGACTCTAGGGTCGATTGTTGCATTAACCAATGTTTCTGGTACATTCAACGATGACCTTGTACGTAGACTGTACGATTGCTTGGATGGAAGTACCACCCTACAGTATGTACTGCTTGACCATATTGCTCGTTTCAAATGGAGGGATTATGATAATATCGAATGTATCCAACAACCATGCTATTGTATATCACAGATCAAATTGTCATTCGCAGGATTGAAGTCCTCGTCTTTGGGATTGACACCATATAAGGGGGAGCGTGATCCACTTTCATCTGTTTCCTTCTTCGTCATCCATAAAGCAACACCATGTTTGTGCGTTTGACAGTACTTAAGAAGCCCTCTGTTTTCAGTACGCGTCTCTTAATGCAAATAGACTTAGTACACAAGCATGACTTTCATAGCGAATGATGCATCACATACCTTGAGTGGTAGGTGGAAGTCGAAACCAGACGCATATCACAGTGTCTTGCTGAAAGCGATTGAGCTTGCGAGAAAGATTTAGGTTCCATTTGATGCAAAGCGTCTCAAATCATGTGACATCTAGATTCCTGAAGCATTTAGGCTTTCCATTGACCTTGTAAAGTACAGCCTTGAGTAATTTTGCTAATTGCACGTATTCCCAGGATCGATGGCACGGCACGCTCAGTTACCCGATGATGGTCCCAGCAACACCCGCTCTTAATACGAGCAACTTGGGCAGAGCTGAACTTGTAGTTTTTGAAAATTCAGCCAAATCTTCATCTGTAGTATCATCATAAGGCAAGTTGGATGGCTCAGTGTGCTTAGCCTTTGCAGCAACATCAGTCTCCTTGCAGTATATCAAAAAGTACGTGACATATATGAGTATGTGGTTCATCAAGCAAGATGATTACGTAGGTTTTACCTTAGTGAAAGAGTTGAACATCACAATGACAACAATGACAATGAAAGTAGGATAACAATGAAGCGCTGAAAACCATCGCATACATGAGCACGTAGATCGCTTATAAGATAAGATCATCCACAAAGATACTCACCGGCTACTTGGGCTTTTAAGGTGTCAGCAATCAAAGAGAGAGGTGATGGATGAAAGAGATGAGTGAAAGTAAAATAGGCGACAACATTCTTGTTTATATCTTTATGGTGGGCGTGGGCATCTCTGTGAGCACAAACAGGAGGAAGAAAGAGTGATAAATGCCTTCTGGGAATGATGATGAGCTGATAGATTGATGGGGCGTCTTCGTAAAAAAGTCTTGGTGTGATTGATTGTCCACGCATAAATCGGGATCTGATGTACATAAACAAGGTGGCAATAAACAATGACACCCATTTGTATGCATCACAAGTCTTTCGCTGTGCCCAAATTCCACGAAAAAAGATGTTGTTTGTGCGAATGTATGTTTCAAAAAGAAAAGTTGATGACATCTTCATCGTTAAACATGTTGTCAACATTCCGGGCCACTACAGCCCCCACATGGGTCATGACAGCAAAGGAAAACAAGAGCGGCCCACTTTACCCAAATCTTTCTTGTGGCCAAGAAAAGCTTGGCATCGGCAAAACCATTCCATCTTGGCGTCCCATCCAAAAGCGCAAGTATGAAGATGAAAGAGAAAATGCACATTGTTTATCAAAAAGTACAGAATGGTAGGGGTGGGGGATAATGCTGGTGGTAATAAAGCAACTAGTCGATGATTCGGAGATCCTGCTTCCGATCCTTTGCATAAACATCCTTGTACTTGTTGTAAATCGCTTCCAATCCTTTGATGTATTCTTCCTGTACAGCAACAAGTTGTTCGTGTGTGGGTTCTTTTTGACCTGCCTCAAGTTTTGGTACTGCAATGGGCTTGCCGACTACAACATTGTTGTTATTACAATTGACTCGCTATGCCACATTCGAAAATAACGTACCCACTGTGACAATTGGATGGCGGAAAGGCATAATGCCAACATCATCTATATTCAAAAGTTAGAATGACATCCAAGTATGACTTTTCACATTACTTACAATTAAAGATGCCTCGTGCATGGAAGAGCGGCAAAGTGAACCCAAGCAAAGACTGCATCTTCTTTTGTACTTTCCATAATGCTGATCCCTTTGAATTATCCACTTGCTCATACAAGTCGTTTTCACCAAAAGAAAATACTGGCACCAAGGAAGCGTTATGCTTAATAGCCAAGCGGATGAAACCCAATCGTCGTTTAAGAGTGAGATCGGCAATACCAGGACGAGCGTTCAATGATTCAGCAGCACCACCAATAACAATGACAATGGATCTTCCAGGACCTGAGGATAAAATAGCCTCACACGATTGACGTGAAACAGATGCAATGCCGAGGGATAGGATTAAATCGCGATAAAGTGGTAAACGGAAGTTGCTGCAAGTCAAATTGGCCATCATCAGCATGACTGGATCAAACACGTGTCTCATCCACATACACACACATGATTCCCAAACCACCACCACCTGTTCTCATTTACCTAGCCAATGTCAACAAGGAGGGGACGATACCGGGAAATAAATCTGAAAAGCCTGTAGCTTCGGTTGCAAAGTTGGCAAAGGCGCCCATGGAGATGATGCCATGAGGATGATATCCAAACACGTAATTGCCAGTGGGATCCAAATCATGCTCCTATTCCCATCATAAGTATGCATATAGACAGACTCATATCATGTCCCATCTTTTTTACTTACCTTGACAAGCTTGGCGGGGAAGTAATCGACAAAGTACTTCCATAATGGCCACCGACGTGTCCAATCGAAACGGCGACCACCTGTCTCAGGGGCTTTGTCGGTATAAAGAAAAGTGATATAGGCAATAAGCAATGGCCAGAGGAACGGTAGCGTAAAGCAATAGGCGAATAGCACGAGACATATGAATAGCAAAAACACCCAAGTGCACACAGCTAGCATTTGAAGTCGTCGTTCAAGTGGTATGCCACGTAGAGGTGCCCAGCGGACATGAGGACGTTGTTCCTTGATTTCCATCGAGGTATGGTGATTGGTAATGAGTCTTGTGAGAGTGAAAGAAAGAAAGGAGTGTAATAAGCACGCGATTGGGGTAAGAAAAAAAGAAAGAAAGAGAGTGGAAAGAAAAAGGTTGATAAGAGAGTAAGTTTTTCACATGCAATCAAAGCGCTGGCTGCTGCTGCTGCTGCTTTCATTTCTACTTGCATCTGTAACTGCCAAGTCCGAAAGCTGTCGGTAAAGCTGCAAAAGGGGGAGGAGACCAAAGTACCGGCTCTGCACACAGACAACACCACCAACACCACCACCACATCTTTTCTTTCCCTCTCTCTTCTCTTCTCTCTCTCTTTTCTCTCCCTTTGAACCTCGTCCATGTTTGCTCTTATCGCCGCTTTTGCGGCCACCAGCTATGTGATGACCGTGGTCTTGATGGCAATCGCTACATTGGCTGCTTTGAGCAAGCCATTCAGTGAGGAAATCGCCTTCGTACGCAACATTCGTATTATCCTTGATATCCTTGCTTCGCTCGTCGCCGAGATTCCACTTCACCTACTCGTCGTCAAGTTGCTCAAAATCAAGGTGGCTTCATTTTTCGGTGCCTTCAGTAAGGATTGAAGATGTAGGGTTGATACAGTGTGTATACATGGCATTTACAATGCATTCTTTCTCCTTTTACCCCCAACCCTTTAGACTACACTGTGGCATGGCTTGCCTATTTCATTGATGTTGCATGTATCGCCGGCTTGGTATTGTTGTTTATCGAGAGTATGCGCGAGCAAGAAGTGGTCGAAGAAGCCATCAAAGACTTGACTGGAGGCGAGCCTGCCGATCCCGTTGAAAGCATCCTCAGGTACATACATTTGCTCTTTGTAAGGGGGGGGGAGAGAATGGCGCATGCTAACATTTGAATTCCTAGTGTTCCATACATCAAGCGTGTCTTTAATTTCTTTTGGTCACCCGAGGATGTGATTCTTCATCCCAACAGTAAGTGAGATATGAAAAGGGGGAGGGGAGTGAGTAGCTTTATTTTTAGGATGCTGACAATGAATCTACTACAAGTTACTTATGCAACCAACGAGGAAAGTGCTGAAGCAATTGCATCTACCAACGACTATGATCAACCTCGCAGAATGGCATTGGATATCTTCAAATGGTCAAAGGCACCAGCCAACGCTGGTTTAAGACCGGTTGTGGTACGTGTTTATCATTTGTACATGCTCACTTTATACGTTTTGCTCATCCAATGCAAATCTCAGGTCCATATTCATGGTGGGGCTTGGACAATGGGTGACAAGGATTGCTTTTATCCCTACCAAAAAATGTTGATTGAGGAGGATAATTGGGTAAGATTCAACAATGAATGTGTGTGGTGATACTCTTTTTTCTCACAAGGACAAATATTAGATTGTTGTGAATATCAGCTATCGTCTCGCACCCAAGAACCCTTATCCAATTCATTTGATTGACATTAAGCGTTCTCTTCGATGGATCAAGCGCACTATTCGCATGTTTGGGGGTGACCCAGATTTTATTGTCTTGTCAGGTAGGTAGTGGGAATAAGAGTGGGCTAAGCGTGGAAAAGTTTGGGGTAAATGTGCTCACACATGATGTCATCTAGGTGATTCTGCTGGTGGCCATTTGGCTTCCATGGCTGCTATCACGGCCAATGATCCTCAATACCAACCAGGTGAGGGAACGACTTTTTGGGGACATGTAAATGCAACAACAAGCTAATGGATGATTTGGAAAAAAAGGTTTCGAGGATGTTGATACCTCTGTCAAGGGCGTTATTTCTATCAATGGTTCCCTGGATCTTCTTAATGACCCTGCTTACGCTGATTGGTTTTCAACTAAAGTGGCCATGAAGGCAAAAGTTGATGTGGATCTTCTTCGTGCCCATTCCCCTGCTGAAGCTGTGCTCAAGTGCAAAGACAATGGAGTCATGGTTCCCCACTTGTTGATTTCTGGTGAGCGTGATTGTATTGTGGATGTTTCTCAATCCGAACGATTCAAATCTGCTTATGATGAAGGTATGTATCTATATGCGAAGGATGGGTTATCAAGATGCTTACAGTGCCCTCGATATAGCTGCTGGTGAAAAGAATTCCCAATGTACTTTGTTGAAATTACCTGTAAGTAGTGGCATCGGCCTTCTTTAGTGTATCTTCATACTCATTCAGCTATCTAGGGTGCCCATCACATTTGTCACATGAGCTGGTCTCCTCGTGCTTTCTACCTTTCTCGTATGGTGCAAGTTTGGTGCAAGCACATCTATGCCAAAGGCAAATAAAATGGCAGCAGCAGTACGATTCCACCAAAGAAGACAACGTCTCCTTCCTTGCTATGTACCCCCCAATTAGAAAATCCCGTTGCAGAAATAAAAAAAAGTAAACGTTGCATTTAAACGAGTTGTACTGCTACTCTTTTAATTGTAGTTTGAGGTTTCAAAGTGTACATCAGAAATAAAGGAACCATGGAATGTAATACAACTAAATTGACCAATGTCGCAGCGAGCAAGTTCAACCATGGATTTAGCATCAATGATGGCCAATAAGCAGCTATCATGCTCAGGGCCACGAGGATCTGTAATATTGACAAAGCTAAGAAGCACGCCTTCATCATGATCAATAGCACCAGGCTTAGGTACAAAGACCGGCTCAGTGTACATTTCTTTTTCACGATCCAGCTTGATCGTCTTTCCAGTCTCGGTGTCTATTTTGATCAAGCTGAAGCGCTCAACGTCGTCAACAGTGGCACCTTGGTGTTGACAGCCCCATAGATATTTGTACGGCTTGAGATTATCCAATGGATTGTAGCGAGGAAAATCGACATTGGGTGTGATTTGACGCTGTGTGGCCTTGGCAATGCTGGTATCACGTTCATTAAACTCAAGGTGGTAACGTACGAGATTCCCAAATTGAAGAGGGCTTGGCGGTACGGTGATGCCACGGATCTTTGTTGTGCTTCCTTCTTCTTGCTTTGGTGGTGGTGTACGATGCATCAAACCAAAACTACTGATTTGATGAATGATATCACCATCTGGCCATGCACATGCATCAAGTTTGAGTACAACTGTGCCATCGTCAAGCTTGGTATCCCATGCATTGCTGGTGTGAAAGATAAAAAAGGGGTCCACAGGCAACGTGATCACGTGCCCATCACCATGACGATGGACCACGTGCAAGTAACCAGGGCTATTTTCACGCCATGCCATGCTAGGTACAAGAGCACCATTCAAGAGTATATCTGCACCTCCTCGAACAAAGTGTAATGGCCCTTCAGGTATGATTACATAGTTTTCAGTCAACCAAAAAGCATGCGTGTAAGGAGGTTGGATGCGCTCTTGCTCGTTTGCTGGTACACCAGGTAATTTACGATGAGTGATGTCGGCAAGGATAGTCGTTTGTTGTTGCTGCTGCTGCTGCTTATCATTGCCATTGTTTTGTTTGATGCTGAATACAGTGAGCTTTGAGGAAGGTCCCATGCCAAGTGAGAAATTAAACGTCTCTCCAGTATTAAAGTCGCTCTTGTGATGGGCTGCAGCCATTGTTCCATCAAGACGTTTGTCGTAAGCAGCATAAGTGAACAAGCGTTTAGGTTCTACACATGAATGGTGTACGTGAGAATCATAAAGGAAGTGGTATTATTTACAAAAAGACTTACCCAAAGAGGTCGAATGGACAATTTGTAACAAGTTGGCATCCGTCTTTGAAACAACCACCAAAGGATCCGTGTCATCCTTGTCAAACTTGCTTGGCAATGGGTATTCGGGAGTAATTGTTACACCAACATTGTCTGATGATGGATCCTTGTCATCATTGTTGCCAATGGTAGTGGCACGATGCACTACATTGGACACCTTGGAGAAGACACCACCAACTTCAGGTAAATGGCCAAAGTATGTATCATTGGTGGGATTATTCACGATCGTTTTCTCAGCACTCTCAGCAGTAAAACGCGAATTGTACTTTACAGCTTGTTGCTTAGCAGAGATCTCGAACCGGTGGACAAAGGTCAAGCCATCAAAGGCGTGGTTGATTGCATGTTGCTTGCCATTATCACTCAAATTGTACTTTGCAGGGCCTACACACCATCGTCATCCATTAGTCATCAGGGTAGCATTTTGTGTACACTATTAATACTTGCCAACGCGATAAAGAACACCATTGAGCCAATCGGGGATGGTGCCTTGGGCAGATAACAATATAGGCTTGCGGATCTCGGTCGCGTTACGGAATTTGTTTTGGATCTGAAATGCGCGGATGGAATCAGCAACGCTTTTGGTCATGTTGGTTGATGGAGGTGATGATGATGATACAATCAACAACTACTACACATCCCATTTTATATACCCATCCATCTACGGCTATAACATCATTCTTTTCCGGTGTGTCATCAGGATTAGAATGTATACAGTCGGCGAGTTCATTCCTTTCTTGGGTAGGTTTATCCGCCTATTAATCCATGTTTTCGGTTGTCATTGCCAAGTGCGGCTACTTTGTCCCCTAAATGGCAACCGGGCTTTGATCTCCACAATTTTTACCATGCTAGCAAAGTGTTTGTGTCACATGCACGTGCCAAGAACCTTTTATTCAATTGATGGAAACATTTTGGAATTCCTCATCCACAAAGGATCCATGAAAAGTTGAAATGGAAAAGGGGCCAAGGTGTGATTGTGCTACTTTCTCCATGGTCTTGGCATCCAATAATACCAGGTAACTACCCTCATCGCTGGTGCCCAAACAAACCACTACACCCTCATCTTCTTGTTCCTCACTTCCTGGCTTGGGTACAAAGATAGGCTCGGAAAAGGTCATATGAGTTGAATCATGCTGCGTAATGGCACCTGTATCGAGATCAACTTTGACCACTGCATAGCGTTCGTATTCACCATTCAATGGTTTTTTGAATTGGCATCCCCATACATAGCGATACGGCTTGAGCGCGTAATGTTGAGAGAAGCGAGCAAATTCAATATTCGTTGCCAGCGTACGGTAGCTTGCTCCAGACCATGTTACGCGATACCTCCTCAAATCACCAAATGAGTCTTGGCGTTTAGGTGGCAACGTCATTCCTTTGGGCTTGTCCTTTAAAACGGCTGTTGCCATCATTGTTGTCGCATCCATGCTACGCCAAAATGTGCCAAAAGTATGCAGCTGATATAAAATATCCCCATCTGGAAACGCACACACGTCCAATTCGATCACTGGGTTGCCATCCATATCAACACTATCCCACGCATTGGCACCATGGAAGCTATAAAACCCGTTCGTTGGTATAGACACCACATGGCCAATATCAGGTCGTCGACCAATCACGTGAAAGTAAGTGGTGGGTGCATGGTCGTCCCATCGCATACTCGCCATAGCATTGCCAGTGATTAGAAAATCCAATCCTTCATAATACAATGGATACTCTGGAATGACGATGTAGTTGCGTGTAAGGAAAAATGAATGGATGTAGCTTGGTCGAATTCGGCTATTGCTGCTCTTGCTGCTGTTGCCAGGCAACTTGCGGTGTGTAATTTCGGCAAGTATGCTCACTTGGCCCGTGCTGCTTATGGAGAATACAGTGAGCTTGGGTACAGGACCAAGCTTGAGACTGAAATTGAAGACTTCTTCTGTAACGGGATCGTATTGATGATGGGCTGCAGAAAGATCACCCTGGATACGAGAATCATATTCCCCATACTTGTATAGCTTTTTTGGTTCTAACATGTCTTGTTAGTCATATCAAAGATGTAGGGAAACTCATAGCAATACGCACCAAGGCTTTCAGGATGTACCTGTTGTAATAGATTCAAATCGGTTTTGGCCACAAGAAAAGGATCCTTTGTCGTCCATGCAAGGGGTCTTGGATAATTGGGTGTTGCTGTTACCCCAACCATGGCTGCAGATGCATCATTATCCGGTATCTTAAGCCCATTTACAACTATCTTGAATCGACTAGCCACTGCACCCATCATATCCCATAAAGAGAGCTCTTGCACATGTCCAAAGAACGCCATTTGCTTTCCATGGCCTTGCACGAGATCTCGCTCCACAGACTCTGCAAGGTGACGCGAGTTGTACCTCACAGCTTGTTGTTTTGCCGATAATTCAAAGCGGTGCATGAACGGCATCCCATCAAATGCGTGTTTGATCATGTAGCTGTTATCATCACTACCCAGATTATAGCGACCAGGACCTATACAAGTAGAGTTGTTGTAAGTACAAGACCATCAAAAGCCAAGAGACAATGCCTTACCAACGCGATACATGACGCCATTGAGCCATGGTGGAATGGAGCCATATTGCAAGGGTGTCCATACTGGATCGAGTACTTGAGGCGTGTTGGAAAAAGGTGTCAATGCTTGATAAGCCTTGATGCGTTGAAGAAAGGCAAACTGTGTCCGAAAATGGGTCCAGCAACGATGTGCGAGGTAAGTTACAAGCGAAAGAATAGCCAAAGTGATCATAACAAGGAAGAGATGACGATGATGGGTGGGAAAAAGGATTGATTTTTATGCTGGGTAGACTTACATTTCATTGTTCTCATCTTCAACCCCTGATTGACTGGTTGCTGCTGCTGCTGCTGCTGCTGCTGTCATGCATATGGATGTCAAAAGTAGCGAATAAATTTTGACGGCAGCGAGGTGCACGACACCTTTACGACAATTATGGTTCCACCTCCTTTATCAACCTTGCTGTCCGATTGCTATGGCGATGAGGGTGCCAGGTATTCTCTCTCAGGCTGCAACACATTCAATGGCTGACATGGGCTCCATAGATTAGCACAGCTGTTCGACATTTCTTTCCAGAGCCAAGACGAGCTGTGTCAAGTGAGTGCGATCTTGCTCATGGGTGATTCAGGCATTGGTAAGTATGCTCTCTCATTCCAGTGATTCGCGTGTCATGTTGACATTGATAGGGTAGGCAAGTCGACGGTGTTGGATATGATTGCTTCACAACACGGGCTCAAGGTAACAAAAGAAAAAAGGTGTGGCACACACATATTCATGCTGTGATTAGGTGTCACGTGCCGTCATGGGCGAGATGTCTGCACAACACGAGGGACAATTTGCTATTGCGCTGGAACGTTTAGCATGGGATATTCAGGATGCACCAAAAGGATTATGTAAGTAGAGAAAAAACGGCGTGTGGATGATAACGTGTCTCATGCATTCATCTTAGTGATCATCGAGGACATTGATCTACTCTTCCCAAAGAAGGACACATCCATTCAAGAACCTGGTTTATTACCCGCATTACAACGAATCCTTCGGTCATTTCATAGCGAGACACACGCTGGTCGTGCTATTTTGGTAATTATCCGATGCACATGATGATCATCATGCAAAATGCTTACATAAACTATAGGTAGCTACTACACGAGATCCATCTGCCATCCAAGGGACCGTACGCAATCTTTTTGAGGTATGTAAAGGCTGGCATGGTATATGAAGCTATTGGATATTAACGTGTAATTGTAGGATGAGATCGTATTACAGATACCCACGCCACATGAACGACATGCATTACTGCAACATCTTGCTCAAGGACTGCAACTCGACAAGAACGTATCGTTGGAAGCATTGAGTGCTCAGGCACATGCCTTTGTTGCTGCTGATCTTGCACGATGGTGTCAGTTGGCTTTAGAAGCTGCCCATGCCGACCAGAGTGAGATACGTACGTTGGATGATCTAGGCTTGTATACACACCATACATCTCACACTCTGCTTAAAAGTATGCCAGCACCATTTCGCAAGCACATTCGATCGCATCAGGGTGAATGCGCTACAAATGGCTGAGAAGCCTGATCCAGTAAGGTGGAGTGATATTGGTGGATTACAGGAAGCAAAGGTAAGGTGAAGGGTGGCAATGAGCATGATGATCATAAACTTATAAGATGGATGCTATCGTTTTTAGCAAGCTCTTGAAGAATCAGCCGTATGGGTTTACAAGCATGCAGCTGCATATAAGCGACTTGGCATTCGTCCTTCCAAAGGCGTTTTATTATATGGACCACCTGGCACAGGCAAGACACTACTAGCCAAAGCGGTAGCTACCGAATCATCCGCCAATTTTATGGCAGTCAGTATACCCGATTTGATCAAAGGAGAAGTATGTTATCTTGGAAGGATGGATGGTATAGGACCAATATTTAACGGGCTATTGTTGTTAGGTGGGCGAATCAGAGAAAGCGGTCGTTTCTATCTTTCAGACAGCTATTCGATGTAGTCCTTGTGTCATATTCTTTGATGAGCTTGAAGCTATCTTTTCATCGAGAGAAACGAGCGGTGATGTCGGTAAAAAGGTAAGCGTATGAAATGATGGGACTTCGGCGTACATTGATTGATTCAATCATTCTTCCCTTGCAGCTTATTTCTCAATTCCTTATTGAGATTGATCATCTCGACAAGACCGATCAAAGCGTTATTCTCCTCGGTGCAACCAATCATCCCGAATCCATTGACACGTCCATATTACGGCCTGGTATGTGTAGCAATAATAGGGACGTTGGATCAAGGTACTCATGCGTGTTGACTTTTACTTTTAGGGCGTTTGGATCGCATGATACATGTTGGATTACCAAGCAAAGAAGAAAGGCTCAACATTTTGCATGTGCTGGCACGAGGAACACGTTTAGATAGTCAAGTGGATTTGGATACGATTGCAGAACGCACCGAAAGCTACAGTGGCGCTGATCTTAAAGCGGTTGTGCGAAAGGCTGCCCTGATTGCATTGAAGAACAGCTTAAGGATACAACAAGATTCGCCTGTATATGTTGAACAGCAGCACCTTTTGGATGCAATTCAAGTAGTAGGACCCTCCCATCGTCTTAAATAGAATATTTGTTCAATAGAAAAAAAAGTATACGCTCTTGATATGAGGATGTCTTTGCAATGTGACGTGCATGCTTCGTGCTTTTTACCCAGGGATGGGTGTTTTAATATGTCCATACTTGAATAATAACCATTGTCCTTTTTGTCTCTTTTACCATGCAACACGATGTGGGGATTCACCCTTTTCATTATCATCCCTTGAAAACACCATCATCATCAAATGCCACAACACATTACATCGTTCTATGAGCCTGCGTGGAAGCCTTATCCCTACCCTGTACCACCAAATGCAGCAGGTAACAGCAATTGCATTTGCACGCCATCCAACGTGTAAAATTGATTCATGCGTTCACGTACGTTACACTGTACTACCTATATAGGTCCGGTGAAACACTCATATGCAGCCGAGCTAGAAGCAGAATTGGCAAAACAATCACATCCATCATCTGAATTTTGTTCATGCTTTTGCTGTCCATGCTGCCCATGCATGCCATCATGGATGCGGTGTGTATGTTGTATTGGATTTTTGCTCTTGTTGGCAATTTCGGTCACAGCTGGTGTCCTTGCAGCCATGTTCAAGATGCCCAAAGTCGAACTCAACAGGGTAGTGGATCATCCAGCAGGTCTCGAAAGGTTTCAACAACAATCCACCTCTCAAATGGCATTTGAGATTAATGTCGGCCTCGATATTGGCGTGGTTAATCCCAACATTGAAAGTGCTGCTTTCGAAAAGCTCAAGGCTACTGTATGTATACATGCTTGTTGTTGTTGATAAATGCCATGTGCACTCATATCCATATTATGTATATGTAGGCTTATTACCCAACCAATCCACGACAGCCTGTAGGTGGCGGTGAACTCACTGATATCATTATTGGCGCTCAAGCTACGACCAACTTTACGTTTCCATTCCAGATCAAGTACGATCAATCAAAAGATCAAGATCAGAAGATGTTGCTTGACCTTTCTCAAAAATGTGGGCTCACTGGTGCACCAAAAAAGGATATTGCTATTAATTACTCACTGACACCAACGATCAGCATCCTTGGTTTTCCATTCTCGTTCACAATCAATAATGCTGCAAGGTTCCCATGTCCCATTGATGTAAGTACTCATTCACTACATTGGATCATTTTGGGTGCTCATTGTTTATTTTATGCAGGAGGGGTGGTTGCAAGAGAACAATGGGACTCTACCCAAAAAATCTTGAATGCAAGATAATCAATACATAGTCTCTTTACATAGTAATTGTAAATGGCACATCATAAAGCTGAAATCATCGTAGATGCTAGAATAATATTTAAGATCACTATACGACTTAATGCGAATCGAGTGGTGATGATGGTTCATGATTACGTGTTCATTTTAAGATTGAATTGGATAAGAGTACAAGACGTGATGATGTATGCAACAATAAGAACAAAGGGTTTACTATGTATAGATCCACCGATGGTATCATTCTTCAATTTCAATATCAAGTTGATGTCGGCAAGTTTGATGCTTCGAGAGTTCGTTTCTTTGATTGTTTCTTGATCAGCAAACTTTGCATTCACATTGGTTGCTAGTTCCTCATTCAAAGATTTCCGATATTGACGTAGTTGTTCATCTTCATCCATGGAAAAACGTGTTGCCAACTTGACCATTGATTCCTCGTCGAATTCAAAGCTGTCATCCTTGGATGAAATGTGTAAGGGTGAACGCGATCCACTTTCATCATCTAAGAGCAATTGCATGGTGGTGAATTTGATGGTATCCAGCAGCGCTTTGGTAGTGATGATCCGTTGGTTGATGGAAAGAAATAGTTTATGAGCAGGATGATGACAAATGGAGCGATGGATCAATTACCTTGAGTGACAATACTACTTTGAGCAACTTGGCTAGCTGTGGATAGTCGCCAGGAAACAAAGGTATACTGCATTCAGCCGCTCGATAATGTATCAATCTACCATCCACCTCCTTGGTGCCATCAATCATCAATCGCCGACCATGTCACCATGATAATCAGTGCATCAAAATAGGTGTTCAATTGAGGATGTGTCGTGGCCATGAATAATCACGTGTACCCATCATCCAGACTCAGCTCGTGTATGGTTATCCTTGGTTACTATCCAATCTTAGTTTCCTGGTTCTTCTTCTCAGAATAAAACACCTACCTCGAGTATCACTTACTCTCACACTCGTCGACTATCAACAATACCATGCACGGCACCTCAGGGATATCCATTGCAGCAATTCGGAAATGTGCGCCTTTGGTCCAGAGTGTTGATTGGATTCGATTGTAGTGTTGTTTTGGGAAGAAATGGCTGGGCGCTTTGAGGAGGATGCTTGTGATTCAGGCATTGGCCGCTTTGCTGATATCATCTTTAAAGTATCACCCATTGCACGGTTTAACTGGCGGTGTACGTAAATTGATGTGCATGGCTTCTCTTTCAATGGTGATTTTTCTTGCTGCTGCTTCCATCTACCATAGGACACGTCGTGTCAGGAATAATTCATGCAGCCAACCATCAAAATTTACCTGTTTCAACTGCCCTCAATCCACCTGTGCCGTGTTGCAGTTACTCTGAAAGTCACGTTGAGCACCGAATAACAAGCTTCCATGAATTCAAGCTCGCTGTCGTCGTGGCCGGTCTTGTAATTGTATCCCGAAGCCTATGTGCCCCATAACACATGTTTGAACAACAAGCATATACATGACGCTCATAACATGAAATACTTACAGATGATCTAGGATATCAATAACTTGTATCTGCTCGGAATCCATATCTCTGACGCTGACAGCTTTGACTTGGTTGTCGACAAAAATAGAAGTGCCGCATGATCCTTGCTCATTTGCTTATTCCCATCCCACTGCTCGCTTCACTTGAAGAATCTTATGTATAATCCAGTTAGATGGGAGCAATCCAGCATAAATCCTGCCTTATCTTTCAATGTATACCTGGACACATGTATCAAAGATCAACAATCATTATTACCTTCAATGTTTGTGCTCATAATATCACTGTCATAAGCAGGCGATGAAACTGACGTTGTCTCATGCGTGTCTGCTTGTAGTTGTGTGTGTCGACAGCTTCATACTTGTCAATTGACGCCATCGCTCACTTGGAAGCCTTTCTGTAGGTACTTGGCAGCCCACTCATGCACATGATCCGCTACACCTGATAACGTCGTTCTTGTCGTGTCCATAAATAATCACGCGTACTCATCATCCAATTACAGCTCGTGCATGATAATATCCTAGGTCTCCAATCTTAGTTTCCTTGTTCTTCGAAATAAATCTTCCTATGCCGAGTATCACTTACCCATATCACGTTTCTTGCTTTCCTTTCAACTCCTTGATTCTCAAGAGGTAGCTACATCAGATGCAATGTGAGCATATGCTTCATTCAAGCAAGATGATCAGGATTTTACCTTATTCAGGGAGCCAAATATCACAATGACAGCAAAGACAATGAAAGCAGTAAAACAATGAAACGCTAAATGTCACCACGCATATATGAGTACATGGATCGCTCGCAAATGAGGACTATCCCACCATGGCACTTACCAAGGGCTTTGAGGTTCCAGCTCTCAAAGAGTGATAAAATGATGGAATAAAGAGATGTGTGGGAGTAAAACGACGGGCGACCACATTTCTTGTTTATATCTGCATGGTGGGCGTGGGTATTTCGGTAATCACAAACAAGGAGAAAGAGTGATAAAATGCTTGATGGGAGTGGTGATGGGCTGATAGGCTGATGTGGCGCCTTCATCAGTGATAAATCTGAAGAGCATTGCTGTGATTGATTGTCCATGCACGGGGTGCTTATCGTTGCATCCAAACGTCGCCTTGTGTGATAGCACTTTTAACAGGCTTGCGTCTCAAGGAAGGTGATCCAAGTCGCACAAGGAAGACATTGTAGCCGTTATCTTGGTAATCCATTGTACACGAACAGAGGATGCATATTTGATTGGCGTTGATCATGGCAAGTGAATGGCATCGATATCCGCTAAGGCAACATGGTCGTCTCCCCAAAACAGCCAAGGACAATGATGACACCCCTGAAGTGCTGTGTGATAATGGCAATATGGCCTAGGGACGGCCTTCTTGATCCTGTCAACATTTGGATACAGTACCTTGTTTAAGTACATTTGCACGTGACCATTCCGGAATGAACACTTCTTACCACAAGGTATTTCCTACTAGTATCCATGCTCCAGACAAATGTATCTCCATGCCAACCATATCGTGCTGCAGCAGCTGCTGTTTCATTGTAAGGCCCATTAATAACCAGCACTTGCTTTCTCGATCCAATACTATGCGTACCAATGAAACGATGTACACCATCACTCGTACTTTGAGATCATAGCTTGTTGCTGCCACAGGCACCGCCATCCAGCATGTTCAAGCTACAATAAATACAACGTTAAATAGGGAACACAGCGTTTGCTTTACATGCCTGCATACCCAAAGAAGTAATGTAAAAGAGTGCTAGGGACCTCTCCTTGTTGTCAACCATGGAAAGAATACACACCACGTCCCTTTGGATCGTGTATAAGCCAGAGAACAGGAACCTTCAAAGAGACATTTAGTACCACAGCTGTCAACTACATATAATAAAGTAATGCAGCGATTGTACGTACATGCTGTGCTAGAATGGAAGCCGAAGTCATGGTAGATCGCGCGTGCCTGTTGCTAACGGTTGTCTCATTGGGGAAGTGCCACCATTGACCACCTGTTGACCCCATTGACGCTGTGCATTGAGGGCCATGACAGCAATTAAGGCTTTGTAGTTTGTATACGGAGACAACCTTACCTTGCTCTGTGAAACGGAAAAGGAGAAGACATTGCACTTTCTTTGTTCCTCTCGCCGCCCTGAATTTATACAACAAAGTCATCCCCGTCAGCTACAACTATTGTTGTTAATGTGTACATCAGGTATACCCCATACACTTGGATCAGTATGAATTGCCACAACTAGAGAGTCCCCTTGAGCGTAGTCATCGTAACCAAGCTATTCATGATTTTACTTTGGCCCGAACTGGCATCAAGTAGGCCCGTGCGCTTCATTTATGCAGCTCAACTCACACACCCATCATAGATGTATGCATCCATCCATCCATGATAAATGTGCGTGTAAACCATTACCTTGACACACCTTCATGTTTGGATGTTGTTTTACTTACGTAACTTCACAAAAGACAATCATCATCATCATCCATCTGTGCAGCAACCTATCAAGGACGTGTCTGTGTAACCACCACGTGCGGTTTCACTCAGCTCTTCATCTTTCCGTTAATGCAGCCGACACCGTCCACTAGGAAAACGCAACTCCACCACGCTTACAGCATATGCAAAACATAAAGACGCCTGTATCTCTAAACTTTACAATGAAACGTGGGGTTTTGAATAGAGCAATGGGCTCGGCTTGGCCAACTACACCTTGGGTGAAAGTTTCACGTTGATCGTGGCCAATCCCAGATTTCGCAATGTCGCCACCAGCCAAACAGGATCTGGGGGTCGACCTCTTCGACGACGACGACCAAAAAATATTTTTTGGGTTAGTTGCGACATTGAACGTGAAACTTTCACACAAGGTGCTGTTGGCCAAGCCGAGCCCATTGCTCTAATAAAAACCCCACGTTTCATTGTAAAGTTTGGGGATACAGGCACCTTTATGTTTGTAAGCATGATGCTATATGAAGAGTGGTCTTTGTTCATTGTCAAGTCGCTGGACCCTGGCAGAGCAAAAGACGCAGAGGGACCTCTTTGTGTAACTCAGCTACTTTGCATGACTGGAAGGATGGAAGGATGATACTATATACTATTGACAATACCCCATACATTGCGAGCTAACACCCATTTCTTCACAATAGCCACTGTTGTCCACTCTATGACATGTGAGCAATTCTCCTGCTTCAGACATTCATTTCCATGATTGGATTATGTTGATCCGAGTTGATCTGGCTGAGATACAGCCAAAGAGGAATTACATCAATCCACACATCTAACCATGCTCTATGTTGCTCAACTGAAGTAACCTTGTATGAGCGTAGCTCAGCCAAATCAACTCGGATCAACATAATCCAATCATGGAAATGAATGTCTGAAGCAGGAGCATCGTTCCACTGTCATAGAATGGGCAACATTGCCGATTGTGAGGAAATGGCTGTTAGCTCGCAATGTATGGGATATTGTCAATAGTATACAGTATCATTCTCCCATCCTTCTAGTCATGCAAAGTAGCTGAGTTACACAAAGAGGTCCCTCTGCGTCTTTTGCTCTGCCAGGGTCCAGCGACTTGACATTGAACGAAGACCACTCTTCATATAGCATCACGCTTACAAACATAAAGGTGCCTGTATCTCCAAACTTTACAATGAAACGTGGGGTTTTTATTAGAGCAATGGGCTCGGCTTGGCCAACAGCACCTTGTGTGAAAGTTTCGCGTTCAATGTCGCAAACAGCCCAAAAAATATTTTTTGGTCGTCGTCGTCGAAGAGGTCGACCCCCAGATCCTGTTTGGCTGGTGGCGACATTGCGAAATCTGGGATTAGCCACGATGGACTTCATAGTTTGACACAAGATCGTTTTCACCCCGCCGAGCAATCTGGTTCTATTAAAGACCCCACGTTTCATTGTAAAGTTTAGAGATACAGGCGTCTTTATGTTTTTACTATATTGTAAGCGTGATGCTATATGAGAAGTGGTCTTTGTTTAATGTAAAGTAGTATGACTATAATAGAGCAAAAGATGCAGAGGGACTTCTTTGTGTAACATAGCCAAAAGTCAGCGCCTGTGGATAATGCATAATACTTGTACACCATTCAGGAACAGTTGATGAACTGCCAGCTAATAGCGCCTTCCACCCATTCACCTTTTTTGCCCAATAGAATGCTTATGAACGATTCTACTGCTCCATCCCATCATTCTCACCCTTCAACTTTCTTGATCCGATGAGATTTGACTGAAAAACGCTCAAACACAGAAACATCATCCAATATCAGAAGAATCAAATTGGTTAGTTATTTGTAAACTGTCACTTGATAGCCCATTCCTCCAATTCACCTTTGTTGTCCAATCCAATGCATACGAACGATTGTCCTGCTCCAGCTCAACACTTCCATCATTCAGCTTTCTTGATACGAGAGGATTCGGATGAGTTACGCTCAAACAAAGAAATGTCATCCAACACCAAAGAAATATACTTGAACTCCACTTCTTCCACTCGCCGCTTCTTCCCTCTTCCTCCCATTCGCAACGGTTGCCCCATTCAAGTACAACTACCACCATGCGAACGATTATCCTGCTTCAGCCGATCATGTCAATCCTACAACTGTCTTGATCCGATTGTCTTTGACTGAATGGCAAGTCCATGGCGTGTACACAGCGCTCTTGTCGCTCATCTACAGCACACGAGTCTCTTGACACGACACACGCTCTTGCACATTTCCCTGCCGCGACCAAACGTAACAGCATTCATTCCAGCAGTTGACATTAGCGAGATCTTTACTCTAGTGTCAAACAGCGTCCACAACCTTGTCACTCTACTATAACAAACGCTCTTGCACTCTCCACTACATCACCAACATCAGTAACAGCAGGTGATATTAGCAAGGTTTTTTACTCCATTGTCTCAAGCGACTTGCAGCAGCTTGCTTTGATGCATCCGAGTCATGAGAGAACTAGACCCAATGCGGTATGTGAGCTGGGGCGTGGCAATACATGGACACGAGGTTCCCATCTATTTTGCTTTCAAGTACCTCACTCATTCAACGCCAACTCACTACTCGGTTCTTTCAATTTCTTCACTTTTTTTTCTTCGAACCATGATGAACAACATTCCTTGCAATGATGCGCTCGCAAACATGATCCACGCTGCCTGGGAGCATCGATACCGATACAACAATCCATCGATATTGGACACTATTACCAAAGCCCTGGCACACCACAACATCAAAGCAACATACACAATAGATCCGACAGCATTTAACCGAGTTCATCATCGCTGTCCCCTCCTTGACGATCCCGATTTCAGGTAACCTCTATTACTATCGTCTGCTGGTGTACTTTGATTTCATGCTCATTGGTTTTTATTTTCCTTCTCAAGTGTACTTCCACCTACCCAAGCACACATGCCCCGTCCCCAAGTTTCCCACCTCCCCAACAACATCATTGTTTGTTTTCATTCCCATTCTCTGCCCATAGGCAACATGACATGGTGTGGTATGAATACGCGCCCTTAATCCAATACATCTTTTATCTTTGACGAATGGTATTCTACAGCAATGGATGGTATTGGGATAGCAGCAACGGATTTGGAATCATGGGTGAAGGATGCTTATGACGGCAGCAATCAAGGATGCAATGATACACTTACCTCTATTGCCTTTACGAGATCCACCCGTATCTTAGTCAATATGCAATGCTGTTCCTTTATCCTATTTACTTGATAGACAGCCACACTACTACTATACACTATTCTTCAACTTCGTCATTGGATTGACCATAATATTGGGGGTATCATGCTATCAGCTCGTATGGGCAAGATGTGGACCACTTGGTTGGCTTCTGGTTTGAAAGAGGGAATAGAAATAGAAGGTTGGAAAGCGAGATCGATCATTTACATCGTCGTATCCAGTGCCTTTGTTCTTTTGTCACAGCATATATGACTCCACTAAAGCTTTCTAGCACACATGCTGATAGCATACGAAAGACAGTGGCGGTTCTTAACGCTTGTATTCCAAAGATGGATGATGATGTCCAACATGTGCTTGCTTGCTTCAGAAGCATGGTTCATTGATTTATTATGCATAAGAAAGAATGAGCTGTTATACAACATGGCACGAGTACATTAACAAACCATGCTTAGAGAGCACAATTTTTAGCTATGCATCCTTTAGCATCACGTCCCAACTTCGAGCAATACACACACATGACACTCAATTTCTTATAGCTTTCTACTGGCCAACCATTTACAACGCCATCACCATGGCAGACAAGTAGACGATACTCTTTTATATTGATAATAAAGATAAACTAGCTATGCATGTGGCTGTTAGCTTCCTTGAGTCAAAGACCCCAAGTACTGACAGAGATGACCAACGTGAAGGTCGCCACACATCCATCTCCACCTCTCCACACGGGGCACCTTCAGCATGTGTCAAACGAGGTGATTGCAAGTGGGGGGACACTTGCAACCAGGTGGAGTTTAAGCCTTTACGACGCAAGCGCGTTCCCCAGATACTGCGTCCCCCAGTAACCGCTTGAGATTCTGCCCCCAACCCGTGAGCGATCTCTGCGCCACGTAAAGGCAGGTACCAATGATCCAAGACCGATACAAAGAACTGAAAAGGATTAAAGGAAAAAGAAAAACGACTGCTGCGGATTCTCTTTGCACTTTTTATTTTTCCAACGGCGTTTGAATGTGCGCTCCTCAAAGTCACGTGCCGAGACATGATTGTTCACTGAAAGATAGAACGAGCACCATTGAAGAGCAGCTTCTTCAACATAAAACAAACGCCATCAAGGTAGCTATCATCCACTATCAATGCTCCAGCATCGTGTTTTGCTAAATGGGCACATCTCTTTATAGCCCTCAATGTGGTCCGGGAGGGCAAGGTTAGCCCAGCACAAGCACTAATCGGTATGTATTCATGCTCCTTTGGTGATATAACACCATCAAAACTATATTAATCATTGTAATCATAGGAACTTTCAAGGTCTGCTAATGATGGAAACCATGCCCCATACTACAATTGTGAACAGGAGATCTCCCAAAAAGCAGCAACGGAAGGCTGCCAAGACAAGAATTTGAAGAGCCATCAATCAGCCCTTTCGGGCAAGTTCATGGCCTTTTGACCATAAAAGACGTGCGAGTAACTCGGCAAGTTATGGACATAGAAACAATAAGCAACTCGCTCTTACGAATAAAAAATGTATACTACATAGTTTTTCATTTCAATTGTTTCATTATGATGATATAAAATGATAATCATGTAATCGGACAACAGTGCTAGCATGCAAATGGTGATGGTGGTGTATGTGTATGTGCAATTGATGCTTGGCTGAGTGGGTGTCATGGCATGAATCCATATCTAGCTAATGAACGAATCGATGGATACACCTGCTTGTTGCTATGGTAACAAGGGGGACATCTTGTATAAATGGACCACTTTTTGGATAGTAAGTAGCGAGATGCTGTACGCCCCTTTACAAAAGTGATGCTAAGCTCACGTGAACTTCATTCTGATATGTTGCACATGTGAGACGTGCGGAGGCTCATTCTGCACAAGAAAATGGGAAGAGCGGACACCTGGAAGAGTGTTGTCTCTATCTTTATATTTAACTCTCGTTCCTTCCCTCGGATCGCGCCCTGTTCACATTCTTTTCGCCATGGCTGGAAAAGTATCAGTTTCAGCCGCATCTGAGGTGCAACCGACCACTATCACCAAGGCAAGTTTTATTTGATAAACGCGCTCCCCTTCTTTCATTTCAAATGTAGCTGACACATTGGCACGTGTTGTTGTATAGTTTGGTGGAAAGTATGTCTCTTACGCACATACCATCTGTGCTTACAGTAAGTCATTCTCATTGCATGGGTGCTCTATTGCTCACTGTATTACGCGATAGGTGCATTCTTTCTTGCTTTGGCTGTTGGTTGCTACACCCACTATTACAAGATTGTTCGCAACGAGCATTTTGGTTATCCAGACGTAAGTAATACTTCAATGGTGTCATTCACATTATGGCTAAAGGATGTGTGTGGGCATTGTATAGGAATGGTTTCCTAGTGTGAGCGCGACTACGGGTGACCGATATCCAGCTCGAGCCATCTTTCAAATCTTAATTGCACTTACATCCGGTCCCCGCTTTGCATTGGTCTTTCTTTGGTACTTCTACACGACTCGAACAGCTCGCACAAGTTCTCGTGGATTTGGCATGTTCCTTTTGATTGTTGGCATTGTTCGCACTGTATCTTGCGGTGGATGGGTCTATATCACTTCTACTGATGATCACCTCACTCATGATATCACCATGATCACCTACTTGGTTTGCACTCTGCCATGGCAACTCGGTGTCGTTTATACCAGCGCTCGCAACAATCAACAAGCTTTAAAATGGCGCCGTATCTTCACATTGGCCTTCTTCGCCACTTTGCCTCCCATGATCTATTACTTTTTGCAACACAAGATCCACAAAGTGCCTGGAGGTAAGGATGCGGTGATAACAAGGAGTAGCATGCATATACTAATAGGACCCTTTTTTCTCATTAGCTTATACCACCTATGCTTTCTTTGAGTGGTCGCTCATCCTTTACGATGTTGCTTTCGACGCAGTGACGGCACTTGATTTCCAGACATTCGAACTTTCTCTGGTGGATATGTCGGGAGGTCATGCTGGTGCAATTCCAGTGACAAAGGAAGGGTACGCATTGGTCTAGTGCTAGAGACTCTTTTTACTTCTAATTGTGTGTGCTGTAATAATAACGATGCTTTCTTTTCTATCTCCCTCCTCCTCCTCCTCCTCCTTATTCGTCTTGTGGTGTCAATGTATCAGTTCTGCAGCAATTGGAAGGTGAGAGTTGTACCACGATCTCTTTATTCGCCCTTATTGACTTGGACCATTTAGCCCTGAAGATACCATTTCGCCTACATTCTTACGTTCTCTAATTGCCATGCGTGGATACGCCACCGAAGCTTATCTTGGTATGGATACGGTTGCTATGGAAATTGGTTACAATGATTAACCTTTTACATTATAGCCTTTGTCTTTTGGTCGATGCTTACATCATTGGCTTTGCTTATTTGGTAAGGAAATGAAGGAGTGGATATGGAATTAAGCTGACCATGTTGCTGCACGCTATAGGTACTTCCCCTTGTGGTATATGGGTATCTCTGGATATGAAGCTTTCTTGTTGATCACTGTTGCACCCATGTTCCTTGGCATCCGCCCTCTCCGTCAACTCATGGCCAAGTACCGTGGCGTGTTCCATTTGTTCTCATTGATCGGTGTTGCATCCTATGCATTCCAAGACCCTGCATATCGTCTCTCGCTTACAGCTATTGGTTTGGCGATCAGCACAATGACTTGGACCGCCACATGGTTTGAAGCACGCGCCCATGTGGGTAGTTTGGAAAGATCGATTCTCATTTGGGGTATTGGATTGGTGTTGCACAATGTGGTCAAGATGGCGTGGTGGACCGAAAACCCCATTTGGCCTATTATGCACGAAGCAAATGGTGGCCGCAATATGATTGGCATTATTCTCGGTGTCGTTGCAGCCATTGAAGTGATTGTTCGCGATTTCAACTCTCCTTCAACTCATCATCTTGTCGAGCATGATCTTGGACCTGCATCTCCCGGTCAAACAACTGAAAACAGCAGCTGGCTCATGGCATCTTCTGGTTTTGGTGCTGTTCTCTTTGCACTTCATTCAATGTATTCGGATTCATCCACTATCATGCGTTGGACTGTTGATGGCTATCCCAACTATGGCCCTGAGCCTGTCCCATGGGGTGTCGCCACAATTGCAGCTCTTGGCTTGGGTCTTTGGATTTCTTCTATGCGTCGTATCACTACAAGCATTGCTTGGTATGCTGTTGGATGTCTTGGATGTGCCGTCTTTTACTGCTCAGCTGGATGGAATGCCTATTATGGTGGTCTTGTGCTTGGCTTTTATCTCATGTCGATTATGCCAGCCACGGTTCGTGCCATCACCACCCATCCTCCTTTCAAGACTCTTTTTACTGGTTTCATGGTTTACAATGTGTTGTGCCTTGCTCACGTGTGGGTTGTTGCATACGAATTCGTCCCTGGTGGCGTGTATGCTCGTGAACGCACCAATTGGATCTTGGTCACATTGATGCTCCTTATTGGTTGTGGTGTCCTTAATGCACACAAGCAGGCTACTATGGATAGTCAGTTTAAAAAGATGGCTCAATTACACATCATCAAGACCGCACGCACTCTCACACGTGTTGCTATTGTATCATCGGTGATTGCATCGGCTGTGATTGCTACCAACCGCGTCATTTCAGCTGTCACCCCTGCCCCTTATCGCCCTGCCGAAAAGTCCTTCACAGCTGCTATTTGGACCATTCACTTTGCATTGGATAATGACATGTGGGCAAGTGAAATTCGTATGCGCGATGCTATTCGTGATTTGGAATTGGATGTTGTTGGTACGTGTATCATTTGACCTGGTATTGGCTAAGCAGCACTGTTTCCTAATCCATCCTTATGTGTGTGCCATTATAGGTCTTTTGGAATCCGATACCATGCGCATTATCATGGGTAACCGTGATTGGGCCCAATTTATTGCAGAGGATTTGGGATACTATGTGGACTACGTAAGTAATACATATAACATGCATGTGACATGACCTAATAGATTTATACTTTATGCAGGGACCATCATCGATGAAGCACACTTGGGGATGCTTGATGCTTTCCAAATTCCCTATCTTACAATCGGAGCACCACTTGTTGCCTTCTCCTGATGGTGAATTGGCATGTGCCATTCATGCTACCTTGGATGTGTATGGTCAGCCTGTTGACTTTATCGTGAGCCACAATGGCCAAGAAGAGAACCCCGAGGATAGACGCCAGCAAACTACCGAATTAGCACGTATCATGCGCACCAGCACCAACCCATTTGTCTTTTTGGGCTATGTCGTGACCAAGCCGAAGCAACCCAACTATTACATCTTATTCGATGATGGCGATATGAATGATATTGACCCAACTGATTGGGATCGTTGGTGTGAATATGTGGGCTACCGTGGTTTGCGTCGTATCGGCTATGCTCGTGTCAGCCACGGTAAGATTACGGACACTGAGATTCAGACCGGCAAGTTCCAAGTGGTGGATAACCCACGCGATTACTGGAAGGCATCCTATGAGCGTATTGATGAATCGCAAGTCCCTGCTGCTTTGCGATATCCTACCATGTTCCGTGGTAGAGGTATTCGTGGCCATCGTTACCACGTCTTTAATGAACCCCGCTACTTTGTTCACTAAGCCTATTGTACTTTTTCGTTTACATTCTGCACGCATTATAATTAAAAGAAAAGCCCATCATTGCATGGTTACGCTACCCAAAAACATAGGGTCATGGGGTCCTTGGTTTACATCCTTATAAATACCTCCATGCAAAGACGTTGCATTTCTTTTTCTTTTCCCCTACATATCACCTACACCTAAAACCATGACAAAAGACGCTCTCGAGACATCAACAACAACTACACAATACGACCTTGACATGCATCCATGCAACGCATCCATTATTCACATTACCAATAAGATGACGCGGGAGTTGTCATACATAAAGATACGACATAATTTCGATGATAATTATGCCATTAGTTTGGTTGATCCAGGTACACTCATGACAACATGCTGCATCCTTTTCAACTAGTGATTAATGTTTCACATGGGAACATGCAGAGACTTTTATTCCTTGCGCCGAGAGTCATTCTATCAGTACAACGGAGCGATCACGTTCGATAGTTTTGCACGACAAACAAGCAATGGAGGTTCCCTTTACAGATACATCATCGCGTATTGGTTTTCAATGGAGCTTTGATTGGGAAGGCGATCAATACCGCTGGTACATATATATGTAAAGGCCCATCATCATCACCATTGCATCCACTGACAAGGTTCTCCTACATAGGATTCGCACAAGCAGGCTGCGCAATTCGTTAGAATGCCGTCGTTTTACCACCCAATCTGGTAACTTTTGTTTTCTATTTGACCTCTCAATTCTCACACACAGGCCCATATTAATCAATACAAATAGGCGATGTCTGTGCCGCAGTAGCTCAATATGCACCATCCAACAAAGGAAAGCACGCATTGGGTGTGTTATCGATTCATGCAATGGCGCCACATAGTCACCGATCACCGCTCGAATGGATGATCCACATGACATTGTTCATTGTGCTGGATAAAAAACTGAGCGATATGAATGGTGGTATTAGCAGCAAGCTTCCTTGGTGTAGTCTACGAAAGCATCGGCATAACCATTTAAGCAGCATGGAGGACGATCAAGACAAAGAATATCCAAAAGCAGTTAGCAGGGAGAAAATGATGGTGGATCATGGGGAATCGATTATGGCAGCAGGCAAGGAATCGAACATACTACCAGCACCACCACCACCAAAGTCATGGAACATACACCAAATGAATCTCATTGATGCCACTGCTACGTTACGCTTGCATTCGAATCATCACACAACGGCTCACCATCACAAACTTGAAAATCTATTCTCTTCACATGACCATCATGCACCACCGTCAACAATGCCAGAGCAATTGTTGACACCATCACCACCACCACCACAACAACAACAACACCGGCAAATTTCATTGCCGTTATCATCATCATTATCCCGATATCAACAAACTGCGGACGGTGGTTCCTGTGACAATAGCCAATTCATTTTGCAGCGACCCATATCTTTACGCAGAGTGTCAGCTGGTGGGAACCACCGTGGAGATTATTTCCAACAAAGAATACAGTATGCTCATTATCCTTGTTTTCCATACTTTAATAACCCTTCTCCTTCAGCCCCCCAATTCTACAATACGTACTATTATTATGGGTATCATTGATAGTTGTAGAAACAATGAACTGCTTTCTCTATCATGTTCTCGACTCTCATCATTGCACAAAGTTTTTGTTTGCATGTTACGTGAATGAGCACACGGCCCGTAAACCCCTTTCTGTTTCGAGTACCCCACCTCTTATTGGAAATCACAAACACGATACGGGCAAAATGTGCCACATTAGCTATTTTGTATTGAAGCAAAGAGTTTCTGCATCTCGAATAAACCTAGCTTGGCTTCAAGGATAAAAAAAAACCTCATATTAGAACAATGAATGATTCCATGAAACAAGGAGGAGCAGGGTAACTTACGTATGGCGACATGCATATCAAGAATAGAGCGTGCCATGGTCTCGATTTGAGCAAATTGATCGGTTTGGAAATACACCATCAATAACATTGGCATTTCAGAGACGCCCGATTGGAGTAGCTGTGAAAGAACTTGGCCTAGGTTACGCTGCATGAAGCCCCAAGAAATCAGTATCATCCTATAAGCCATCCCCTGCGTTTCCTTCTATTACCTGTGATCGTATTGCTTGATCTGATACCACTAGCATGAGGCTTAATGAAAGCTTTACAATCCTATTCATCACACATTAGCGTATATTTTCATCCATGGTGTTTTTCATGATGCTACCTTTCTGTTTGTGACGTTCGACATAGATCCAAGCATTTTGCAACCTCCCCTTCAGTCAGCTTGATTCCCAGGTATCCAACCAGTCCTGCTAATGCACGTATGGCCATTGCCAATTCCACCTTGGAGTTATCGTTCTAATATCAAGCAATTAGAGTAGTAAATCAGTATCCTTTTCCTTTCCATGTATGATTTTATATACTCAAACGTACCTTGGATCGCTCGATTTCTGCAAATATCCTCGTCTTGATTTTGTTGAAATGCGCTATACTGCTTGCTGTTTGTGCCATGAACCAAGAAGGGAAACCGTGAAAGATGCCATTCAAAACGTCAATCTATTTTACGCGTTAAGATTTCACATGTGCATCCATTTCCATCATCAACAACCAACCTCATCCTTGCCATGAACCACTGTGATCCTTATTATAAGTTCGGGTAGTAATTGTCGTCCAATGAGCTTGTATCGAATATCAGCCGCATGCACCGGATGTTCCTGAACGATTGTATAGACCATCTCACTACATAGAACACCCAATGAATGAGCTTTGTCCGATCCATCTTATAGTGTCCGATGTCTTACCAGAGGTATATTTGGTAACGGGATGATGATAAACGACCAGCGCTTTGTAGTAATTGCTCCGTGACCTAGCATTGGGATACGATTAGGAATCAATCAAAATGCATTGTTAGGGTCCAATTACCTCTGGGATCACTAATGGATCATATTGCACAATGCAACGCACGATTTCACACCTTGTTTGCAAATGAATGAACCCTTCAAGGAGATTCTACAATGCATCTAACTATGAGCCATAGCTTCAGCATCAGCATCATCCATCCATGAACTTACATTCCAAGTGCCTTGCCGTAGTGGATCTTGATCCTCAAGCTCATCAAACCAATCCAACGTTGACACCACCTCTTGTGCGTTATCATGTAAAAATGTCTCGTTTGTCAAGAGCCGTATACCAGGTCGGATATGCCGTCCAGCAAGATCTGCATTGGTAGGGAAGCGAACCATGACGGTTTGAATAAAGAAGCACTCTCGTAACAGATCGCTATCCAAATGACACGTGTTAAACAATAGGATGGCGGTGCTCATTCCCAACGTACAACTTCCAGCGCTCATTGCCAAGATCGTGGTATGTGATATTGCCGTATTGGTTCTAAGTGGGAGCCTGCCTATTCAGCAACCTACGGGTGTCAAGACGTTGCCAGTGTCATTTTCTTACGTGTGCCTCCTCCAGCCCAATCTTGGTCACACTGCCTTTGTATTCATTGTAGCGCTGAGCGATCGTAGTAGTAATGGGCGACTCGTCCAGATCCATAGGTCAATAAAGAAGAAAGAAGTGGTTGATCCAAATTCAGTAACCTTGTCGGGGTCTACATGTTCTCTTGATACATCAATAATGCAAACCCTCACGTCAATGCTTCCTGCTTTTCGACATTGTTGACAAAGATACTACACGTTGACTGTTGTAAGGGCAAGACCAATGTTCCATGATTGCTTCTTTAGAGGCCTTCAGTACCCACTGACGGCTTTTGACATTAACAGCTTATCTCGATTACATAGCATGTAGCTTTTATCAACCGTTCTACTCTTAATAAATGATACGTTTATCTATCTATTTCTCGTTTGATGATCAGGGTAGCCTGCAAACTAGACGTTGTTCGATGTGCCTGTAGAAAGATCATGCGTCGCCTGGCAACGACATTCACTGGGCTGTGATTGGATTAAGCTCAGCCGTACTTTAAAAGCAGCCGCAGGCAGCACAAATTTTCTTTGGACATCCTCTCTCACTCCTCCTTCACCACCATGGTCTTGCCAGTGACCCAAGCCAACAACGTCAAGGTTTACACCGTTTCAGGTGGTCTCGGCTCCCGATCGATTCCCGATTGGATTGTGCGAAAACGCAAGAGACAACTCAAGAAGGATCTGGGTAAGACTATATAAGATTCTCGGATCCAAGGTTGAGATCTAACGCTTCGATCGATTACAGAATACAGCACACGAGTCGAGCTTATCCAAGATTTCGAGTTTCCACAAGCATCGAATTGTATCCGCACTTCACGGGATGGCAATTTTGTTATTGCTACTGGCACTTACAAACCACAAATGCGAGTGTACGAATATGCTGAAGCATCCATGAAGTTTGAACGACACACCGATTGTGAATCTCTCAAATTTGAGGTATGTTTTCTTATTGACAACAAGAGGGAAGAAGGATGTAGACTTATCAAGGGCATGTGTATCTAGGTTTTGTCGGATGATTGGACCAAAACGGTGCATTTGCAGGATGATCGATGGATCGAATTTCATACACAAGGTGGACATCACTACCGCACACGTATCCCCAAACATGGTCGTGATCTCGCCTATCATTTTCCTTCTTGCGACTTGTTGGTTTCTGCATCCACCCATGAAGTATATCGACTCAATCTCGAACTTGGACGTTTCTCAACACCTATTCAAACCGATGGCACTGAAGGTGTCAATTGCGCCGAGATCAACCCTGCACATCAATTATTCGGCTTTGGTACAGCCAACGGCACCGTTGAATTATGGGATCCACGCTCCAAGGCAAGAGTGGGCTTGTTGAATGATATCAAAATCCCTGCATCGGTGGTCGACGAATACAACAAGGATCCTATGCAGATCTCAGCACTCAAGTTCAGAAATGATGGCTTGACGATGGCAGCTGGTACCTCCACAGGACACACATTGCTATATGATTTGCGATCGAGCGTACCTTATTTGATCAAGGATCATCAATATGGTCTACCCATCAAGAACATCCATTTCCATGAGGGTGGAGAGACGCCTCGTGTTATTGTTTCCGATAAAAAGGTCATCAAGATTTGGGATCGCAACAATGGCAAGCATTTCACATCCATCGAACCCGAGACGGATATCAATGATGTGTGTGTGGTGGAACAAAGCGGTTTGCTATTCACAGCCCAAGAAGGAATTCAAATGGGTGCCTACTATGTGCCACAATTGGGTCCTGCTCCACGATGGGCCTCCTTCCTTGACAACATCACTGAAGAAATGGAAGAGAATCCCAACCGTGATATCTACGACGAGTACAAGTTTGTTACCCGAAAGGAACTTTCAGCATTGGGTCTCGACCACCTTATGGGTACCAATGTTCTCAAAGCCTACATGCATGGTTTCTTTGTCGATCTTCGATTGTACGAGCAAGCCAAGCTTATCGCCAATCCATTTGCCTATGATGAATACAGACAAAAGACGGTGCGTGATAAGATTGAAAAGGAACGTGGATCCCGTATCCGTGTCAATACCAAGTTGCCAGCTGTCAACAAAGAAGTCGCCAAGAGTCTGCTCGAGTCAAAGAACAAAAAGAAGAATGGCACCGACGTTCTCGAGGACGATCGTTTCAAGCAAATGTTTGCCGATCCAGAATTCGAAGTCGATACAGAATCCAAAGAATACCAATTATTGCATCCTAACACAGTCGTAAGTATCTTGGCTTTTTGGCGAGGGGTTTACATCATGACGGCATATTAATTCTTTGATCTATATAGAAAAAGAGACGTGCCATTGATTCCGATAACGAAGATGAGGATGAAGAGGATGAAGAGCAACAAGAAGAGGAATCGGATGTGGATTCTGATGATAGCGAACGGATGTCGGGCGATAGCGAAAGCGAAGATGATCTTGTATCCAAAATCCGCAAGGAACGCGGTATGCATGTTCGATCCAAGAAAAAGACACAAACATCTATACGAAGCGATGCTGGCAAGAAACAAAAGACCAAGCCCAAGAATGGCAAACGGTCCTTGGAGATGCGGATGGGAACAGATGGTGGTCGTATGGCAAGTAGGAATGAGGATCGCAAGTCCTTTGGAGAACGTCTCAAGTCTGAAAAGTCACAACGACGAAACGAAGGTCATCGTGTATCACGGACAGCTCTTGGTGGCATGGAAATGTCGTTTACACCCCAAAGCCGTCGCAGAAGAGGAGGTGGTGGCCGATAAAGGCATATTATGGATATCTTTTTACCATTGCATTGTCAATAAATTTCATCTTTTTTCATCATGTGATAAACCAAGAAAGGTTTGTGAGAGGGTAACAGCTGTCATGCTCTTTCATGTGTGTGAAACCATCAATCATCTTTAAAAGGGTTTAATTCTCCTCTTGCATTTCTTCTTTTCTCTTTCGCGACTTTTTACTTCAACATGGATTATGATCAGCTACCTGGAGTCAATCCTGGACCACCTATGGATGAATGGCGTATTACATCAACACGAGGCGATAGTGTGCTATTCAACTTTAGACGGCATGTGAGCGACTATACCGCAGCATTGGCACTCATTCGAGAAAGCTTTTGCGAGACACAAGTTGTAGCAGCAAGACAAGTGTACGCTCCACATCCAAATGAGGATTGGATTATTGTTGAAGTGCTCTTTACTGAAGAGGATGAAGGAGTTGCACGTATGGATGCCATCGCACATGGGATTCGATTATCACCAAACAAAGAAAACGGCTTGAGTGAAGTTGAGCATGACGTGGTCTATGGATTGCCTTCATGCACTGGAATGCGATATATGGCACTTGGGATTACCAACATGGAACTACAACCACCCGCAGCCGCGTATGCATCATATAATGCACTTTCCAGAGCCGTGGATCAATATGGTCGTGGTAATCTCGTCAAACATATATGGCTGCATGAACAACATGACATGTATGATGGATGTGCGACAATCATATTGAATGAATTCAGTACAATGAGTTTGCACTCGATCCAGCAACGATGGATTTATGATCGTCGATTCCCGAATACATGTGTCGTTCGAATTTGGCCTGTCGGATGCTTCTTTTGCTGTGATGTATGTCGTACTCTCGATCATCATGACACCAGAGATCATGCACCCGTTGTCTTGCATCAGCATACTCAAACAAGTGAAGCATCCTCTTCTTCCTCCTCGTGCTCTTCGTCTGTATACGCCATGTCACCTGATTGATAATGTCAATCATTGGAATACCTCCTCATGTTTGCTTAACACCTTTGCACAAATACCATCACACCTTTATATGCTACGGCTGCTTTTAATAAATAGCGCACGTTGTGTTGGATCAATCTACTCTATGCATTCTAATTGAGATATGATCACGATACTAGCCACAATGATGATTTTCAAAATGACCCAACCAAGCATGGTTTGCCTTTCTTTTACATAATAACGAGATGGTGCTGCTTGATCAAGTCCCACATCTTGTGGGAGTTTAAGATGAAGCACCCAAAATCACATTCATATACTATCATTGTTTTCCATTTTGTATCTTTGATGATGCTCACGACAATGACGACTACGAATGATGGCCGATGATGTAGATGAACATGCCACGATTTATTATTCACCTCTATTTAGCTAGCTTGTAGAGTAACATATAAGCTCATATGGAATAAATGCAGAGTATACAGTAAAGAATGTGTTAGCTTTCAGAGGAAGTGACCCTTCAATCCATTGAGTTTCACGATGAGCGATCACCGTATTGGATGTTGTTTACGTACCTTCGTAAAGGTAATCATCATCCCATTCATGCAGCAACCTGCAATGGCGTGTATGTGTAACCACCACGTGCTTTTATTATTGCACCCAGCTTTTCACCTTTCCTATACTGCTCTCACAACCATCCATTAGGAGGATGCAGCTCCATCACGCTCAAAGTAGAGCGACAACATGCAGGTACCTGTTTCCCGAAATCTTCATAATGAAGTATCAAGGTTTCATGAGGGCGAAATCAATCAGCATGCCCAACGGCATCTTGTGTCAAAGTTATAGGTTCGAGAGGGGCAATCTCAATATCAAGGATTGCTGTACAGTGTTCATGCATTTATACAAGAGGTGTCGGACAGCTCAGCCTACTTAAATTTCCACTTCCTCCCTCTTCCTCCCCATTGTCAACTGTTGGTGCATTCAAGTACAACTACCACCTACGAACGATTGTCCTGCTTCAACCCATCATGTCAATCCTACGATTGTCTTGATCCCAATGTCTTTGTCTGAATGGGCAAGTCCATGGCGTGTACACGGCTTTTTTTATCACTCTATTACGACACGTGCCCTTGACACAACACACGCTCTTGCACACTCGTCTGCCTCAACCAATCGTAACAGCAGCTGCCACTAGCAAGGTCTTTACTATATTGTGTCAAACAGCATTCACAACCTTGTCATTCTACTACGACACACGCTCTCTTGCACACTCCTCTGCCCACGACCAAACGTTACAGCAACAGCTGCTATCATGAAGATCTTTATTTCATTGTCTCGAACAGCGTTCTTTGTTTGCAGCAGTGCCTTGCAGTCTTTTTGGACATGAACAGCAGATAACCATTGTATGGAAGTCGCGTTATTTATGTACAGCAACTTGCTTTGGTACATACGGATACCAATGGATGATCCATATCAGCTACCAAGCACACCGCAATACAAGCAATTCTTCACCTGGTTGAGCAACGATGGAATAAAGAGATGAACCCACAGGTGGATGGAGAAGGAAGTATGATGCGATCGCATGGCTTTTTTCAACCAACAATTGGATTTACAATAGTTATGGATGGATGGATGGATGCAATCAAGTGCACTGATGGTGAATCATGGAATGTTTCTTTGGTTACTTGACGCGTCGTCAGCAGGAAGGAAGGATCCTATCTCGCGGATACGGCTAAGGATGATGATGGATTGGATGGAATTGACAAAAGGGCTTGTATCTTTGACGAATGGTGTTGTACAGCCATGGATGGCATTGGAATACTCAAGTCATACTACGCAGCGACGGATTTGGGATCATGGACAAACGAGGTTTATCATGGCAGCAACCAAGAATGCAATGACACCATCATCCCTGTGGCCTCTATGTGATTCACCCCTCGTATCTTTGCAATGCTGTTCCTTCATCCTATTTACTACTTGATATACACCCACTCATACAACTATATACTATTCTTCAACTTGGTCAATGAATGAAAATTGGATTGAACATACTATTTGGGGTATCATGCTATCATCTCGTATGGGCAAGATGTGGATCACTTGGTTGGTTTGTGGTTTGAAAGAGGGAGTAGAAATAGAAGGTCGTAAAGCGAGGTTGGATCATTGACATCGTCGTATATTGTATTGCAAAGATAACTAGCTTGAGAGTGATGATGCCCAACATTTGCTTGTTACAGGGCATGGTATTCATTGTGAGCTTAATGCACTATATCCAAGAAAGATCCGTTATGTATACGACATTCTACAAGCACATTAACTACCCATGCTTACGTATCTATGACAGATCTCAGCTAACACTATCCCGTTCATCCTTATATAAGAAAGAATCATTCGATACGGCCGTTATGGGCGGACCTTGCTGTAGGGAGGCAAGGGAAGGATCAATCATGCATATCTCCACCAATAGGATCGACCCTTCAAGTCTAGCTCAGTTACACAAGCACGTCCCTGCACATCTATGGACTATAGCTCGTTCTTATATAAGGTTGCATAAGATAGCGTTAGTTGAATATTGCAATACGTAAGCATGACATGTTCATGTGCTCGCGAAATTGTATCATAGCTCACTCTTTCTTCAGCATAATGGATTAAGCTTACAATGAACCATGCTTCTTCTGCAACAACAAGCACGTGTTGGGGATCATCACTCTCAAATTTATTATCTTTGGAGTACAATAAGCGTTTGAGAATCGCCGCTGCCTTTCGTCTACTATCAGCACGTGAGCTAGGAAGCTTTGGCGAATGTGTAATGTCGTGGCCAAACGACAAAAGCATCTCGATACAATGATGTAAATGATCCAACCTCGCTTTCGACCTTCGATTTCTATTACTCCCCACCCCCTTTCATCCCAAAAACCTGCCAAGTGATCCATATATATGAGCTGATAACATGATCTTCCAAATAATACATTGATTCAATGAAAAAGTCGAAGAAAGTACATGGTAGTGGGGGCATTTATCAAGCAAACAGGATAAAGGAAACAGTATTGAGAATTGAATAAGATACGGGTGCATCACATAGAGGGATAATGGTGTCATTGTATTCTTGGTTGCTGCCATCATAACCATCCTTAATCCATGACTGCAAAATAGTTGCTGATGCATTGCCCTCAGGTATTCCAATATCATCCACGCTTGTAAAACACCTTTCATCAAAAGATAAAAGCCCTCGCGTCAATTCCATCCAATCCATCATCATCCTCGGTTGTATGCACATGGTATGATCCTTCCTTCCTGCTGGAGACGCGCCGAGTAACCAAAGCAACATTCCAGGGTTCCCCATCACTGCACTTGTATGCATCCATCCATCATAGCCATAGCAAATCCAACAAATAGATCGAAAGAGCCTTGTGATTGCTGCTGATATCTGCTTCCTTTCCATTCCGCTTATGTGAAGGTGGAGGGTGATGTGACATAGACCATGCATGGCGAAGCTGATGCACACTTGTTCGTCGTAATTCCAAATTGTATATCAAGTCGCAAGGCTTCACTATATGAAAAGCATTGTTAATAGCCATATCGATCGACCCATCCATTCTCTTCTGTGTCTTGCTAATCAGGCGAATCATATTACAAGATCTCCTGTAGTGCCATACTATTGGATAATGACGCGTGCATTGGTGGATGCAAAGATGATCGTATCCCATGGTTGTTGCATAATAGATATAGCTGATCAACATGCTGCAGAAGAACACTCATGAAAATTACTCTTGGAACTAGTTGTTCGTCGTCACCAAAGCATGACAAGGAACTCGAGTGCAAGCACGAGCGTTCATTCCTCTGCTTGTTCGTTGGGATAGCTCGTAAAGTATGGGAGCCGAAGGTGCCATGTAGCAAATCGTAGCGAAAAAGTTGTTGTGTTCAGTTGAAGAAGAAGAGTAGAGAGAGCACCAGACCGTGTCAGTGCATCTAATCCAGTCGTGTCATCGAGCGAAACATGTCAATTGAGGACGAATGGGAGGAGTCGGAAACACAATAAGAAGAGAGGAGAGCAAGAATGAAAATCATTTTGTTTCTCTTTCGCGACTTTAAATGTTTCAAGACACGGTAAGCGAGTATGTGCGTTGGAATCCATCTGAGCCTATCCTTGACCCATACCTTATGTTTATAGCTTGATCAACTTGAAAAGCAGACGAATCCAGAACAGTGGCCGCTCGTCAGACATGTCTACATGGATCTCACGCTTGGTATACAGGGGATGAATGTGACATAAAAGCACTTGTCGCTTACATTTATTGCATTTGTATATACAAACACAAGCCAAGATGTGGGAGAATGTACAAGTATACCCCGTGGAAAGCCTGCAAACAAGCATCTTAGTAGGGCATGAACCTGACACACCGGTATGGCATTCAATTGATTAAGGAAGAAGTGATACTGAATATGAATGGTAGCCTGAACAGCAACTTGTGATCCTTCCCATACTTCAAGAAAAGACAGTGTCCATGGATCGGTAAGTGTAACAATGGAAGCGAATAAAGAAAAAAGGTATTCATTATGAGCAGCTTGTCATCCTATTTTAAGGCATTACGTGCAGCTGGCTTTGCCAACCAAAAGGGACAAGCTCTTAGGTAAGAGCAAATGACTGATAGCTTTCTTAACCATAACCCATTCAATTATCCATATCACCTAGCAAACTGACACTTGCCATCATTGCCCCTGATTCGACCATTGTGTATTATCATGTCCAACCTGGCCTCGTTCCACCCTCATCTTCCAATGTCAACAACAACGATGATGATTAAAAACCTTTATATTAGATGTGTATATATGTACTACTTAAATCCAATGACCACTACGCCGAGCTGTTTTTGATAATGCCACGGCCGTAATAAAAAGCACACCGGTATCAAGCGATCCGATTTCCTGGATAGCACGCAATGTATAATACCGTGATGATTCCCAATAGCCACGTGCATGAGCCCATGCTTGACCTGCCGATGCCAATGTCAACACCAACAAGGCTGATCTCTCAGCTGCGATACGACGTTCCTTGAGTGCTAGACCTGCTAGCAATCCAAGTGCCAAATGCATGACACCCACCATGCGTAATGAATCCGTAGCCAAGGTCGTTGCTGCCACCACATGTTTCTTTTCTCGTTGCATGGAGACGGGGACTTGGATGTATCGATCAATCGTCCGATTAGGTCGTAGCATCAGTGATCGTGCAGCTGCCAAATGATAGATAAGGTTGACTAGCAGTGGTAGATTGTTGTCCTTGAAGATGTAATAGGCTACTTTGCCGAGTGCTGCACGTATCATGTTCCAAATCGATGCTCCCGTACTTTGTTTAGGTGCAACGGCGGATGATGAAGATGACGAGGAGGAGGATGCAACTGAGTTATTGCTATCATTGACTTCTGGATAAGGTATATCGGTGGGGTGTTGACGAGATTCGGATTCGGTCAAGACAAGGGATCGTGGCGAAGGGGGTGATGGCATAGATGGTATCGAGGACGACAATGAAGACGCTTGCATAACATCGGGTGTGCTATCGGATAAACTACGTGCAGGTTGCGAAACGAGTGAAGCCGTCGACATGTCCAATGAGTCGCTCATTGTTGTTATGAAAAGAAAAGAAGGGTATGTGTGGGTATTAAGACAAGGGCAAGAACAAGAAAAGGTGCTATTTTTCACATGCTCCTAATAGCAACTACGATACTTTTGGCTTTAGTCAGCTTGTGTGTCGTACACAGGAATTACATACAAACAATGGATCATCTTCTTCCCCCCCCCCAACAACTTTTTGGTTTCTCTATTAAATGGATGGCACAAGTGCCATTTTATTACTTGTTTGCATTGCTAATGTATTGTTGAATGGGTGAATGGGGGTATTAATTAACAAGAAAACATAAAAGGGAGGGGGGCGATGACAACAAATGGTTGCTGCTGCTGATGCTGGTATGACATGGTTTTGCGTCGGCCGTATTATGCAGTGAAGAAATGGTGTAGATAGGACGATGCTGTGGTGATATGTTGATTTTGAGTATATGTGTTGGGGGGATGTAAATTAAGCTGCTGGTGCACTGTGGCCACTGATGAAACCGCAATAGAGGAGATCGTCGTTTGTCATAACGCACGTATTGGATGGAAGACAAGCACGCACCAAAAGTCGTCTCAATCTTTCATGCGAACTATGACATCCAGCTATATCCCAAAATAATACAAATTAATCTCTTGTCATCATCTTATTATCCCCATTTACGTACCTGCTGCTGCGCGTTCAAACCATAGCGTCGCTTGTTGCAAGTCAACGGGACATCCAAGACCTTTTTCAAAGCAATTGGCAAGATGATACATGGCAGCAACATGCTTTTGATCTGCAGCACGTCGAAAATGATCAAAGGCAGCGGTCAAGTCCTGCTCGACACCAAGGCCACATTGCAAATGAACACCAAACTTGTCGAGAGCTCTAGCATGATTTTGTGCACATGCTTGACGATACCAATGTACAGCCTTGCTATTGTCCTTTGGAACACCAATGCCGTTGGCATAACAAAAACCGAGGTTGCATTGAGCCCATGGATTCCCTTGCTTAGCACTCTTGTGGTACCAATACGCTGCACGAGCTGCATCCTTCTTGACTCCAAGACCTTCCTCATAACAAAAGCCAAGCGAGTTTTGTGCAAGAGCATTCCCTTGTTCAGCCGAGCGACGAAACCATTTCACAGCCTCACGTTCATTTTTGGGGACACCAATACCATTACGATAGCAATAGCCAAGTGATAATTGTGCAGGTGCATGATTCTCTTCTGCCGACAAATAATACCAAAATACTGCTTCTTGAGGATTGGCATTGACACCGATGGCGTTTTGATAGCAATAACCAAGCGAATGGTAGGCGAAAATGTTGCCGCGTTCAGCTGATCGTCGATACCACTTTACAGCTTCCTTTTCATCGCGTGTGATGCCGATGCCGTTTTGGTAGCAAAATCCGAGGTTGTGTTGAGCACGTGCATGTCCTTGAATGGCAGCTTTTCGATACCAATAAACGCCTTGTGCATTATCTCTTGGGATGCCAATGCCATTTTGGAAACAATAGCCGAGATTGCATTGTGCCCATGGATACCCTTGCTCTGCTGATCGTTGATACCAATAGGCCGCCTTTGGAAAATCTTGCTTCACACCAATCCCATCTTCATAGCAATATCCAAGCGAGTTTTGAGCGAATGCATTTCCTTGTTCTGCTGAAAGTCGATACCATCTTACGGCTTCGTTGACATCACGCTCGACACCAATACCATCTTCATAGCAATAGCCAACATTGTAAATGGCAACAGTCTCACTTTGTGCAGCAGCGCGTCTATACCATTTGATGGCTTCGACTGGATCCTTGGCAACACCAAAACCTTCACCATAGCAATAACCGAGAATTCCTTGACCACGAGGATGACCTTGCATGGCACTTGCTTTGTACCACCGAAAAGCGGCATGTTCATCCTTTGGCATGCCGACGCCGTCATGGTAACACACACCAAGTGCATATTGAGCAGCTGGGTCATTATCAATGGTAGCAGCTTCGACGATCCATCCGACAGGGTTGGTAGACGTTAAGCATCGCACTCGATCAGCCCATTCTTCTGCTTCAGCACGATCGATGCGTACATTGGGACGACCATACTTTCGCAAGAATGATAATCGAGCCATAGCCAATCCATCATGCATTTGTGCTCCTCGTTGATAGTGTGTCTCCGCGGCAACAAAATCCTTGGATACACCGAGACCAAACTCATAGCAGAAACCAAGTACGCCATGAGCAGCTGCACTGCCTAGTCGTGCCGCATCTTCATAATACGCCAGTGCTAATGTGGGTGCCTTTTTGTATCCTTTGCGTCCAAATAAGAAATGGTTGGCGAGTTTGAACAAATAGTGTGCCTTTGCTGCTGGTGAATCGCTGCTGTGGTACTGATCGTGCATGAGATGGGGATTCAAAAGACAAGAGGAGGAGGAAGGTGGAGGTGGAGGTGGAGGAGGACTTGAATGACGCTTGTGATGTAGTTTGGCAAGTGCGATGCGTGAACGTTGTATGAACTGAGAAAAAGGAACGGGAGAGGGGGTCATTGTTACGGAAGAGCAAAAGGGAGAAAAAAGGAGCAAGAAGCCCTGAAGTAGAAAGAAGCACACTTTTCTTACCTGAATAGATGAACACACAATCAGATCATGTTCCTCTTTCATATGTTCTGCCCGGATTATCAAACCAATGACATTTCAAAGGAAACGAAAAAGGAGCTTTTCATTAGTTTCTCTCGCTCTATTCATCATCCATCATCATCATTATCTTCATTCTTTCATCTTCTGGGTTACCTATCAATCGCTTTGATTAGTAGTCTTATCCCGACCATGCATGATCACACATCGTCTTCCATCATTCTAACTCATCCCCTTTCTCATCACCTCGGCGGGTCAAATGGAAATGCATGATACTAAGCTACTGCCCCAAACATAGTAAACCATCACATCCCATTCCCTGGATATCACTGGATGATATTTCAAAGCTTTGGATGTATCTTGATGTGCTATGTGGCGTGTGCAACAATGAAATGACGTTGGATGGATTTTGTATGGTTCTTTCTTCTCTCTCTCCTTGATGCACGGATAAACTCCAATGGTTGGTTTTCGGCATATCATTATAACCACCCCATTGGTGATCTACGATCGCAGATTCATCCGTAATGAAACATAGTACTGACATCATTTCTCCATTGTTTCTCCCTTCCCCCTTCATTGGTACATTAGCATTTTTCGTCGTTTTCGGTAAATGATGGGCGCGATCGCTGGTATTGAATTTGTCTTTTTTTTTTCTTTTCCCTCTCTCATGCGGCCTGCCAAGCTCAGAGGTTGCCTTTTATAGACATTCAGGGGTATTGAATGTGGGCTTTTATGCTGCTCCAAATCAGTTGATCCACATGGTTCGTGGACGTGAGACACAGAGAAAGAGCGTCATGGAGATCATAAACCACAACATGAGCACGTTGGTGTACGACATGTCATTGTGCAATGCAACACTTTTACCATGTGCTTTATGTTTGGCGTATTGTTGTAGCCCCGATTCATAAAACTGTTACAAGCTCATGCATGTTGATTGAACTGCCAGGCTACCATTGCATCCATCACAGCATACAGCGTTTCACTTTTTAACACATTTACATGCAGTGATCCTCTCCATATGTTGCTGGTATGGTGACGCAATAAAACGGTGGTGCTGTGATACCAAGGATAATAACGTTTCAATGAGATTGCTGTAAGAAGATGAAAAAAGAGATACACGACATGTTGCATGCTGTAGTCACCAACGAGGCTTATCAACAGTGGGGTTCAAAACATTTATGATACAACATCGCTTAAGCGATGGGCATTTAAAAAGGTGCAAGCAAGACAAGAAGTATGTACATAGTTTGCTGCAATGGCATGGGCGCCTGTTATTAGGGATGCACATTGTTAGACGCTCCTTCGCTTGCAATCAATAAGCAAAAAAGAGACACGCATGTCAATATAAGCTTTCATAGCAATTCATTGACAAAGCTATTTCATGACATCTGCAGTATTGATAATACGTTGCAAAGGACATGGTTGGCATGGTAATCGGTTTCTATGGCAACCAGAAGTACCTGTATAGAGACCTCTAGTTACCCGACATCTCATTTGGTCATGTGGGGTCAAAAGACCAACCATGTATTGCACAAACATTGACAACTTGACTAATCAATCTCGGGCTAACAGCGACGCTAGTAGTAATAGCTGCGAAAAAACCCTAGCACAAATGAAGTACACATTTAGTAATGCCTTGAAGGAAGCATGTGTTAGGGGGATGATAGGATTGTTGTCATAAGGATTACATTAATGAAATGGATCAAGTGCAAGGACCATCTATGTATAAATGCGTTTTGTGCTACTATGACGTGTTGGCCCGCATGGAATTTACTCCTATGCATTACAGTCAGCCAAGGCTTGAATTCATCTTTCTTTTACGTTTAATACCACCCATTGACACAATGCATCCATTACTAGAAGATGTGTTGAAGGAGCCACGACTTGCAGCTACGAGTCCACATATTGCAATTGTGTTGCTGCCGCCCATAGATACCATGCCACCTGCACCATGCACTTTGGATTTTCTCGGTAAGGCTAAAGCCGTTATTCCAAACCCCCACTTCTCTTTTCCCCCCACCATTGCCCCTCTCACACATACAGACGCCATTGTATCCTATAGCAAGCCATGTCATTGTCACATTGTGGGATCCCACAGTCGAAAGCAGTGCATCAGCAACCGCCATGCCAAGACCATCGCTTTCAGCTTCCATGCTCTCTCGTCTCTCGCCTAAATCAACACGCCGTGAACGAAGCAACTCCATTCTCGACGGCCTCCGATCGCGATCCAAGAGTACACTACATGACGGCAATGGAGGTCTATCATTGAGCACCGTGAACAACAAGCCTGTCCTTTTTCACAACCGTCAAATCACGTTTGGGGGCAATCGCACTATCACTATTCACCACGAAGACGTTGTTTACAATGCTGACGACCGTGTGACACATCTCCTGCTCTACCTTGAACAACCATTGTGTATTCAACAAGAGACGAGCACCATTGTAAGTGGGTCATTCATTCAATCATGCATCCTATATTCATTGTTACATTCATGCATAGCCGCAAAATACTCAACCCATGCTGCCTGTGGTAGAGCAAAGGTAAGGATAGTGAACATTGGTGTGCCTGATGGGTGTGTCAAGTGACATGTGGATCTTGATCATCGGATCTAATATTGATCATAGTTCCATCAAGCAAATGCTTTCCAAGTCATTCAATTCAAGTCATCGAGCAGGTACATATCAATACCCAAATTCATTGTCACTGCCATTGAATAACCCCCTCCCCGTGGATGTGTGTTACAGTGCGACAATTTTGTGATGCTGCCCTTTCGGAAACCAATCTTGGCGAGTTACATGCACGCATGAAGGATTTATTGGAAGAAGCATTCACGGTAAGGGAAGGATGGGGGGAAATCATCATGTTACAACAATGAGAAAAGACTTACAATGGGGGGGGTGGTCATAGTATGTGGACGGCTACCTGGATAGTGCATTATTTGATCCAACAAAGAGTTTATCCCATGATGAAGCTTACAAGGTGTGTGAAAGGTACATTTGTCAACATGCGATACCTGGTAACCCGCAAATACTAATTTGTACGCACTACCTCATAGCCATGTGATGGAAGAAACATATGATATGGTCTTTTTCAAGATCACGCACTTGATGCAGCAAATGGACGAAGAGGTCGCCAACGTACTCGATTCGATGGAGAGTTTGGATTTTATTCAAGTGGGCTTACCAGAGGGACGTACTGTAAGACGACGTGTCGAACGAGCTGGCAACACCTTGCGACAAATTGGAACCTTTCGTACACCTGCTGAGAAACTAGAGTGCCTGCTTTGCTCAATTACGCAGTTATCAGAAAGCACGGATGAAGGTATGAAAAAGAAAGGTTGGATGCAATGGAGTATTAAGGGGGGCCTATGCTTTTTAGATTCAGACGACGAGTTGGATTCTGATGCTTTGGTGTCATTGTTGGTATTGACTTTGATAAGGGGACAAGTGGCTCATTTGGTTGCCAACATCACTTACATGAAGGTATGTATACTGAAAAAGGGGAAACAATATTGGCTTTAACGAGTGAATTCATGCATGCAGGAATTTACCTTTGAACAAAATTTGGCAGTTGGCCGCTATGGATTTGCCATTAGTACACTGGAAGGCGTGATGCAATACATCCTCGAGTCAAGGACACATTTGGCATCAGTGGCAAGGCGAAATGATATGTTATGGGCAGCCATCAAAAGCGGTGATTTGGATTTGGTGGTCCAGGTCTGTGGCAAGCACACCACCATGGAAAGAACGTCATCTTCGGCGAGGATATCGTTGAGTTTGCCTGCCGTTGATATTACACGAGTGCGAGATGCTTCTGGAAACAATGCTCTAATGATAGCCGCAGTTGCTGGTCAAACAGACATTATCAAGTATCTTCTTCAACATCATTCACCAGAGGATGACTTGTACAATGATCGTGGTGAAACGCCCTTGATGCTCTCAGTCAAAAGCCAATGCTCAACAGCCGTGAAGCTACTGCTCGACTTTTTTGGTGCGCAAGATGGGATACGGGAGCGAGATGGAAATTCAGCGTTCCTAGTTGCATGCAGCCTTGGAAATGTGGATATTATGCGGATGTTATTGGATCATGGCAGCAAATGGGATACACGTAACAATATCAGACAAGGTCCACTTCATCTAGCAGCTACTCATGAGCAAGCCATCGTGTACCTATTGGATCAAGTGAATGATGAAACGACATATACATGGGTGGATGAAAACGACAACACATTTCTACACTTGTGCAATCAACCAAGGGCGCTTGATCATTTTATATCACGTTGCAATGGATGGCAAGATATTTTGGACATGGAAAACAAGCGTGGTTGGACGCCTTTATTGACATGGGCAGCCAATGGATGGTTTCATATGATGGAGACCTTGCTTACACATCCGATACGACATGAGCGTCTTGTGGCAACACATGATCCAGAAGGACGTACAGCATTGCATCTTGTTGCAAACTCATTGGAAAGAAAGCCGACTTTGGGAACACAAGGATTGAAATATTTGGTGTGCCATTTCAGTGATCTAGCGAATGTACGAGAATGGACAAAGGGAAATACACCATTGCATCTTGCAGCATCCCTTCGTATCCTCGACAGCAACAGAGCTTTCATATGCATGTTTATTCGACATTTGGTTGTGGATGCAGGTGCAAGGATAGATGGATTGAATTATCGAGGTGCAAGAGCGGGGCATATTTGCCGTGACCCTGAGGTGCTTGTCTTATTGGATGGTATGTTTGTTTTGTTAAGCGTATATGACATTCTCAATATCTTGTTACAGACGTGGCGTTGGAAGCAGCAGCAGCAGCAGCAGCTCAACAAGAAAAACACCACATGCATCCATACGCATATCAAGTTACACGAGCAACGCTTATTCATCAACCTACGACTACTATTTTGTATACCATTCAAAGCTGTGCTGTAAGTAGAGAGATTCGTTGATGGTGTGATTGGTTTACTCAATGCACAATGATAGCCAGGGCAAAGGAATGAGCAACGACAACGACGACTAGCTGATTTTGTTCAACTAAGAAAGGACATCTCACATGAATGCCCTGAAGCGTTTCTACCAACATTACGGCATTTGGTTGATCCCGAACAAGTTGATTTACGACCACCACCTATTTATTTGCGAGAGGAAGCCATCCAGCGATTGGGTCATTTTATGCAATGGTTGCAGCAACACCCTACTCTCCAGGACCATGATTTGGTGCGTACCTTTGTACGATCCAAAGAGCTAAAGGTACGACGACACACAATGCATGCATATGCATGATGGAGAAGATGATTGGGAATCTAAATTTAACTATCAAAACATAGAGAGAGACGATTGAAACAGCATCCTTTGCAAGGCGTGATCTATTGTTGGAGAAGATTGGTGAATCATTTTCATCCTCGGGCAATGAATTTGGTGGAAGCGAGGACGAAGAATACTTTTTCTCTTATTCCCAAAGCAACATTGAAGCGCTCCGAGATAGTTTGCTGGGTGTGATTCTTGCAGGACGTCAAGTCATACGATGTCGTCGTGGTAAAGTGAATCTGAGAAATGGGGGCACATCAAACCTTTTTTTAACTAAACAATGCTGTCAGATCTCGAAATGGCGATGCATCAAGTGGTGCAAGGATGGATGATGGGTGGTAATAAACAAGCAATGCTCACGACGATGAAAGTCTGTGCCGGGACGACCGGTGACACCGCGGTAAGGTGCCGCCATGCCGATCATTACTCCTTTTGCACTAAAACACTGCTTAGTTTGGCACGTCTTTGTGGGAAGACACAGTACAGCAATTTCAAACGATGCATGATTTGGCTGATGGAATCCTGGTAAGAAAGAACAGTATTATGGAAATGGGGGTGTTTGCATGATATTGAACACATAATATTATGCGTATACATCAACACAGCAATTAACTATTAACACGCCATGTGTGTTTAATTTGCTGTAGATGGCCCTGCAGCGACCCCTTTGGCTATTGCATCGACGCATGGAGCTACGAGAGCAACTCGAGATGAAACGTGATCATTTACGACGAGTCAAGTCATGGAACGAAGTGATCCCAACACAACGACGACAAATTGAACAAGCAAAAGAAAGCGTGGTTGAAGTAAGTGTGTCCCAAACTTTGAACATGATTATGTTTTCGAGTGGAGACCGAATTTGCTTAATTGGTACCTTGATAATAGACGCTCAGCGATCTCGCGCGAACAGGCAGTCAAATCGCCCAATCACATCAAGTGATTTCCGACGAAATGGCCCATTTTCAACGTGTTCACCCCATCCACATCCATACTGCCATCCGTAATTTCGTATCAGGACAACTTGCAAGGGAGAGATACAAATTGGAATGCCTTTTGGAGACGAAGCGCAAGTTGGGGAAGAGGTCTACCAAAAGAGGGTGAAAACTTGTTCTTGTGGCAATCATGGTAGAATTGTGTCTCTTGGCCATCTTTGTCTGGAGCGCAAAAATCTTTGTACCGCCGCGCGCGCTATTTCCCTTCCGTACACACACTCTCGTTCCCACCCCATCTCCCCTCTTTCCTCTTTTTCTTCTCTCTCTCTTTCTCTCTCTCTCTCTTCTTCTTTTTATATACCTCGACACACACAAAGACAGACGTTTGACGACTGCATCCACCATCTATTTACACCAGTCAAAGCAACACAGCTAAAAGCACGATACCCACTTTGTCTGCACCTCCTTTATCGTTCACTCACAATTACAACATCTATATTACAACAAACGCAACAACAACAACAACGACATACATATTACATACTCTAATTTGCGTGTACATAACGAGTCGAATTTGAGCAATGGGCTGCTGTCAATCATCAGAGCGTGTCGAGGAGAGGCAGCGTAATCAAGAAATCGAGGCACAAATTCGACGTGATCGTGCCAACATGAAGACTGAAATAAAGATGCTGTTACTAGGTAGGATGATATAACCAAAGGGGGGTCGAAGGGCGGAAGTAGTAGTTGTAATAGTGGATGTGAATCTCTGACCGGAGTTGTTTTTTATGTATGTAGGTGCGGGTGAATCTGGCAAATCGACCATCCTAAAGCAAATGAAGCTTATTCATGATGGCGGCTACACACCTGAGGAACGTGAGAGTTTCAAAGAAGTGATTTTCAGCAACACGATTCAATCGATGCGAGTTACTATGGAAGCAATGCATGACTTGGGTATCCCATTCCGCAACCCTGAAAACGAAATTCATCGACGTCTTGTTCTTGAGGCACCGCCCCAAGTTGATTATCTCAGCCACGAACTTGTTGAAGCCATTGCAACTTTATGGGATGATCCCGCTGTCAAGGATTGTGTCGATCGTGCAAATGAATTCCAGCTCAACGATTCTGCTCGATAGTAAGTAATCATACAATGTCATGTCATGGATACATTCGATATTCACACACATGTATATAGTTACTTCGACGCTATTTTACGTATCGGTCAACCACATTACATCCCCAGCGACCAAGATGTACTTCGATCACGTGTGAAATCAACAGGCATTACTGAGACGACTTTTGTGATCGGCGAATTGACGTATCGCATGGTGGACGTGGGAGGACAACGATCCGAACGTAAAAAGTGGATCCATTGCTTTGAAAACGTTACAACGCTTTTATTCTTGGTGGCTATCTCCGAATACGATCAAGTTTTATTTGAGGATGCATCTGTCAACCGTTTACAAGAATCATTGACCTTGTTCGATTCGATTTGCAATTCACGTTGGTTTATCAAGACATCCATCATTTTGTTTTTGAACAAGATTGATTTGTTTTCTGAAAAATTACCGCGAAGCCCGTTATCCAACTACTTTGACGATTACAAGGGAGGAGAACGTTACGATGCTGCATGTCAATATCTGTTACAAAAATTTGTAGCACTCAATACTCGAGCGGATACCAAGCAAATCTACACCCATTTCACCTGCGCTACTGAGACCAAGCAAATCAAGTTTGTCATGAACGCAGTCAACAATATCATCATGCACGAGAACTTGGCAAGAGAAGGCTTGCTGTAACATACAATCACAATCACCACAATTACACACACACTCACACACGTACACACACACACACACACACACACACTTCATCTTATATATTAATTGATTTCTCTTTCTTACCCAATTGTTCATCCATTCCCTATCTTTTTTGCTTTTCCTTTACTAAGCACATCCCTCTCTTCGTTTCTTATCCCGTCAAAGCAGAATACTAGCATCTATAAACATTACTTGTAACCACGTCTATATTGGTGTGATGATGGACACGAGCACAAACAATGAACAGGGATTACACAATGGAATATGGGACAATGATGATGGTTCACGTGGCTGTCAACGCATCCCAATTAGGCAGCAATGGTAATTAATCTCAAGGATTTGGAACATTTCTTCGACGGAAATATTTGGCTCATTGTGTGTATGTGTGTGTGTGTGTGTAGGGTAGTAACCTTGCAACAAGAAATGGGTTTGCCTAAAAGCCTTGTATGTGTGTACATGTGTAAGATGTCTGTGCGCATTGTATTCCTCTTACACATATGACCCCCCGGGGAGCAGTAAATGAATCTGGTGGCCTAGTTTCAACATTGATATCCAATAAGGCGTCACATTGTGTGTATGCTTGGCTGCTGATACTCGCTCGCTCTCTCCCCCACCACCCACAGACACACCCACCCACACACACACATTAGCCTCCGTTTCTATGTGTATCTCTCTTTTTTCCTCTTTTGTTCTTTACACTCTTTTTTCTATATCATCAACATACAACAACGATACTACTTTTCATGACTATTGAACCAGCCGAGTATTACGACCAAGTATGCACTTTTTATTCGGAGAGCTTGAGTGACAAACGAAAAAAAAGTTTATAGTGTATACTGACAAGCAACATGTAGGCTAATGGTGGTGCGATTCCAGTGTTTCGGCCCACCATGGAAGAGTTCAGTGATTTCAAAGAGTTTATGGAGTCGATCGATTCGTTTGGTCGTCGATCGGGTATTGTCAAGGTGATTCCACCTCGAGAATGGTGAGTGTGGTATATATGCAAGTGGTGTATGTTATGTGTGTGTGTGTGTGTATTAAGCATATGGAACCTTCTATAGGACGGAGCAATTACCTGACATAAGCCGATCACTGGAACATGTACGAGTACGAAACCCAATTGTAAGTTGCAGGAATCTTGGTCAAACCTTAAACCTGTTCTTTTAATTCCTTCACACTTTACATAGATGCAACACATCATGGGGGGCCAAGGCATCTATACACAAACCAATGTGGAGAAACGTCGACCTTATACAGTAGCTCAATGGTATGCGCTATGTCAACAAGATAATCATCGACCACCTGAAATTGGCACGGATCGCACCTCGGTGACACCAACGGCACGGAAACGACACAAAGGTAGATTTGCCGGCTTGTGACACGGTCTCTCTTTGCAAAGATTACTCACATTCAACCCCTCCCTTTACATTATTAGTGCAACCATCAAAGCCATTTGCTACACCGCTATCCCCATCAGCCAATGTAAGGATCGTATGCACACACATTTCTATACATCATCTAACATGGATTCTTACATAGACACGTTCCAAGAATCCTCCTCCTGTCAACAAGCGTCAACAAGCTGCCGAGGAATTAGCACTCGCCCAATCTGATAAGCCTATTCCGCTTCCATGCGATATGCATTGCCCTGATCCAGAAAAATACACCGTGGACTATTGCAAGGATCTTGAGCGTAACTATTGGCGTAATTTGACATTTTCTCAACCCATGTATGGTGCTGATATGGAAGGAAGTAAGTTGACGTTTATATGTGTGTGAGCGCGTATACTCATATGGGAGCCATTAGCATTGTTTGATGACTCGGTGCGGGCATGGAATGTCAACAGCTTGGATAATACATTGAATCGATTGGGTGTATCGGTGCCCGGTGTCAACGTTCCTTATCTCTATTTTGGCATGTGGAAAGCGACCTTTGCATGGCATGTCGAGGCAAGTAGTAAAACAATAGTCACCGCCTCACCTCAACTTTATACGCTAACATGTTTGAATCAGGATATGGATTTGTATTCAATCAACTATTTACATTTTGGTGCTCCCAAGCAATGGTATGCTATTCCTACAACCCACACCAAAAAGTTTGAAGGTCTTATGCAAAGTAAGTGCACACACCCATATACACTCCTACATGGTACTTATTTCAATCATCAGATTTATTCGCCCAAGAGCATAAGCAATGTCCCGAGTTTCTTCGACACAAAACATTCATCGTCTCACCCAAAGTGCTTGCCAACAACTCAATACCCTTCCATCGATGTGTGCAACATGAGGGGGAATTTATGATCACTTTTCCTTATGGCTATCATGCGGGATACAATCTTGGACTCAATTGTGCTGAAAGCGTCAATTTTGCATTGGATTCATGGATCGAAATTGGTCGTCATGCCAAAGCATGCACGTGCGTATCGGATAGCGTCATGATTGACGTGGATGCATTACAACATGTGATCGAAGAAAACCAGCATGAAGAAGAGGAAAAGGAGACCAAGAAGCGTAAAGATACAGCATCATCATCATCATCATCATCATCATCCAATACGACTCAAAGCAAACGACGTCGAAAATCTGCATCAACACCAACACCACCCAAAAAACCAACCCCACGAGCAAAAACAACCCATCAGCGACAAAAAGAGGGTCATCCAAAGGTGCGTAAATCGAGACGGATAGGAACATGTGTGTGAGAGGGTGAGAGTGGAAACGAGTTGTTACGACGTTATCATCAGCAGCATGCATTGCGTTGGTGCCATTGTTGTGGTGGTGGTTTCATTGTACATACAATCATTACAATTTAGTCTTTTATCATTCCTTGTACAATACATTATCTCATTTCTTTTGTTTGTGTTGGGGCTGGGTATAGTGTATGCTTTGTTCGATGGATGTCAAAGAACACAACGATCAAGCCGTCCATTACAAGAGCCAACGGATACATCGATTATGTGCTGAAGCAGTACCAGAAACGACAGTTGATGAAGAGGATAGGATTCAGGGCATTGAGGAAATACCAAAGGCACGGTGGAAATTGGCAAGTATCTACTTAATCATGGTTGTCCCATAAGGCTTACACGACCTTTTCTTTTTTAAAGGTATGCCAAATTTGTCGCATCAAGGAAGGGGCTTGTGTACAATGCTGCTACGGCAAATGCTGGCGTTCATTTCATGCAACGTGTTTAAGGCAAAAAGGCCACACTATGGAGCGTCGGCGTGATGAGGATGGCAAAACAAGTTGGGACGTCTATTGCACGCTTCATGATCCGGTAATACACAAGTTTATCTTTTGATACCTCACGTGCTGACAATCCTATAGGCACTTGCAAGAGAACGTGAACAAGCAAAGCAAAAACGAATTGAGCAATTTGCACAGCGATTATCTATTGGCTGTCAGGTCATGGTGCGATATCGCCAAGGTGGCCAATATCCAGGTACGAACTTAGCTGATGATGATGACTTGATGAAATGGTGGCTAAATGACACTTTTACTTTAGGCAAGGTTACATCGATAGATCCTATCAAAAAATCAGCCCAGATCCTATTTGAAGATGATACTCAAAGCAAGATCCCATGGCGAGACATTTTCATTTCCTAACCACCTATTACAATAACATCATCATCCCACCCCCAATGTACCTCGTTATCTACTTAGCGTATGCCTGTACTAGTTTATTTACTCATCTTCGCATCTTCATCCAAAATTCTACTAATAATAACTTCTACTAATCCATGTCTCTTTTAAAAAGTCTTGCACGCATGAGGAATCGAAGGGCTGGTATATATCTATAGGCCTCATCATCATCTGTTCTTGATGGCTGAATCCACAGGGTGGTGCATGTCAATGGATAATGCAACGATGCCGTTCACTATCATTGTACTTGGGATCTTCTGGTCTTAGTCTTGATTGGATGATATTCCCAGCTGTTGCCTAACAAGATGCACCACTGCTGGTGTTACTCTGCCACAGTCGAACACCACAAGTTTTTGAAGTTGAGAACAATTGGCCAATGCGACGACGCCTTCATCTGTAATCTGACTCAGGAACCATAGCTCTAAGCATTGGAGTGTGGGTATCTTTGCAATTTCCTTGAGCGCTCTGTCGTCCACCAAGCTATCTTCACGAGCCATGAAACGGGTAAAATGAGGAAATGTTTGAAGTTCTCTCGCCAACACCAAAAGACTCCACGAGCATAATTCTGCTTCGGGTGCTGTTCTCGTCATATCCAAACTTTCCAAGGATCGCATCTTCCCTATTGCCTCCAATGCTCTTGGTGATGCGTTTTTTCCAATGCCAAGCTCCTTCAATGTTGATCGCTCGCCCAATTCGCCGTGCATACGTAAAAACCGTAACCATCCATCCATATCATCCACAATACAATCACCGAGAAAGAGCACCTGTAAATGACGTAGCTTGTAGAGAGCTTCAAAGACCTCGTAGGTGATATGACCCGATTCGAAAAAGCCCACTGTCTTTAGATTGGGAGCACTGCGAATGATGGATGCCACAATGTAGTCGCCCACATGATCGAAATAGAAACTCTCGATGGATTCCAATTTGCTGAGGATCGTATTGCCGGTGAGTAATTGGTGATTCCTTAAGTAAATGTCTTCGCCCATATGAAGAAAGAGCTTTTCAAGCGTGGTAGCCCATTGTTCAAAGCATCGTTCCAAAGGACCCAAATCCGATTCCATAATGTTGCCCACTTGCAAAAATGTCAATCCTGAACTCTTCATACTTGTATCATGTGGACTGCATTCGAGGCTGTAGAGCACGTCATTGAATGTCAAATGTTGTAGCTGAGGACGCTGTTGTCGAACGAGATCCAGCAATTCGGGAGACACACATTGATGTAGCACAAAACAAGTGAGCGCAGGGCACCTTTCAAGGATCATTTTGAGAGCATCGTATTCAATATCCTCATCATAGGGTCGTAGCTTAAGAATGCGTATCTTGCTTGGTGTCGGAAATGCTGCTGCGTCTTCATACAGGATACATTCGCCATGATATTCCAGCTCTTCAAGTTCTGTGCAACAGCTAATCACCTTGACCAACGGTAGCTCTGTTCCCCATTTCTCATCTTGAAAGCGCAGCTTCTTTAGTGATGTGTGTCCCACTCGCTTGAGTGCTGCAAGGAATAGATCAGGATCGGTTATGTCACAATCTATATACACAATCATCATCATCAATACTCATTCATCCTTCCATCTATTTTATATATCTCCATCATGACCAACATACCATTGAGGTAGAGTTCTCGCAACCTGATGAACCTTCCATTCTTGATCGTACTCATGTACAGATTTCTTTGCCGCATAGATAAAGTGTCGATGAAATGCATGGATACAATATAGGGAGCAACTTGGAGGATACGAGCATCTTGAAGCTGTTGCTGCTGCCTTGTGTATCGAGATGCCATCACTGTTCGTAATGCATTGACACGAAATGCTGTGCAACAGCATATGCGCTCCCGCCACGTCTTTGAGACATCCAAACAATCGTGTTGATCACCAGGGATTAGACCCGTATAAAATAAAGGCACCAAAAGCTGTACCACATCCAACGGCAATGTTGCAATAAAGTCGACGCGTGTTGTATCCAATAGAGCTTGTGCTTTGTTCTTTTCATCTTCCAGGCGTGCGTATCCAGGAGTGTCTGATGATGCGGATGACATTCCTTGTTCATAGACTTGGATCGCTGCTGCATATCGACCTTGCATAGCGTGTATGGCACCGGTGCGTAAAAACCCAACTGGGCTCGTAGGTGCCTTATCCATCATGAACTTGCAATCGTCCAAAGCATGTCGTATCATTGCCTTTTGAGCATAGGCTGCTGCACGCTGATCGAGCATGTCGAGCTGTTTGTCAATGAGATGCTGGAACGCAATTGTCGTCTCTTGAATGACCATGGCTGGATTCATTGTTGTACCCGGTTGTTGCTGCTGTGTTGGCTGACATTCCCTTGGGTCGTCTCCATGAGTCGAACAATTGACATTGACATTGGGGCGTTGTCTTTTGTTCATATGAAAGAGAAAGGAAGAGAGAGAGAGATAGGTTGGTCGATTGGTTGGTTGTTGAAGAAGAATAGAAAAAAAGAAAGGGAAGTTTTAAAGTACGTCCCAGTAAATCGGGATCATGCATAAATGACATACCCATGTTCTGGATTGGGCATAGCCCGAGTTACTGGTGCATCGGATCCCATCATCGTCATCATCATCATTGACGTCTGCATGTGCCACAAACATGGATTAGCACCACGCTCCTTATTATAAACCCTTCCTTCAACAAGATGCATCACATTGTTGTATTACTCTTCCACAACCACGTCAGCATGCACGAAATACGACAAACAATTACGTTCATTTGAATAATAATGCTATCCTGGCCAATGATGGTAGTACAAAATAAACATCCTATACAACTTTGTCAGGTGTTCTCAACATGGGGTCCATATGAATCATTAGTCTACACATGCTTGGCATGGAAAAGCACGCATCTTTTCAATCTTATCGGAAGGGTCCGAGATAAGGTGGTTGACTATCATAAAATCACGCCCGCCAACCTTGTAACGATTGGCCAAGTGGTGATGAGCTTGTCTCAAGTTGTGGATCTTTTGGGACTCATGTGGCGGGTGGGAAAGAGAGGTGGAGGGAAAATGGCAACAATGGTTGAGGAGTATACCACTCCCTTGTGGATGTAGGTGGTCAAGCGGCATCACGATATGAATATTACGCGGCTTGGGTGTGTACTTGATATGATGGTGAAGGTATGTGCACCGACACTGTTAATGACGTTTAAGTTGGTGACTCGATCAACATTGACACCAACGGCAATACTTCGTGCACCTTCATATTGGTATCTCCTTCGAGGTGAATTCCTTTGATTGTAGGCATTGTATATGAACGCTGAGCTTATAGCGACAACCAAGTTCGCAAATCTGTTGTCTCGTAGGATCTTGTTTTTGTGATCAACCTCTTGGCCCTCTGTATAGGAACATGACGCCCGTATAAGTTAACCCTTCTTGAAATGTCCGGGCTTTCGGGCACAATCAGCGTACTTTGTTATGTATGTACACCGCATCAAATGGACCAAGTCAATTTCAGCCTTAGATGGTAGATATTGCACACCGAGTTCAACTTGACAGATGAAGGAGTAAGCTATGTAGTATCCATATATGAATATGTGATTCATCAAGAAATATGATTAGGCTTTATCTCATTACAAGGAATAAAATACCACAATGACGACCACGACAATGAAAGCAACAGAACAATGAAGCTAAAAACATCACAAAGTTCAGCTTTAGTACCCAAGATTGCAAAGAAGAAGGCACCTTACCTTGATGATACGCACGTAAACTTGAGCCTTTGACGGTGTAAGTAATCAATGAAGCATCATAGAGGGAAGAAATGCATGGTATGCGATGGGCGACAACATTCTTGTTTATATTTGCATGGTGGGCGTGTGAGTTTTTATTGATTACAAAAGAGGAACGAGTGATGAAGATGTTCGAGATGATATTTGAGCTGATAAAATAATGGGGCGCTTTCACCAGGATAAGGTCAAGGAGCCTAGGCGTGATGATTGTACATGCGTAAAGTGGTAATTGGCATCATCAAACAATGAATCAACGTGCTATCAGGGTACCTTTTCCAGTCATTTATCATGTAAATTTATCAAAAAAGGTAGGAATATCAAATAGCTGATGGATGAATGATAAACATTGGATGATTGTATTGATTGTATATTAGTGCGTTTATGTACGAATGATGATACAAGGGGGGAATGATTGTAAAAAAGGTAAGATGTAAACAACAATAATAATAGAACAACGATCTAGTGTGCATTAAGAGATTGCTGGCGAACGAGACTAGCGTATTCACCATCGAGTTTGAGTAACTCCCAATGAGTGCCTTGCTCCACTACGCGTCCACCCTTGATCACACAGATCAAATCTGCCTCCTGGATTGTACTTAAGCGGTGAGCAATTGTCAAAGTTGTGCGACCACCTTCGCTGATAATGTTATCGATAGCTTGTTGCACCAGCTTTTCAGATTCACTATCCAATGCAGAGGTAGCTTCATCAAGCAACAACACCTTGGGCTTGCGAATCAATGCACGAGCGATAGCAATACGTTGCTTTTGGCCACCAGACAATTGAGATCCTTTGTCACCAACACGTGTATTGTATCCGTCAGGCAATTCGGAAATGAACTTGTGGATGTTGGCAGCTTTGCATGCTTCTTCGACATCTTCTTGAGTCACGTGCTTGCTCTCATCAACACCAAATCGGATGTTCTCAGCAATGGTCATATCAAACAATACAGGCTCTTGACCCACCAATGCCATGTGCGAACGAAGGTTACCCAGAGTAAAGTTCTTGATATTGTGCTCATCCAAGCGAACCGTGCCATCGATAGGATCATACCAACGTTGAAGCATACCAATAGTAGTCGATTTACCACAACCAGAAGGACCCACCAAGGCAATGGTTTGACCTGATTTGCCATCAAGGTTGAATTCACCATCAAAGATTGGAATATCGGGACGAGCAGGGTATCTGAAAGTAATGTCCTTGAATTGGATATCGCCGTGGATGTTGGAAGAAGCGGGCTCCATGCCTTCAAGGTCAGGGTCAATTTCGGATTTACGATCAAGCACTTCAAAGGCTGCAATGGCGGAATTCTTGGCTTTGGCTGCTGTTGATGTGAACACTGAAGCACGACCAATACCCTGGGCAGTGATAAGGACAGCCATCATACACACCATCATATCGGGGAATTCGATACGGCCTTGATCAATAAGGCGCACACCAGCGTAGAATGAGACGGCGTTGGTGTACATCATGACACCTTGTTGAAGAGCATAACCAATGGATGACAAATAAGCCTTCTTGATGGCAAGCTTGTGAGGATATTCCAAAGCATGGCTGAACTTTTGCTCGAAATGGGCCTGTTTGTTGAGAGCAGCAACGGTACGGACTTCCTTGATAGCTTCACCAGCAACTTCACCACTTTGCTCGTTAGCCTTTGCGGTCTTGTCCTCAAAGCCACGATGGATGGTAGATTCATAATAGGTAGCACCGCCGATAAAAGGTGACATACAAAGCACAATCAAAGTCAAGAGCCAGCTGTGCACGAATGAAATAACAAGACCAGTGATAGCGGTAGAGATGATTTGCATGATATCACCCCAACACTTGGTGACAAGTTCATTCACGTTCTTGGAGTCGATGGCAAGCTTGGAGGTCAAGGCACCCATGCTATTCTCCTCGTCGTCATAGTAACCGATTTCTTGCTTCATGTATGCACGGAAGATGTCAGCTCTCAAACGTTCAGTGTAACGTTCTCCTGCCACTTCGAAAGATATGATTTGACCACCAAAGCCAATGAACGAGGCAACACCAAGCATGACAAAGATGAAAGCATAAAGATTGGCTATAAAGCAAGTGATGATTATTAGCAACATGTAAATAAAAGAACATCCAATGTAACTTACCTCCTTGCATGGGACCAGGAGCAACTTGATCGGGAGGCAACAAAATCATGACACTGACAACGCGGGCGAAAATGAGAGAGAAACAAGGGAATACAGCACCAGCGATAGCAGCTGAGACAGTACCAGTGGCAAGAAGATGCCATTCAGGGCGCATTTGCTGAAGAATCTTGCCGATGGGTGCCTTTTGCTTCTTGCGTTGCTTACGTTCCTCCTTTTGCTTGCGTAACTTGAGTTCAAATGCATCAACGGATGAAACGGTGCTCATGCGAACAAGATGATCAGACTTGTTGTCCTTTTCAGCAGCTGCCAATTCTTCAATTCTTTGCTGTTGCTTGAGAAGTTCCTCGGTTTCCTTTTTCATCATGGCTTCTTCATCGATATCTTCATCGTCGTCAGTGCCGCCCACTTGCTTGGTAGCGATTTGCTGCTTCTTAACGAGTTCAGAGTACACACCACCAAGCGCCAAAAGTTCATCATGTGTTCCTTGCTCAACGAGATCGCCCTTGTCCATGACAACGATCAAATCTGCATTTCTGATGGTACTCAAGCGGTGAGCGATGACGATGGTTGTTCGGTCGGCAGCAGCGGCATCGAGGGCACGTTGAACAAGACGTTCAGATTGAGTATCCAAAGCGGAAGTAGCCTGAAACAAAAGAAAGGAGCGGTGAGTGAAATTGACCCTCTATTGCATAAATTGCGCTCATTGTGTTTACCTCATCCAATAACAAGATGGTGGGGTTCTTTAGAATGGCACGAGCAATAGCAATACGTTGTTTTTGTCCACCAGAAAGCATACCGCCATGTTCGCCCACCATTGTATCGTAAGCCATGGGCAATTGCGAGATGAAAGTGTGGCAGTTGGCCTTCTTACAGGCTTCAATAATTTCTTCACGAGGTACATCTTCACGATCCACACCCATAAGAAGGTTCTGGCGGATGGTCATGTTGAATAAAACGGGCTCTTGGCTAACGACACCAATTTGCTTTCGCAACCATTGTACATTGAGGTCCTTGAGATCATGGCCATCAAGAGTAACTTGACCAACAAGGGGATCATAGAAACGTTGGATCAATTGAACACTGGTGGATTTGCCGGAACCAGAAGGACCCACAAAGGCAACCGTCATACCAGGCTTGATCTTGATATTGAGATTCTTGAGAATAGTTACATCTGTAAAATGATATTTAGAATAAACGTCATATGTAAAAGAAGAAGGAAGAGAGATGATGTCTTACCAGGACGAGTGGGGTATTTGAATTGGACATTCTTGAATTCGATCTCACCGGTAACCTTTTCAGGTTTGATGCCGCCTTCGTTGTCAATGTCAATTTCAGGAACGCGATCAATAGTGGAGTAGATCTTGTATGCAGCACCACATGCGGTGGAAACGGCTGACAAGTTGGGAGGAAGTTGCATCAAGGACATGGCACCAATCACTTCAGCGAAAAAGACCACAAGCACAAGATCACCGGTCATCATGCTTTCAGAGACAAGCTTGCCACCATACCAGAAAGCAAGACCATAGGTTGCAAAGAGGACAAACAAGAAAACGGCAAAACCAACCTATTATGGTAAACACCATTGTCAGCATGATTTCATTGTTACGAGTTGCATAAAAGGAGTACTTACACCCAAGGCAAGACCACGTTGTACACCCGTTTTGCGTGCATCCACCAATTTTTCAGCATACATCTTGTCAAAGCGTTCTTGCAATGAGAACGAGTACACTGTACGGATGCCACTAAAGACTTGTTCGGCAATGGTACCAGCACCAGCATATGAATCTTGCACACGCAAAGTGAACTTGGTAATGAAATAACCGATAGCACCACCGACAGCTGCAAGTACAGGCATGGTAGCTAAAATGACAACAGCCAACCGCCAACCTTTGACAAAAGCGACGATAAAGCCGGTGATAAATGCACCGATAGATTGCAAAAAGATGCCGAATTTTTCAGAGATGCTATTATAATAAAAAGAGGACATGAGAACCAAGATCCATTGAAAAAGGGAGGGATTAACTTACCCATCTTGAATAAGTTGAGTATCAGCAGCAAGGCGAGTGGTGAGTGAACCTTCTTCGGCCTTGTCGAACCAACCCATATCTTGTCGTAGGATGGAATGCACATAGAGCTCACGAATCTATGATAGAAATGGGTTAGCAAATACCGATTTGAAAGATTTAGATCGTCAACTTACACGACGAGCTTGGCTTTCACCGGTCATAATAAGAGTCGATTGGGCGATATAGGCAGCTAATAATGTAGCCGTACCCATGTACACAAAAACGAGAATTAAGTCGTACGTGGCATCGGTGAATGAAGCACCAGGCACTGAGAGAGCATCTTGAAAATTTCCAAGGAAATCTGCAGGAATGTTCATATAAGTCACCTGTCATCATGATCATTATCCTTTGTATTAAAAGTACCTCCAAAAATGATAATGACAACGGGTTGCATGGCACCAACACCAACAGAAAGAATCATGCTGATGAGGATACCAATCATTTCGAGTGGTGTAGCGAATCGGAAGAGCTTGTAAATAGGCACCGATGGCTCTTTCTTCTTTTTCTTTTTCTTCTTGTCATCGCCATCTTCTTCGTCTTTATCGTTTTTGCTTTCTTTTTCGGATTGTTGAATAGGTGCGTGTTCTTCTGCAATTGACATGGAATGTTTTTCGTCGATGGTTGAATGCTTATCATGGCTGGCAATAGATAGATCCGATTCCTTTACTTGGATTTCTTGTTGCACAGTCGACGATGACTGTATTGACGCTGCTTTTGACCCTGCCATGGTAGAGTCAATATGCTGTTAACGTGATGGATCCGAAAAGTGGATGAATAAAGGGTATTATTGTGCAATGAACGGACGTGGTAACAGGATCAAATCAAGGCCTCTTTATATATACGATGCGCGCAGTAACTTGTTTCCCGGATGTGTACAGCGGCGCGCCGACAACCGATCCAATCATGATATTATCATCCAAGACAACCACGTTTATTGTTGCTCCGATACACAAGCAGATTTCGGCGCACTGCCCGTATGCTCGCATAAGTTCCATATTCGAGTTCCTGGAAAGTTACACGAGATCAGATTTTGAGTCAGTTGTATGGAAACCTTCCCCGTGCACCCCCGTATAGTATCCTAGTTACCCCTTGATCTAGCATGCCAAGCTCAAGAAAACTTGACTGCAATGACCCTGGTACACCCACTGAAGCTGACTTTAACATAATCTTGGCGTAAGAATCGATGCACGGATCAACCATTGGCAACGCGTCAGCATACAAAACAAAAAGATCATCAAAGCCGATCCATGTGCATACAATGGATCTAGTCATGATGCATTGCCCATCCATGTATCATGTAATCAGAAACCTTGATACCAAAAAGGCGTTGTTGTTTTATTACGTGGAGTAGCAGGGTGTGATTTTTACATAGCGTGGCACCGATAAAAGGAAGGTTGACCACAACAATCAGACACGGATAGTGGCGGAATGGATGCGTCAATTTTTCGATTACTATGAGTCTACAGTGGTACCCGATATTCTTTATGCTTCGTGAGTGAACAAAAACAAGCAAGATACTTGGAATCAGCTGCGATTTGTGTCACCACAATTATGGTATGTACACGTACTGGATTGCTGCCACCACATCCATCACCACCCAAGGTTTCTCACAATAACGCCCACACACATCATGGTGACGGGTTGTTGATACGCATGTCTCGGATGGGATCCATTCGGTTTGATCACATGCCCGTTATCGTCATTCATCACACACACATGGTGGCTGCAGCTCACATGCTTTTTTTCAGTCGGCTTTCTTGATCCTCTTTAAAGGATCCCATTTCCTTTTCTTCCACACTTTTGGTGAATAAATCGGGCCGCCTGCGGAATTTAAGGATTGGGCGAATGATAAAAGACATTTGTTGTAGCCCGTTCTTGGTTTTTGTCCCGCTTCCGGGGATGCTACACTCTTAACACCGCGCTCCTTCTCACAATGAAGCACTCTCTCTCATCCACAAACCCCCATCACATACGAAACCAAAAGTTGCTCAAAACAAAACCATTCCTTACACATGTACAACGCATGCCCTTTTCTACCCATGTAAAAAATTTCCAAGTCCTCTTCTATACAACATGGCTTAAAGGAGACTAGCCGGACCTTTATTATACATGTATCGTTTCCAGGGTGTGCTCATTGTGCAGCTACCATAATACTACATCACCACGCCGCAGCAAAGAAGTGTATTACAATCCAAGACAAGAAAGGGTATAGCCACTAGCATGGATGTTCACATGCCTATGTGACGCCACTAAATGCTACACAGCCATGTTACACGAACATTGTCGCCTCCTTGCACATCACCCTGCTGTCAAATTGTCGATCAGATCACACCTATTTGATATTGGACCAGCCGTTGGTTATAGGATACATGCAACGTTATTGAATGAGATCAACATGCATGCCGAATAAAGCTTCTTACTCAAGCATGTCATAAGATCCCTCCATGGATGTGTATTAAACTTTGAGTGCTCGCCATAAATGCATTCCTTTTATTTTGCTTTTGAATTTGCCACCCACATAAAGAGTGGGATAGTAAAAGAAGTGTACTTTTGATCATCGTTGTGAAGGTGTCCTCCCTACCTGCTCAATATAGGACAACGTTATGATGGTAATAATAACCTATACACCTGTTGCTAGGATACCCCTGGTGGGGAGCCTGTTGCTTGGATACCGGCCATGCTATGTAGGTAGGTAGGTTGCAATGAGACACGCTATTTTCGAGAAGATAGTTTAAACAAGGGCTGAGAGCATCACGTTGTGTATGTCGTATGCTGTCATTTAACATCGTCACTGTCTCATCATGGCATGTGATGTATTATGCATCTTCCTCTTCGCAGTTACACAGATAATGCACGAAGCTGTCAAAACTTGTTATCCGAGTTACTCAATCTGGTTGCGTCGATCCGACATGGTCAGTGCTTGATTTTCTGGAAAGCAAACGGTTATACAAGATATGCTTCATTGCTGTCAAAATCATGATTGAAAATGAAATTTGCGCACGGACTACCTTATAAACAGCTGTTGTGTATTGGCACACAAGCGATCATTTTGGGAAGATGCACAATGCTTTCGGCATAAATGTTTAAAGTTTATTGAATACAGCTTAGGAAAACAAATCAAATACAAGTGTATAGATAAAAAGTGTCTTTGCATATATAAAGTCTAGTGTGCATTGAGAGATTGCTGGCGGACGAGACTTGCGTATTCACCATCGAGTTTGAGCAATTCCCAATGAGTGCCTTGTTCAACGACGCGTCCACCCTTGACCACACAGATCAAATCAGCTGTTTGTATAGTACTTAGTCTATGAGCGATCGTGATAGTTGTGCGACCACCTTCGCTGATAATGTTATCGATAGCTTGTTGCACCAGCTTTTCGGATTCACTATCCAATGCAGAGGTAGCTTCATCAAGCAACAACACCTTGGGTTTGCGAATCAACGCACGAGCGATAGCAATACGTTGCTTTTGGCCACCAGACAATTGAGATCCTTTGTCACCAACTCTTGTGTCATAACCATCGGGCAATTCGGAAATGAACTTGTGGATGTTGGCAGCCTTGCATGCAGCTTCGACTTCTTCTTGAGTCACGTGCTTGTTCTCATCAACACCAAATCGGATGTTTTCACCAATGGTCATATCAAACAATACGGGCTCTTGACCAACCAATGCCATGTGTGAACGTAGGTTACCCAAAGTAAAGTTCTTGATATTGTGCTCATCCAAGCGAACCGTGCCATCAATAGGATCGTACCAGCGCTGAAGCATACCAATAGTGGTCGATTTGCCACAACCAGAAGGACCCACCAAGGCAATGGTTTGACCTGATTTGCCATCAAGGTTGAATTCACCATCAAAGATTGGAATATCAGGGCGAGCGGGGTATCTGAATGTGATGTCCTTGAATGAGATGTCACCGTGGATATTGGAGGAAGCGGGTTCCATGCCTTCAAGGTCAGGGTCAATGTGTGGTGTACGTTCAAGTACTTCAAAGGCTGCGATAGCTGAGTTCTTGGCCTTGGCATAAGTTGATGTGAAAACACTTCCATGACCCAATCCTTGGCTATTGTAGAACAAAATGCCTGTTGTTAGAAAAGATGGAGATAGGATTGTGTCAGGCACTACTACTTACGCAGTAATCAAAACAGCCATCATGACAACCATGAGTTCTTCAAAGCCAATGCGTCCTTGATCAATGAAATTGGCACCAGCATAAAACGCCACGGCGTTGCTATACATCATAATGCCTTGTTGCATAGCAAACCCGATAGATGACAAGTAGGCCTTTCGTCTGGCAAGGCGATGGGGACGTTCAAGAGCACGACTGAATTTGGCTTCGAAATGAGCTTGCTTGTTCAATGCGGCAACAGTGCGGATCTCCTTGATAGCTTCACCAGCAACCTCACCACTCTGTTCATTGGCTTTGGCGGTTTCATCTTCAAATCCACGGTGGATCTTTCCTTCAAAGTAGCTTGCAAATGCAATAAATGGCGAGATTGTCAATACGCATCCTGTGAGCACTGCGCTGTAAACAAAAGCAATCACGAGACCTAAATGATGCATTAATGGTGGTTGATTCATGCATAATGTTAAGGTTGTAACATACCAGTAATGGCAGTGGAGCAGATTTGAGCAACATCACCCCATACCTGCAAGGATTAAAATTGTGGTTAGTACCATGGATGCATACACACAAAAGGGCAGGTGAGCAACTTACTTTGGTGACCATTTCGTTGACATTCTTGGAATCGATAGCGAGTTTTGATGTGAGTGCACCCATACTGTTATCTTCATCGTCGAAAAAGCCAATTTCTTGTTTACAATAAGCTCGGAAGATATCAGCTCTCAAACGCTCCGTGTATCGTTCACCAGCGACCTCGAAGCTTGCAATTTGAGTTGAGAAACCAAGGATAGAAGCCAATCCAAACATGACAAAGACGAAGGCATACAAGTTTGCTATAAGAAAATTGAATATTAGATCATCATCAAGTGTAAATCTTCGTGTTTGAATAACAATGCTTACCTCCTTCTAATGGCCCAGGTGCAATTTGATCAGGTGGGCTCATGACCAATACTGCCACAACCTTTGCAAAGATGAGCGAGAAGCAGGGGAAGATGGCACCAGCGATAGCAGCACCAGCGATGCCAGCAGCAATGAGTGGCCATTCAGGGCGCATTTGTCGAATGATTTTGCCGATGGGTGCCTTTTGCTTCATGCGCAATTTACGTTCTTGTTTCTCCTTACGAAGCTTAAGCTCAAAGGCATCAATGGATGAAACGGTGCTCATGCGTACAAGATGATCCGATTTGTTGTCCTTTTCAGCAGCTGCCAATTCTTCAATCTTCTTTTGTTGCTTGAGAAGTTCTTCAGTCTCCTTTTGCATCATGGCCTCTTCATCGCTGTCTTCGTCTTCATCAGTGCCACCCACTTGCTTGGTAGCGATTTGCTGCTTCTTGACGAGTTCAGAGTAAACACCACCAAGCGCCAAGAGTTCATCATGAGTTCCTTGCTCAACGAGATCGCCCTTGTCCATGACAACGATCAAATCTGCATTTCTGATGGTACTCAAACGATGAGCGATGACGATGGTCGTTCGATCAGCAGCAGCGACATCGAGAGCACGTTGAACAAGACGTTCAGATTGGGTATCCAAAGCGGAAGTAGCCTATACAAAGACAACATTTGATAAGTATACATGATGATATGCAATGAAATTTGAATGTGTATCTTACCTCATCCAATAACAAGATGCTAGGATTCTTTAGAATAGCACGAGCAATGGCAACACGCTGCTTTTGGCCTCCAGAAAGCATACCTCCGTGTTCGCCTACGAGGGTATCATAACCGTCCGAGAGCTGCGAGATGAAAGTGTGGCAGTTGGCTTTCTTGCAGGCTTCAATAATCTCTTCACGAGGGACATCTTCACGATCCACGCCCATAAGAAGGTTCTGGCGGATGGTCATATTGAATAAAACAGGTTCTTGGCTGACGACACCAATCTGTTGTCGGAGCCATTTGACATTGAGGTTCTTGAGATCATGGCCATCAAGCGTAACTTGACCAGCGAGGGGGTCATAGAAACGCTGAATCAATTGGACACTGGTGGATTTGCCGGAACCAGAAGGACCCACGAAGGCTACTGTCATGCCAGGCTTGATCTTGAGGGTGAGATCCTTGAGAATGGTAACATCTTTTCAAAGTGGCATGTGAGTTAATGGTGTATGCTCATGCTGTGTAACAAAGGTGTTTCGAACATACCAGGTCGCGTAGGATACTTGAATTGGACATTCTTGAATTCAATTTCACCCACAACGGTGGCCGGTTTGATACCGCCTTCATTGTCGACATCGATGGGAGGAATGCGGTCGATGGTGGAGAAGATCTTGTATGCAGCGCCACATGCAGTGGAAACAGCCGAAATGTTGGTAGGCAATTGCATGAGCGCCTGTTGTACATGAGCATGGTGAGTCGATCGAATGCTGTAACGTCTCGTGTCAAGATACTCACCATAGCACCAATGATCATTGAGAAGAATGACATCAAGACTTGCTGTAGACATTGGAAGGATGTGAAAGGAGGAAGAAAGAAACAAAGAAATCAATTCACATGCGGATTTGAAAGGGAGGAAGGTGTCAACCTACCGTGCCAGTCATCTTGCCTTCGGAAACGAGCTTGCCACCATACCAAAAGGATAAGCCATAGGTACAGAAAAGGACAAACAAAAAGAAGCCAAACAATACTAAGATGATGGATGAGACAACAGGAAAAGAGATGCGAATGATGAATGACACTTACATCCAAGGGATACACCACGTTTGACACCTGTTTTACGTGCATTGACAAGTTGTTTGGCATAGAGGGCGGCAAACCGTTCTTGCAAAGAGAATGAATACACGGTACGAATACCATACAACACTTGCTCGGCTGTAGCACCAGCTAACGCATACGAGTTTTGTGCTTCAAGGGTAAACTTGGAAATCAACCATCCGATGAGACCTCCAGTGCCACCCAAGATGGGCAACAGGGCAAGAATGATCACCGCCTAGGAAGGGAATGAGACGTAAGACATCATGTTTTTGCTAATGTGTGTTAGTATACATACGAGATTCCATCCTATTAAAAAGAATGTGTTAGTCCATATCATCAAGTTGTAATAATTGCTTCTTGCTGCTAACCTTTTACAAAAGCAATAATAAAGCCGGCAATAAAAGCTGCAATGGCAGTCAATAGTAGACCAAATTTTTCAGAGATGCTGTAAGATAGGAGATAGGATTAGAGGGAATACATCTAAGAGGGATTGCACGAAAAACTTACCCATCTTGAATGAGTTGTGTATCGGCAGCGAGACGAGTGGTGAGTGAACCTTCTTCAGCTTTGTCAAACCAGCCCATATCTTGGCGACAAATGCTATGAACATAAAGCTCACGAATCTAGGTATGTAACAAAAAAAAGTATAAGACTCAAAGATTCATACGTAGTTAGGATGACTTTTTTTCTTACCCGTCGAGTTTGGTTTTCTCCTGTCATGATCCAAAAGGACTGGGCAATGTATGCAGCAACAAGGGTGGCAGTTCCAAAGTACACAAAAATGAGAACGACATCGTGGGTGGCGCTCACCAAACTTTCACCAGCTTGAATAGCTTCAGTGAGCGTATCGATGAATTGACCAAAGATAACAATGATTGTTGGTTGTAAGGCACCAATACCAAGCGAGCAAATAGAGGCAATGAAGATCATCAACAAGTCGAGTTTGGTAGCAAATCTAAATAGTTTATAAATGGGAACAGATGGCTCCTTTTTCTTCTTCTTTTTCTTGTCGTCCGATTCATCCTTAGCAGTAGTAGTAGAGGGCTGGTGGATAGGAGACGTTTCTTGTATGGAATGTTTCTCATCGATTACACCTTGAAGCGATAGCTCAGATTTCTCTCTGATGGTCACTTCTTGGATTGTCGATGTCGAATGTGACGACCCTGTAGAGGCCGCCCGATGAGACATGTTGTTGAACGAGTTTAAAGTGTTTTGCAAATGGGAATCAAAATGATTGTGTACGTGCTCCTTTATATACCATCGGCTTCGTGACCAAAAACAACCATTAGGACCGTACACAGCGTAAATGGGATCATATACGGTCCGAGTAACCGAAGGAAAGTGGCACACGGTTATTTCCATCATCATCACGTTGGATGTTGTTGTGCTTTTTCATCTTTCGGCGCATTGGCCGCTGCACTAATACAACACACGCATCTTAAGACTCAATAGCATCTACATATTGTATGTATGAGATGCATCATGTAAAAAAGTGCATTCGATATCATAGTGTAATCAAACATAAGAAAATTGCTGTCTAAGGACAACTTCTTGATCCATAAGCTTAGAGGCAGATTGCCGAGATGGTTTTGATTGGAGGACAACTCACGGGCCGAAAATCGTCTGCATTAACTGCTGGCCGTTCTCCCGTGCAATTACCATTGGCCAATGTTGGGCACTTGAAAACTCAGCGTCGAAAAACCAGAATCTCGTGTGTGGATGTTAACAGCATTGGCTTTTTGCTGGCAAGTATACATCCCATTGCTTTGGTAAAAAAAAGCTTAGCTTTGACAAAAGCATACCTGAAACCATATCAATGATGCAAGTTGTATGTATACATTCCTGCACCAATGTTCGGCTTTGCATGTTCTAATGCATGCACCATCACCACCATCAACACCGACACCAATTACAAGCATACTACACATCATTGGTGATAGTATACTGCAAGGTTGCTATGGCTGATTTGGATAAACCTACAAGCGAGCGGATCAGGCGCCGAGTGCTGGATTTTGTTCGTGTGATTTACTCAACGTGCTTGATCCCCGGTATTCTGTTTTTATCTTTTTGTGCCATACGTATCATAACACACGTGCTTGTAGCCAAACATCTCGGTGGCCGATATACCGGACAACGGGATCTACGTAGTAGGATGCGCGCAATTTCCATTTCCATCCACTGCTATCCAACCAGCGTCTCACGAAGGTGAATGCTGCCAAGCATCCTTGCCCCTTTCTTTACCAAGAAGTCAAAAGCGCATGCAAAGGAGTATTACCATCATCATGTTAATAGGCTCAAGACCACCTAAACCATTGATCTGGGTTATAAGGATAAAGGCTGTGCGTGGTATCTTGTACGTTACTATTATAAGCCCATTGCCGCCGATTCGTTGAAATTTGAAAGCGTGTGCTCACGTAAATATGGTTAAACATTTAAGACACATATGCAAGGTAAAAGCTTCATATCCATTTTGCCCGCCATTTCATCATGGATCGGCTGTTATCTCTTAAATCGTTGTGATGAAACACGTAAATCAGGTGCTCTCTCTTGCTAGTAACACGGTAATTTGGAGCCAACTGAATATAGTCATAGGGGTTTCCAACATTGAGTCGGCCTATAGATTAGGTTTTGGTGTGCACCTTTGATGCGCCATGAAGAAGCAAATGGCAAATTGGATATCATGTGACTTTAGCAAGTTGAGATAGAGGCCTTGTTGATCCAAAACCATAGACAGCCTTTTCTTTCGCTCTTTCGGTACACAACCACCCTTCTTACCTTACGGATTTTTTCAGCATCAAAGTGAGTTGAAGCCCCTGTTTACGAAATTTATCATACACGGGCTTACCAAAGTGCTATCAGTAAATGCTTAGCTATCATACGATGATACTACACATGCCTTCTGAAGTATTGCTTCATGTGTGTGATTATCTTGGGATGGATAGCATCGCACGATTGGCAGCAGCATCTAGATCTCTTCGAGAGGTGGTGTCAAAATATGACGTGTTTAGCTCGTCTCGTATTGACAGCAAGGATACCAAGATCAACGATGATACATTGAGACATGGTGTTTTGGCTCATGTAGCTTCCAATGCTTCTTTTGTCGATGTTTCCAATTCGAACGTCACGCACGTGGGTGTGTACCATATTATGATAAAATACACGCTGGTACGGTGTATTCGTATTACAGGATCACCTGTGAATGAGACTGAGCTTGCTCGCAAATTGATTATCTATTGCAGAAAACATCCCCTTAAGAGGCCGTTGACCCTTGAGCTTGGACGACCCAAAAAGCCTCTCAGTGATAATTTCGTCAAAACCCTCAAGAAAGCGTACCCAGCCCTCACTTTGAAACGATGGTTTTGCCCTTCTCGTCTTCTTGATATCGCCAAATTCCACCGATCAAGCATAAACGATCCCGACAACATGCCATGTCACGAATGCTTTGAGATAACACCAAGAGCAAAGTGTGATGCATGCAGCATGACAACTTGTCCTCGATGCATGAACGATATCTATTGCATTGGATGTAGCAACCATAAACATGGATCAAATCTCTCTTTCAATTAGCATCCCACAACGCTGGATTTGGACATGATCGGTATTTGGATCGCTCAATTTGCCGATATAAGCACGCATTCAGCAAGCTGATAGTGACAACGTCGTATTTAGTGGCGAAGTAGAGTTTTCTTCTTGTATCAGGTGCTTGTATACCCAAGGATCACTATATACAATAAACGCTGCAGAAGCATAGCGGCTTTGTTAGACTAAGGAAACGAACCTTGTGAATCGATTGCCATGCATCACATTACGTTGCTATGGCTTCATCCTATGGCCATTGTTTAAGGGTAGTTTGTATCTCGACAACTATCATCGAATTGGCCAGGGATGAAAAATTGATCATCAGCATTAACCGGTTGCGGTTAATTTGAGAGGGTTAAGGGCTATGTGTATACAAAAGTCAGCTCTATAGAAAGCTATATCATCTACAATGGCATGATTCCTGCATCTGTCACTCTAGGATACATTACCTTTTCCTGCCGTTAGCCTCTTATCAAGATCTTTTTTACCGCACAGCATAGACAATGTTCTTACTATTGAGTCTAATGTTGTGTGTGTCGAGGAGAGCCCAAAAAAAGGGGTATTACCATGAAAATGGAAATCATGAATCTGCATAATGCTTCATCACCTTCCCAAGAAATCGAAACTAAACTTGGCTAAGATTACGGCGACTAGCAGAAGGTTTAGAACTATATGTGGGTGTTGGGCTTGGCCGACATGAGTAATACGGAGATGACGATCTCAGCACCACCACCACCACCCAAACAAGCATTTAATTTTACTACAATAATGGTAAGCGACTATCGATAGAATCGATATGAGCCTATTTGGCATTGGTAATATGGTGCGAAGATTACTGTGATATGTATATCTCTCTCATTGTATGAACCCAAGGTTGCCACCACCACCACCACCATCACTTGTGTTTCCAATGTAAGACAACAAATGCATGTGCACGGAGGCACAAGCCGAGCCGTAGGGTGGGCACAGATGTTGCCCTAACTTTACCAGGCATGTTGTGTATCACCTCTATGCGTACTACGTATTGTTTTTTCTTGGAGTAAAGCGTGTATACTAGGATGTTGTAGTGTGATAAAGCAAAGAAAGGAGAAGGCATGGCCATTGCGCCGGTTACACTGCATACTTCGCTCTCGCCCCTTTGGGAACCTTAATTTTTTCTTTTCAATGGCAAGATACTACCACTCATTATCATGTTTGGAATGGTTGGATGGGCGGGGTGCATCTTTTATGACATGCTTACATAGCAACCACTTGCGTTCAAGATATACCAATGATACCGCTCTCTCTCTCTCTCCGATGGTTGATCTGCAAGTATTAGTTCATTTCCCCGCATCGTGCGTTATGTGTTACAAGATGCGTGCTAGATGAGACACACACGACACACATGGGTATTGTGGTCGAGCTAAGTGATGAGATAACGAAAATAAAGGGGTGGGGACATGTTTGGAATATCAACAAGGGGAAACAAGAAGGGGGGGAAACGATTTGATCAATTTTATTGACAGTATCCGTCATTGATTTATCCATGGTAATGGCATGATTGATCAACATTGTTGTAGTAGATGAGGTCTATCATTGTAAGCTATGATGGGGTTTACTCCTTTCAAGTGACAAAGCACATGTTTGATGTACATGACAGCTATTGGAATGGGATAAAGAGTGAGTGTCAAATGCAGATCGATGAATGGGAACAAAAGTGATGCAGCCAAGGAGGTCTCTCTTTTCCTTGTTGCATCGGTTTTGGTCTTGTGTTACCATATTGTCACTTTCTTTGTTCACTTTTTACTTTTAAAACCTCTCTCTCGCCTTTGTTTCTACGCAACCTTCTCTTTTCCCTCATTGCCGCATCCCTTTTATATTCTTTGTCTTAATTCAACATGATTGCTAACAGAAAACGTTCTAATGAGGACGGCATGTCACCTTCGTTGACCAGGTACGACAAACTACACACGCACACATACGCACACACGGCCGTACTTGTCAAACTCTTTCTTACACACGCACACACACACACACCTTTCTTTGTTTCCCATATGCTAGCGTATCGTATAACCAAGGACACAAATCCCGTCGACGAAACATTGACAATGATGCTATGTATGAGAATACAACTACACAGGTGAGTCTACAATTCCCTTGTTTGGTATATTCTTTTCTTCATTGCTGATATACCAGTTATTCTCAGATTGACAGGTATAAGTCGCGCATGATATCAATACAATCCACAAAGGCTCACCACAGTATCAGAAGCCCACCTATGAATGATGGAGAATCAAAGATGGCTGAAGTAACGAAGCACTGTCATTCTTGTCACACCACTGAGACACCCGAATGGCGTAAAGGTCCCATGGGTAAGAGGAACAAGCTCTACTAGTCAAGTCTTGGCTTGGCTGAAATACATAATTCAGATCATTTGAGTAACATAACAATGTTTTGTTTTTCAAGGTCCTCGCACTCTTTGCAATGCATGCGGATTAAGTAGGTTTTATCCTATTCCTTCGACGTTGATATGAATGCTTATCACATTGTTTATTAGTTTGGGCCAAATTATCGCGCAATCAACGTGATGAACGACCAAGCAAGAATCGTAGACCTTCAACACGATCCCCGCGTTCCGGAACTTGCTCACCGAAACAGCGCGGTAAAACTGTAGACCAGGCAACGTTATCTCCATCCACACCTCCCTCCTCATCTTCTTCCTCCCCAGTACCTGTGCCATCCTCACGAGAACCATCTCCTGTTGATGTTCCTGCTCCTCCTCTTCCTCCCTCTTCTTCTTCTACTACTACTACTAGTACCACGACACCAGACCACTCTGATACCACACATCATCATGCTGTAAACAAATGTGCATTATCGTTCTTATTGAGTTGAATATATGGAAAACTTGCAAAACGGAATGATGGGGGTGATTACATTGCACTTTGATATTGTGCTTGTACACTACGCTTGATTCGGAGCATCTCCTTGAAGGTATCTTCGTTGCCATGTTGTACTTCAAAGTCATGCCATGTTTGCCAAAAGCTGGGTTGATTCTGTAGATGTAAAAGCATGGCTAGTTAGTAATCAAGGGGAGAGGGAGAGAGGGAAAAAACTTTATCGTACCTTGGGATCAAAGAATTGAGATGCGTAACCGTAAATAGCTCTTGCACGATCAATCTCACCCAACTTTCGTTCCAATTCTGCATACTTGAGACACATGGGTCGTACATCCTTGTCTGGCAAAGCTTCAATGGCACGTTCATAAATTTCACGAGCTGCCACAATGCCAAATGATGCTGTGGCTTTGGCAATGTAGTAGTTGAACATCTACACATAAAGTTTGTTAGTCATGCGTATCCCGTTACACCAGCAGATGGTAGACATCATGGGTCTCTTACCTCCAACCGATCCTCATCCGAGACTGCTCTAGTACCCCGATCATAGATACGCATAGCATGACGAGCAAGGCCATGGTCCTCCTCCAATTTACCATACATGAGAATAATAGGTTTGGCATACTTGGGTGGACACTTGTCAAGTGCTTGTTCGAAAAGATCGCGGGCTCTTTCCAATTTGGAACCACCCTATACAAACAATCACAATGAGTATACCAACACAATACCCAGCAACGTGTATACTTACATAACGCTCCATGAATCGCTGAAGATAAATGTTCCATAATTCAAAGGCAATGGGCCATCCAAAGATCTCGATACCACGCTCATACACCTTGAACGACTCTTCATAGTAATGATTCTCCTCAAGGAATTTGCTGTAATTGACGACCACTTGTGGATTGGCGATACGTAGATCCATGATCTTATCATAGACAGCTTTGGCACTTTCCACGGTACCCACGCTCTCTTCCAGATCCACATAAAAGCCCCAGAGTGTCATGCTCTTGAATACACGTTGTTGAACAGGCAAAGATTCGTCGTGATAGTTGATTGTCTTTGGATTGACACCTGGTATACGTGGCACCACAGTAGCACGTGCCATGACCTCCAATGCCTGATCAAAGTTGTCATGCCGTGTTTCCATCTCTGCATATTCGCACCATACTTCAGCCAAATCATTGACAGTCTTGTAATTGACCTTGACAGCCTTGTCAAAGATAGCTCTTGCTCCATCGAGATCACCGCCTTCTTCATAAAACTTTGCAAATTTGACCCAAAGCTCGTGCAATTTGCCGTGGGCCCGTTTGGGATTGATGGTTTGGATCGCTTGGGTGTAAGTCTCCACCACCTTTTCCTTATTGTTGCCCCAAAGTGCCACTCGTTTCTCCCATTCCATCGCATTGTTGGGGTTTTGTCGTAACAGCACATCGTTCACCAGGAACGGTCGTCGATCCATCAATCGCTCATAACGTAACAAACGCATGTCCAAATCCAAATCCTCTTCTTCGTCCTTTTCACCCGCTGCTTCACGTTCAGCCGCCATTTCCATCTTCATTGTGATCATCTCTTCTTCAAATTCGGCATACGCATCAAAGATGGCAGTGAAATCACGCACCGTCAGGACTGTCGTGATACCTTCCTCGAAAATGTCACGAGCCTAGGATAAAAAGTCAATACATCATCCTATCTACCATCATCATGATCCTTGTCTCTCACCTTTTCCAGCTGACTCATGTTGATCCAATATGTTGCCAATCGACAATACAGCATACCAACTTGATCTGTGAACCGTTTGATGGCGCTGCGAATGATGGGCTCCACCTTGAGACTTTTGATTTCAGTCGAATGATTCACCATAAGCTCACAGAGTTCTTGCCATAGCTGATAATGTGATTTGCCGCGTGTAGACTGATATTTGGTGTCATTGACAATAGAGGCAAGTTTCAATGCTGCTTCATCGTATCGTTCTTGTTCCATCAATTGCTCAATAAAGGCTTCAATGTAGGATGGTTCCAACTACCAATATAAAAGGTCAATAAACCATAAACATGTATGAGATCCATTGTATCACTCACCTTGATATAACGACGTAGCACACGAATTGTAGTCTCACCACCTGCTTTCTCGGCAAACTTGGTGTATACTTCCCAGATACGTGCATGCTGGGTTACTGGAAGGGCGCGAAGAGCACGATCAAAGGTGCGGCGTGTCTTTGTAAGGCAAGGTTGTGACATGAGAAACTCAAGATAATCCAACCAAATTCGAGGCATCTACACACACACACACACAACATGTGTCAATCCCTATCACATGTATTCCATAGGTTATCATCATCATACCTTGTTGAGGAGGATCAAAGCGCGTTCGTATGCATTGTTGACAGCTGTGTATTGAGAAGCGTACTTTACGGGACTCACGCCTGTAAGCTTTTCACGACGCAAATCGAGGTAGTGCTTCCACAGCTTGTAGGAACCAGGCAATTCTCTTAATGCGCGTTCGTAGATGAATGTCAACTCTTGAAGGGTGCCAGTGCGTTTGTGATCAATGTATCGAAGCCAGCCGCGAAGCGAGTATGGATTGCGCAATAGATCTTCCTCATAGGGGATATCAAACTCGCCCTATAAAAGACGTATACAAGGTTAATCAGTCGAACGCTCTTGGGAGATGAATGGGTCAACGTACAATGGGCATATCCACGTCCTGGTCAGCCATCTTTGTTGCGTCGATCGGGGGGTGGTGGAAGAGGAGAGTGAAGTGAGTGAGTGAGTGAGTGAGTGAGTGAGTGGAGTGAAGGTAAAGAGCTGAGACCAAAGCGGTAAAGCCTGCACTGGAATTGAAAAGCCTCTTGTTGCATCTACTACAGCCATCAGCTGCTATGGAAAGCATACGCTAAAGTCATTCCTCTACATACAAAAACCTGTTGATAGTTCCAATGGACTACTATAAAATGATTCTTTGAGCATCAAATAAAGTTGATGGTACCAACTACCTCTTCTTCTAGATCCAACAGGCTATTAAGCAACCTTAACAGCATCACTGACAGCATTCTTATCAGTACCTTATGGGCTCATGCCTTCATCATCTTGCTCCTACGTGTTCAATGATACTCTTTTATACCCCTAATTACATATTCCATCGTCTTCACATTATCCATTATTACAGCATAAGCGGTCGGCTCCTCTACCTGGATCATCATATACTACATTGAGACAACAACCCTTGTTGCTGGGTATTGTATTACCATAGCAACCACACACGACCATAAAAACGAAGGATTCCATTACACACCATGGGGCTTATACAGGATCAATGGTTGCTTGCGACTCTAGATCCGCTTGCCTCCATGCAAAAGACATAAGGGAATGCTTTCTTTCATTCGCTCATAGTACTCTATAGAGATTCATCCATTGTATCGCACTTTCAATAAAGAACAATGAGGGTTTATTGTATCAAGTAAAGGGATCATCTCTAATGAATCAATACAATTTGGTAGGGTGCCATCCATGATATGAAAGCAGAATTGGATGGATGCAATGTGCGTTATCTTGTGTCCAATCTAAAATGAAATCGGGCAAATGTGTGTACAACAAGGACCTGCATGACGCGCGTAAAAGCCACAACAACCCCATAAATGTGATGTCAAAATAGGCCTGCATCTTTTTTTGTTTTCATACTATCACCTCCCTCCCTCCCTCCTTCCCTCCTTCCTTCACCCAACGCCCAGCATGAAGTTCATTGTGGAGCACATGGAAGACGGCATGCACGAATGGTGCACTCTCGAGTACCGCCACATGATTCAAATTTGCGGTGCAGACGACATGTACTTTTCCGGCTTGACTGAAAACGTCCTCAACAACTGCATGCCCGAAGACCTTAAGCAAGCTCATTGCCACCAAGAAGACGTTATGCACTTGCCCGGTGTTGACCCCAGCGAAGTATGCTTGTTGGATCCTTCAGCCACTGAACCCCTTAAGCCCGAGGATGGTGAAAAGTTCAAGTACATGTTGTTTGGTGGTATCCTTGGTGATGATCCCCCACGTGGTATGTACAAGGGAAGTGGGGTGATATGATAGCATAGATCATGTACGCTGACAGATCGATCGCTTGCTTAGATCGTACCAAGGAACTTCGTAAACTCGGCTTTGCTGGAAGACATCTTGGTCCCATTCAAATGTCAACCGACACCGCTGTCAATGTAGCCAGACGTGTGGCTGTGGATAAAGGTAAATGAGTGGAGGATGATCATGATCATACAAAGAGCACAATGACTCATTGAATGTAATCAGTGCCTCTTGATGAGATCCCTTACATTGATAGCCCCGAGATCTACTTTTCCAAGCATGAATCCGTCAACATGCCCTACCGTTATATCGCCATCACCAAAACCATCACCACCAAGGATGGTCAAGAGAAGACTATCAAGAAACCATTGATGCCCCCAGGCATGTTGGAGCTGATCAAAAAGGACAGCGAGCGTACTTTGGACTTTTAGACAACATATTCCACTTCATTCATTCATGTATTTATTGCTATATCTAACAACGACATCTTGTGCATACAAACCATGGTGATATGTTATGGGTTAAGGAGGGCAACATGTTACTATACATGGCATGAATTCAATGGTGGTACAAAGGAATCTGGTTTGCGCCGACAACATGTGGTGGTATACATGTTAGGGGAATCCTTCATTGTTTCAAGCCTGACGGACCCATAAGATCGGTTTATAACAAAGGAATGGGATAGTGGGTAGAAGATGCAAAAGAGACGAATGTAAACAATCAAGGACAGAAAAATGAAAAAAGCAGCTATCGATGAGCCTACCATATTTGTGATGAAAAGCTACCATGAGTCAATTACGTAGTTGGGGAGGCTTTTGTTTTGACATGAATGACGCTTTCGGCGGCACGGACTGACATGTCAACTTCCCAGAAAAGTAGAGTTGATCACATGGTGAGAGGCACAACACAATGGATGAATGACCCTTCATCTCCTGCATCACACACAAATGATATATAAAAGCTACATGAATGCTTACTTTTTTTACCTTCCGCTTTTTCACTTTTTTTTTATACCTTGTTGAAACTTTTACCACATCCGATATCCATAGCCCTTGATGGCAATCTGGCTATTTGAGAACCAACATTTCCACGAAGCCTGGGTCCCTTTTGACCGCAACAATCAAAGAAAACTCGAATTCGTATTCATACACCATGATTCCCTTGTGCGGCATCTGCTGGAAAAGACGCCTCTTGAAGAATTAATCCCTGACAACAACACCATTGATTTGGATGAACAAGACCCGACAGCAATAGACTTGGTGAAGCTCAATAAGCCGGATGAAGGTGGTGGTGGTGGCGATGAAGATGGAGATGATGGTCATGCGCTTTCGATCATGCTTAAGGATTCTCACTTTACGGAACCCATTACGGTTTACCCACACATGCTGCTCGGATGTTTGACCGACCGGGACATTTTGGTAGCAAGAACAGAGCATCCGGATGACATTGACAAGATTGTAAAATAAACTTTTGGATTCAAAAAAGAGGTGCATGGTATGTAAATGTTTTGTGCTCGTGGCAGGGGGCGTGGCGGCGGTGCAAGGAGGAGGTCATCATCATCATTGCTCAATAATGCCAGGTACAACGAGTCAGCTGGAAAGGATAAAGGGGGCACGCGTAGCATTCATTTTCTTTCAAGACACGAATCATATCCTCTTTATCAGCTGATATCACCGCATGGCTCAATGAACATAATGACGCCCCAGGACAATGATGACGAACAACACATCATGGCAGCACATGTAGTAGACCTCTCTATTATCATCATAACGGTAACGAGTTGTACGTACCCTGACCATAACAAGTTATTTGCTTGTATTAGATGTACATAAGAGCTGCTCATTTCACGCACGTTACGCAAATCAATGTGATCATTGCTCGACGTATCATAAGGTCTTAATTAATAACATCACACGTACACACATGGAAGAATACACCTTTTTTGCATTCTTGGCAAGTTGGTCCCAACTTGTTGTGCGTCAACCAATGCACGCCGTCGGTATTTGTAGAACTTTATGTTACAGCAAGCTGCTCCACAGCGACTTGAGGAAAGAACGATGTCCCCCACTTGGCTACATCCCATACGATACGTGATGCTAAACATGGTCCCATCATACACACATGGATGGATACACCATGGCATGCTGTACATTCACGTCTACAAGCATACATGTATTATAGGACTTGTTGCTGCAAAAGGATACAACAGCGATCATGCATCCTATGCAATGCCACTCATTGTTGCAGGACTTTTTGGAAAGGGTATGCTACGGCGATAATGGTTGCATCTCGGCAAATAACATGCGGCTGTGCTTGTGTGTGTGTATATGTGGCGTCCATCTTGTTGCAGGCATGCCACTATGACATCATGTACCTAGTTGCCCTGTATCACTATCATACTCGGCATATGCCCTCTTTTGGCTTTTCATGACAGCTGCGCCTAAGAGTAAAGTACTCCCCACTTATTGACATCCTTCTGCAGGTTTGCATTTACAATCATAGCTGAAAGCCCCATATCATTCCTGACAAGGCGCATTGTGTAAGGATGGCATCTATGTGTCCACGCACAGTTCCCAGCCAGTGTATCCACTCATTCACTCATGCATGAAACAAGAAATTAAGTGTATTGAATATCGAGGATATCAAGGTATGTTTTCTATGTAATCGCCTGAGACTAATCTAGTAGTAGAGCAATCCTGCGCTGTTGTAGAGCGTAAGGTGGAACGCTGAACGACGTAGCAACGCGCTTCTTTTCCCCAGCACACCTTTCAGCACTCGTAGACGACATTCCTTTCCCACCATTGGGTCACCCAATCACCCTCGCATGTCGTTCAATGTATACAGTAGCTCGCGTCTTCATCTCCATGTACAGCTCTTGGAAAGTCATCGCTTCGCATGCACCAATAAAACACCATCAGTTCAACTACCTGCACAGCCTCTTGATCGCCATTCTCACCATGTCTTTGACGTTGCCTTGACTCGGACTCGGCTTCAGCGACAGCTCACAACACCAGTGGTATTCTTGTATTCCAAAAGACGACTTGTACGTGGTAGCCCTGTTCATGCAGTTGACACGTGGGAGCTGCATTGATGGTACGCATCTCTATCTCATACTTGCATCATCTCCTTTCTTGGCAGTATATGGGTTAATCACTTTTTGTTGTTGCAGTTGTTTGATCACTTTTGTCATCAATCACGACCTCCTTTTCTTACATGGACAATAACGTCAACGCTGAATCCAAGCCTGTTGTCATCAACATCATCACACATTTCATATTTACTTGATTGAATAGGCCCATCAACGTCTTGTGGTAAGTCTCAAGGGCAATCTTTATGGTGGATTGAGATTACTCATCATCTACGTAGTCCTTGCATTCATTGTTGTCTTTGTGCCATTTGATTGTCTTCCTTGATGGATTCTTTGTGGTACGGATATCATTTCATATCATCCTCTTCGCTTGTATATTGATACGTCTTTGAGTAGTAATTGGTGGGAATGAGGATCTCGGTCAAGGAACATGAGCCAGGATAGACACAATTCTCGAAGGGATGAAGATTGGCATGTTGTCATGTATTCTACAAGCAGCACGTCAACTACGTTACGGACCTGGATACCTGCAGACCGACAAACGCACGTTGTATCGATAGGATGGGATATGGTAGTGCTGATGAAAAACGCGTGGTGAGGTTTGAGTCTTCTTCTGGTGTCGCGTACAAGGAAATTGTTGCCATGCAACGCTATTTGATCCCGCCAAGATTTGGAGTATTTTAGTACTAGACCATCCACCCAGAATGTTCGTTTTGCTTAATAAATTAGTAGCATTAGGCGTTGTCGATCACACACTTGCATTGCAAAAATCGATCATATAAATTGGATCACTTGAATGAATGCTTTTCCATGTTTGGCACTTTCCCATGCTTTTGGTACGGTTGATGGTAGCGGTTGTTTGGTGCTTTCCTGAATTGTTCAAGCTTGCCATCAACCCTGTTACGTCAAGGTCAATTGGTAATCTAATTTCCAAAGCCAGCCAGCAAGGTAGTTCAAGCAGCATAGATAAACGCGGGTTGTCTGCTCAGCGTTATCACCAAAGTGACGATAATGATAGCTTCCTCAAAGTTTCTCTCAGGATAGCTGGCAATTTTACGAGGTAGATTAGATAAAACTTGGGTCATTTTGTGCACGACCATTTTTGGATCATCTTGTGCAACATGCCAAACAAGAAAATGATGCCACTTGAAGGATGAGAAATTTTTGCTGCAATATGGCTGCAGTATGACGTATGCATTACACGTTGTTGTAGCATTTCCAGCCTCTCTTAAACGTGCTATTTGATACATGCAGGAGGGGTATTGAGGGAGATTTTCAGTACAGCGTATGACGCATGAAACGTTGCCAAGGGAAGAAAATTCAATGACTGAATGGATGATCATCGGGCCGCTATGGGCAACATCAATCATCCAGGGCTCCTAATCCGATCCGGAACCAAAATTGTCTATCAGATGAACCCTTATCATGATATGGTCCTCTCCCCCATGCATATGAACATGTTGATAGCACTTTATCACCACATCCATGATAAAGCACAAAGCATGCCAAGGATGGCTTCATGTCGGCAAATGTAATTACGTGGGAAATCGACATTTTATTATACCCGCTTTGATGCTCTTTTTTTTCCCATCCAAGGAGGAGGGGCGGTCAAGAAATTATTCACGCTGCGGATGAACCTATCAAAGATAGATGTCTAATCTTCGCGTGTCATTTTTGTTTAACCTTGGGTATTTTCATCCCCAACCATTGAATTCATGTCGCGTGAGCAACACAAGGAGACACATGCAGATCTACATCCTGTCACAAACAAACGATTGAGTGATTTTGACACCTTTTAAAAAGGGGGGAAAGCACGAAATGCGGGGGTGATTATGACAAATGGGACAATTGTTCAAGCGGGATGTCGTGTACATTTAACCCAATCACAAACGATAACCAAAGGATGACACATTTCACACGGCATTTTGCGTGAGCTGGATGAGAATGGCAAAACCTGGGCCAAAAAATGGGTTGATTTGTTGAAATGAAAAATGGCAGGCCGGCATTGGTCGGATACAAGTTGCTCCGGGAAGGGTAAACATCCATTGGACACCAATCATTAGTGAGCACGAAATGCATGTCTGTGTTTGAGTCATACAGCTTTCCTTAAATAGTGATTGTTTTTTAAGCACCAATCAACTGAGCATGTGAAGAGATTGGGAATATAGTTTATTTGCATATCAGATCAAGGATGGAGCTACATTGCAAGATGATCAATGTATTGACACTACTTTTAAAAGTGATGAAGAGAAAAAAAGCCAAGTCGAAGGGTATAGAATGGGCTAGAATGAACATGAATGATCGCGCCATGACCACATTTGAGCGGGTATTAGTGGATGGGGGACGAGATTAGCCGCTTCAAATTGCGTCATTGGAAACCAGACGAAAGCGGTGGAATTGGGCTGGGCTAGATGCACGCACACATAATCTATTTAAGACCATTGCCAAGCTCTTGTTTCGAAGGTCTTCCTTTATCGTTTGCTTCTTTCTCTTCACGCAAAAAGCTTTACTGCTTAATTATTTTATTACCTTTGAACCTCATCTCCAACTGTTAACCCCCTCCACCTTTGAGTCTCTTGTCATTGCGCAACATGGCCATTCATCATCTCGCCTAAGCAAAAGCGAAGGAGCAGCAAGATATCTGACATCCGTTCACTTGATCCCTTACATCAAAACAGCACGAGAAGAGCTTTCATAGCCCCTCTTTATTATTTTTTATAACGACTATCATGTTTGACCGTTATCGCATCATACGCCAAACGTTGGTGTTTTACCACAACCCATCCTGAACAACAATATCCCACTATCGTATTTATCCAACAACAAGAAGCAAATCAAGATCAAATCATCAATGACCAATAGTATCGAGCAACAACAAGAACAACACGATTACTGGACCGATCTGGCGAGCATCATGCTCGATCGCGTGATTGGCAACCAGTACCAGCTTCTCGAAGAATTAGGCCGAGGTTCCTATGGCGCCCTTTATCTTGGCCAATCAGTGGACAATGGCGAATACGTTGCTGTCAAAGTACTTGCCAAGAACGGTCTCGACCACCAACAACTCCAACTTCAACAACTTGAAGCCGACATCCAATCCGAACTCAAGCATCCTCATATTTTGGCGTTACAGCGTGTGATTCAAGAGGAGCAATACACTTACATGGTGATGGAGTTGTGTGACCAAGGCGATCTCTTTGATTTCGTGGTACGACAACAAGGCCCTATGGATGAATCTCTTGTCAAGAGCATGTTTATTCAAATCCTGGATGCTGTTGAGTACATGCACAGCAAGAACGTGTTCCATCGTGACATCAAGCTCGAGAACATTCTCCTCAAATCGGATGCTCTTACTTGCAAAGTAGCTGATTTTGGATTGGCTACACGCGAACGTCTTTCCATGGAATATGGTTGTGGATCCAGCACCTACCTTGCACCTGAACACTTTGCTGATGGTGACGACAAGGAGAACGAGGATGATGTCCCTTATGATGCAGCCTTGTCCGATGTATGGAGTTTGGGTATTCTTTTACTCGCCTTGTTGTATGGTCGTAACCCTTGGCAGGAGGCCACCTCCATGGATCACGCTTTCCTTGCTTTCAAGCGTAACCCTGCCATGCTCAAGGATCAACTCTTCCCAACCTTGTCCATGCCATGCCTTCATCTTTTGCAATCCACTCTTTCTATTCATCCTCAAGACCGTTTCTCTGTCTCTGAGCTCAAGCATCAATTCATGAACATCAAGCATCTCACAACCACCTCCATGGATAGCACTGTGGATGATAACCAACTTCGCTCCGCTGTCGACATTCCCGCTGTTTGTCACAAGCCTTCCAATCGTGCAAGCTTCGATTCCGCTATCTTCAGTGCTACTACTATGCCCACTGGTTCTTGGTCTGATATGGTGGAAGAAGATGAATTATGGGCTGAACAACACCATGACGACGATGCAAGTATGGCTTCCTCTCACTCTCACGCCTCTTCTTCTGCTCATGCCTATGATGATGACGACGAAGACGACACCGACATGTTTGTACACCAACACGAAAAGGAGTCGTGGTGGATATGATCGATCTTTATGCTTCCCCTCTTTTTACATAATCTAGTTAATAAAAAGTTCACCTTCGTTTTCTTATTCATTCACTTGTGTGTGCGTGTGTATACTATTCTAACTGCAACCATACGCAGGATAACATCATTGTGCTGCTAGTACTATTAGTCGGATTTGATACGATTCAAGTGCCATTTCTATTTACAAAACCGAGGATGGTGCAGCACCATCATGTGCTCTTTTCGTTAGAACATCATAAAGGCGGGAAACACGTGCACAAGTCCAAAAGTGGTGAAATTGAATTTGATGTTGCTTCACAGTCGAAAGAAAAACAAAAGTGTCTGTGCGCTTTTACACAATCTCGATCCCCCCCACAACATGTATTCTTCCAATGGTGATGTTGCATAATCATGGATTTTTTAATAACAGTAGTGCAAATGATATAAAAGAAAAAAGAATCATACAAAACGCAAAATGAAAAAGAAAAAGAAGCAGGATGAACATTTACAAGTTATTGGAGCAAGTGTGAGTGAGTGAATTGAGTGAATTGAGTGAGTGAAAAGACCAACTAAGACTTGGATGTGGGAGGGTTGGGGGGGATTTGGGTATGTTGTGATGGATGTTGGAAGAAGCAAAAGAAGATCGGATGATGTATTTGTGCATGTTTGGTGAGGATGAAGGAATGGAAATGCCACTAGTATGCTGGTCGTTTACCCTTGTCACGACGTCCTGGTGGTGATAATGACCGCATGATACGAACAGATTGGCGGTGGTTGTTTACGGCTCGTTTCCTTGCCGGTTTATCATCATCATCTTCGTCACTCGGTGATTTTGTTGATAGTTCTTGTAATGGTGATCGTTCAGTTGGTATGGATAATATCTTCTTCGTGAGGTGCTTATGGCATAACCATTGTCGTGGTGGACGATTTTCATCTTCGTCGTTATTAAAAGGTCGTGTGGATGATGTTTTCTCCTGGTGGTGGTGATGATCGTCATGTAATAACATTTCCATATTGTCGTCATGATAGATCTCATTCAACCAATTTCCTGATGTATCCAAAAACTCATCTTGGTCTTGTTCGTCGTCTAGGTCGGCGAATAGATCATCGTCGTCATCATCGTTATTGTCAACGATCGTATCCAGGCGACGACGGCCCTCCATCCACTCATCAAATGTTGCCGTAGCTTCATCTCGTTCAGGTGATGCATCCGGTGATGAAAAGCATATAGCATCGTCCTCCTCGGATTCCATTTCTTCATCTGATAGGTTGTTGGACTAAATAAAAAAAGACAACAATGAGATACATTTGCATAACATGCATACCAGAGCACAATGAAATATTCTTTGTTACCTCCATGCGAATTCGTTGTGTGGTACCCAGCACCATCGATAAGTTGGGATGATCTTGTTTGCCATAGATAGCACGATCCATACGATCTTGTAATGATTGCTCTGGTCGTTTCAGTTCACATGTAAAGTATTTGGTGCGACCATTATTCACACTGGTTGAATTCGACGACAATGTGAGCATTGACAGGCTTGTGCAAGGTGTGAATGTGTATCGGCTGGAGGATACGGGTTCGTCGTCGACATTGCGTTGTTGTGATGGTCGTCTTGTTGCCATTGTCAAAGTAGGAACGGGAAGGGGGAAAGAGTGTCGAGTGAGAAAAAAGAAAATGGGGTCGGGTTGTCTCTCGTTCTAGCCTACCCCTCCTCACACTGAGACAATTTTCAAACTCCATCCAATCATCGTCTACCTCTCTCACCTAGACACGCTCCATCTTTGGAAATTGGCACCACAACACGGTAAAAGACGCGTCTAAAGGTAAAAAAGTCTATTAGACGTGTTTATTTCATTATTCACGCGTCATGTCCCATTCATCCTATCCATAGACCCATGCTGATTAGCCATGTCGATTTTCATGGCGTGAACCACCCCTTCCTTCTTCAAGTACAGCACTCTAAAGCTATGCTTTGGATACGCGTCAGGAATAATCCTCCCCCCTTTGAATATAGAATGAGTGGCATCAACATTGTCATGGATACAATAAATAGTGGCACATGAGATTTTGTATCTATGATGGGGGTTTGCAATAGCAAGTGTGTACAAGTGTTGGTAGAAAAAAGAGAAAGAAAAAGAATGCAGGGCGAGGAGGGGAAGGTTCAATGTGCGGAGGCTTGAGAAGCAGTCGTCGTGACGCGATTCATCCTCAGTCAAAGGATGTGTGTGTGATGTGTGTGCGAGTATCAAATGGGGGATAATAGCACCATCGTGCTCCACATCTTTCCGCACAACGCATGATCCTCCCATAAACACCCGTATGCATCTCATTTTCGAGAGGTATTCTTCACACATCATCATCTTCGTATTTGGTCAGTGTGAGAAATTGGGCAAGCAGTACAGCCAAGGTGATTGCCTTTTGCATATAAAAAGTGATCGACATGTCAAGTAAATTTGATCGAGGATGACCTACAAGAGGAGGCTGACAATGGGGATATACCAGCACTGGAGGTTTCCGGATAATCAATTTGGCAATGACCAATAAGCAATAATAAAAGTGACACGTTGAGTTTGGTATTATGGCCATAGTTTGGAAACATGAGAAGGATATAGGAGTGGGCTAACAATAGCAAATGTGAATATACTTATCATCTAGCTCCAAGGCACACAGATATGGTTTCTAATGATAACAAGCGAGATAAACAAGTCGACGGAGTATGTAGCCAATCAAATTGGCAATGTACTCGGTATTTTGTGTAACTCAATTGCGCTTGTGTCATTTTTAACGTCATAACCCAGTATTTGGTTCGCATCATCGTTCAATGCTCTTATGTGTAAAATACTCATACCAAGAATCATGTGCATCGTACAGCGATAATTATACAATTGTGTGGGGGACCTATGTGTGCTACACCTATTTTCATCCATTGTGCAGGTTTACAGCAAACAATGCAAGGATGAATGTAATGTTGGGAGTGATAACCAAAATGATAGTATAAACTGCCTCTTATAGGCAGTTGGATTCATGTCTTTTCCCACGGCAGGTGTAAATGCAAAGACCTCTTGTAATTCTTTTTATCATAATCAGGTGGGTGGACAAACAACCCATATGATTGCTTAGTATTTGTATCTTTTTCATGTTAAGCCAAAAAGTATACATTGTATTTGCACTAGCGAACAGGTGTACATTCATGCTCTCATTGGACCACTACCTTCGAGCGGGGCACTTTGTCTTTGCTGTCTCTATTCATGCTTGCATACCTAACTCCGAGCCACATGGTGTATAAAAGCAACATGTTTCTGGCATGCTGCATCAAATCTTTGTACAGCTTTCTTTTTCTCACACACGCAAACACACATATCCAAAATGACTTTCACTATTGAACCTATTGTCCCCAAACCTGAGCAATCGGGTGTTGACTTTGGTGCCATGATCCATGACCTTGACTTGGACAAGTTGACAGGTAAGGAAGCTTACATAGGTCTGTGCGTCATGAAGATGACTCACCACCAACATCCATTAATAGACGAGGATTTCAAAAAGCTTGAAGAAGCCGTTTACACATACCAGGTTGTTGTTGTTCGCAACCAATCCCATGTTTCTCCCAAGACGCAGTACGAGATCACCAAGCGTTTTGAACCTGAAGTTGACACATATGGCCACGGTGGCCAACATCGTGCTGAGCAATCTGTTATTGCTCGTGATTTATCACCCTTCCCTGAAGTACCCCAAGTCCAACTTCTTGGTCATGGTACCGTTCGCAATTATCAAGGCATTGAAGAACGCAAGTTGACCCACCCACACCACAAGGTCTTCCATCGTGATGTTTTATCCCAAGAAGATCAAGATGCCGGCAAGACTCGTTTCTACCGATGGCACATGGATGCTGCTCTCTATAAGCTCAATCCTCCAAAGGTCACCAGCTTGTTTGGTTTTAAGAACCCCGTATGTATGCATGATGATGCATTTATCTTCAGCCACAACTAAACTTTATCCTCCCTTTAGGAACCTCGACGTGAAACAGTTGTCTATGATGATGGCTCTGGTGATACCCTCGATGTTCAATTGGGCACCACAGCTTGTAAGTTTATTGATGGATGGATTATAAGGGAATGAGGGAATTGACAAGGGATGCATTTTATAGTCGTCTCGGGTCAACGTATGTTTGAACTCTTGCCACCTGATCTCAAGGAGTTGGCTTTCCGCACCAAGGTCAAGTATGCTGCCCATCCCTATCTTTGGATGTCCAAGGCCAAAGCACGCTCCACCGGTCTTGGTATGGTTTCAGAAGGCAAGGAACTTAAGCCTGAAGAATTGCCTCCTGTTGATGAAAAGGCCGTCAAGATTTACCCCATGGTATGTTTGGATAAGGATAAAAAGATGCATGGGAAAAAGGTATACTCATATAGAGACGTCTATGAATAGCTCTGGAAGAACCCTGTCACTGGTAAAATCCATTTCCAAGTACATCCTGCCGCTGTCGAGGATTTGATCATTGATGGCAAGCCCATGGGTGATTTGGAAAAGGTCCGTGAGTTCCTTTACAAGATGCAACGACCTGGTATCAACCCTGAGAATGTCCTTGCTCACGAGTGGAAGGATGGTGATATGGTCTTTTTCCATAACCGTGGTCTTTTGCATTCGGTTGTTGGTTGTCTTCGTGATGATGATGTTCGTATCTTCCACCAGTGCAACATGGCAAGTGCTCAAGATCCTATCCCTGTCACTGAAGAAGACTTCGCTCCTTATCGCACCCAAGCTTCTGCTGCATAAACAAATCATCGACACGCCATCCATTCCTCCTCCTCACGCACGCCTTCACCTCTTTCTTTGCATATCCGCATGACTCTTTCATCATTGTAATAAACAACTTTTGTCGTACATGTATAAACAAATACATACTTGGGTGTCTCATATGATGTCATATGGGGGTGGTGGCTAATGCATTGTAGCTCGTATTTTTACTGTTTGACGTATTATTCCCATCATATGCAAGTTGGTACATGTACAAGGCTATTAATGATTATATTTTATTTTCTCGTTCTACATTACAAACCTGGCTATAGAATAGGGAACATCAAGGATTGAGCTAGCAAGTCCAGGTCTACCTACAATAATGCCGTTTTCACTCGCTCCTCCAAATACATCAGGTAACGACTTTGCCTCCTGTGGCATGGCAACGCGATGTGTATCAATGGTATGGTCCTTATCCACAACACCAAATATGCTATCTCCTGTGCCCAATACTGGATGCTCGATTGGTTTCCGCTTCATGAACTATTCCATATATGAGTGAGATGATGGACATGTTCGATTTTCTATATTTCCTACCTGCACGATTTGTCCTACTTGAAGATCAGCGGTGGTGTCAATGGACATGTTACCACGAGATGGATCACCACTTGTTACACGATTGACTGACATCTATTTTTCAATTGTTGGTATATTCCTCGAGAGAGAATGAAGGATAAAAATATCAAACTTGCCTGTGATGGATCTTGAGTTCCTGGTGGATAGATGCCCAAATAGAATTCTTGATCCTTTGCAATGCGTGCACTTTGTCCTTGCTTAATCAGCTCCAACAACAACCCCGTGGCACCCGCTTGATCCAAATCCAGAATAATGTTGCCTCGGCACCTATATCCATTCCAATCCGATCCATTATTACTCTATAATGCCTCTTGTTTCCAATACTACTTACCTTGTGATGGTCATTGGCTCACCCAAAGTTTCCAATGATGGATGCTCAATCGAGATGTCTTGACCCATGTTGTTATCATATGCAGCGAATCCCACCATGCCAGCGCTGAGCATTTCTTGTTGACAGAATAGAGCAAAGGGATTTCCAGTGACAAAAGGAGTGGATGCACCAATGATACCAATCTTGGTCGATTGAGGGAAATGATGATCGAGGGAATGCAAGAGTTGATCGGGTTCATTATCGGATGCAACAAAGACGAATGATGGATGCTCCTTTTGTTGTTGTAATGTGGAAGGTAAGCGGAATTCTTGTGATGGCTTGCTGATAGATCCAAATTGGATCCACTCGCCTGTCAAGTCTTGACGTCCCCAACGACCCACAGAGATGTTGCGTATTTTATGCCGCTCAGGACTATCAGGCACATGAAACGGTACCACGCGTTCGTCACTTGTCGTCATCAAGCTGATACCATGCTTCACTCCTGGTACATGATCCACTACACATCCAATAGTATACGTCGGTCGTAGGTATTCAGCAATCGATCGCGTCACTGCTGTGTAATCGGGAAAGGACTTGGATACAAGAGCAACGCACACATGCGGTGGTGTTGATATACGTCCTCCATGAGCGATGCAGGCTTCAATTGTGGGTCCAGCTGTTGTCCATTTGGTCCAACCAATGCGTGAAAGCATGTCAAAGAAACGTTTGTGGAAAAGGTAGAGAGAGCCCTTGCATTGCGGCTTGACTTTCACACTCACTTGAATCCCCGAGCTTGGCTTGGACGCATATCATTTACACAACCCTCTGCACCTTGTGGTTACGTAGATACCCTTAATGCCACAATCCATTCCAACAATATGATTGAAAGGTTTTATATCATACATTAGAAACAACTATCGATATTGACAATTAAAAGATGTTCATCAAACATGTAAAGGGGAATAAAGACTATGATACAAGAAGAGGTTGTGGGATTTAAGCATAAGCGGCTCTCTGGGCCTCCCATTCAGCATCCTTTACGGCCTTATAGGTTTCAAAAAGCTTCTTGTCAAAGCTACTAGCACCATCACCGACACCGATACCACGAGAAAGACTTTCTTGTTCCCTCTGGATGGCATCATCAAAAGCGATAGCCTTCTGCTGCAGCTCCTGAACACGCACCATGTGCTCCTCGTCGAAGTTAGAACGACGATGAACAATGAGTCCTTGGTATTCTGGGATGTCAATGTTGTACTCAAAAGTCATAAGAACAGCACCAGCGACCTCGCCTTGAATACCAAAGATGGTGAAGATACCATGACAATGTTGGTGCAAGGGAATAGCAGCGAAACCAACAAGCTCATCGACACCGTTTGTCTGATCCATCACTTCAACGTAAAGTTCGACCACGTGATCAGGAAAGTCAAAGATCTCATCCCAAACTGCTTGGCTACCATCATCCTTCTTGACGGTTGTCTGGCACACGGTAAAACCATCCTCCTCGTTACGATAGGAAAGCTTGACATAAAGGTCATTGACGGCCATCGTCTTCAACATTAGCCAGGTGGCGAGCGGAGTGAACAGCAATCTTGAAATGATCATCAGCCATCTTGTGTGTAGTTTGTGATGTAAAAGAGATGAAATGAAAAGCTAACAAGAGGTTCGATATAATGCTCTTATATACGTTAGTTGGGTATAGCGTCTGGCGTGATGGATGAGAAGATGGGGGGAAGAAGGCGTGTTTGATTTCGGCCGCAACACCGATAAGGGCAAGAAGAAAAAAGGATGGGACCTTTGTACTATGCTTTCCAAGATTACCCCATGCGATCTTCTTGCAAAACCAATTCTTTGTTATCTTCCATTTTTACACAGTAATGTGAGGATATTGGCATCCTGCTGGTGGATGTTTCTATTGCTGATGTACAGGGTGTCTAAACAGCAACACCTACTATGAACCAAAATCTTGTGGGGGATACTGTTATCGACGGCACGCTATGTGGCTAAAAAATGATTTGCAATGCTACACGATGCTGTGCTTGATGATTTATGCATTGCATTGCATAAAATGTCAGCCTCGTTTATGCTATGTGGCGGAGTGACCCCATGCTCGGTTTGTATCCGAGACGGAATCTTGTATTATTTCCCTAATCATGTACGTGACCGATCTCAAAGTGGTTTACATTTACATTTGACTAGTGCTCTCGGAGCTACATTTCTTTACGGGTTTACGTTCATGACGTAGAAGATGTCAATCGTGCCTGAATACGTATACGTTTTAATAAGAAAAGCCAGCGCCATCATATAGCTCCCACCCTTTGGGAAGCTGCAGACGAAATGTTACACACAGGGTCTGACCGAGGTGTTCTGTTTGCATAAACACAAAGCATAAACCTCGTGTTGCATGTAGTTCAAGGCTGTACCATTGCATGTTGTGCTTCGTGCAATCGCGAATAACCCTTGGGTTGCCAAGGCAACCAGCGGATTTGGCTTGGCTTGGAACAACCAAAACGTCAAATAAGAGATCAGATAACCATATCCACCACCAACAAACCTCTTGTATGACTAATTACCGATCTTTGTGCGTGCAAATACATAACAAATACGCGTCCACATTACTCGTCCTGATAGGCCGCCCAATCGCGTTCTTTTGGAGAACCATGCCATTGCTTTTCCCACGATTTTGCAACCTCGAATGTACCCTCTCACATGTACCAGCATGGAACACACACTTCTAGTTTCAGTAGCATGAACAGCAACTAGAGACATGGTTACAAAAAGCACTTTTGGTAGTAAGTATGGGTCCGTAATCATAGCAACCACGAAGATGTACAGAATGAAACTATGAACTTTATATGGCATCGATATTCACAAACAACATGGGATATAAAATGGGCAACTAGCAACAGCAATTCATTTTACGAATTCAATGTAGGTGATCTCCTTCATATTCCACAACATAGACCTCCACATATTCGCTGAAGCAAAAGGAGTTAATCAGTATGTCATGAAGAATGCGTCAAGTTACCAAGTACCTGTAGCATCAATAATCCTGTAATCAAGGGGTACATGTCATCCAACAAGGCAACTAGAAGCCGAAATTTCGCAACCTTGTTGAAGCGTCTCAAGAAGTGGCGGATCCAACTGATGGCGTTCTAAGCTAAATGTATGTACATCCATTGTCAGGTCAAACTTTGACAAGCACATTGAATAAACCTTACATCACAAAACAAGCATGCCCGATAATGGCGTTGGCCCCTTCCGCGTTCTTCCCGTGCCTTTTTTGGATGAAGCAGCTCCATGGTTACAATGTATCCAATTCCTTCCATCCCATATACCAAACCAATATCCATATCCATCCCATAAGAATCCATATGTTTCGAAGCAAAAAAGTTGCTACACGTAAATAAAGCTGCATCCATACAATGGCTATCTGCTGTCCACGTAAACAAGGCTGTAAGACATGTTGCTGTAAATAGATAACGCTGTTTGAGACAATGAAGCGAACAGCAATTGCTGGAATGAATGCTGTTACGTTTGGTCGTGGCAGATGGGTGTGCAAAACAGTGTGTAGCATCAAGGAATGCCTGTGTTGTAGCAGAGTGGCACGAAGGCTGTGTCCACGCCATGGACCTGCCATTCAGTCAAAGACAATTGGATCAAGGCAGTTGTGGGTTGACATGATGGGTTGAAGCAGGACAATCGTTCGCAGGTAGTAAAGTTGTACTTGAATGGGGCAACAGTTGAGAATGGGAGGAAGAGGCAAATAAGCTGGGAGTGGAAGAGCTGGGAAATTAAGTGAATTGAATGGTACTTCTTTGCTTGTGCGTAACTCGGTCAAATCCTATTGGATCAAGAAAGTTGAAGGATGGAGGTGTTGGAATGGAGCAGGACAACCGTTCACATGCATTGGATTGGGAAAAGAAGGTGATTGAGAGGAATGGGCTATCAAGTGGCAGTTTACAAATTACTTTGCAAAATGATTTCTCTGAAAAGGATGATACTTCTGTGCTTGAGCGTAACTCGGTCAAAACGTCTCGGATCAAGAAAGTTGAAGGATGGACATGCTGAGCTGGAGCAAGGCAATCGTTCACATGCATTGGGTTGGATAAAAAAGCTAAATGGGAGGAATGGGCTATCAAGTAGCAGTTTGAATATAATCAATCAGATTAATTTTTGTGATTTTGGATGATACTTCTGTGTTTGAGTGTTTTTCAGTCAAACCAGCTCGGATCAAGAAAGTTGAATGATGGAAGTGTAGGTCTGGAGCAGGACAATCGTTCATATGCAGTGGTTTGGGAAATCATGGCGAATGCGAGGAATGGGTTATTAGCTGGCAATACATGAACTGGAAATTGAGTTTGTGTATCTATCATGCATTGACACTTCTTGGTTTCTCAGCTCTGTTACACACGCAAGTCCTTCTGCATCTATGGCTCTACCAGAGTCAGCTACTTCACAATGAACAAAGACCACCTTTCATATACCATCACGCTTACATCATATGTAAAACATAAAGACGCCTGTATCTCCAAACTTTACAATCAAACGTGGGGTTTTTATTAGAGCAACCTGTTCGTCGGGGTCAAAGGAATCTTGTGTGTCAGTTTCACCTTCATCGTGGCCAATCCCAGATTTCGCAATGTCGCCACCAGCCAAAGTGGATCCAGGGGTCGACCTCTTTCGACGACGACGACCAAAAATATATTTTTGGGTTAGTTGCGACATTGAACGTGAAACTTTCACACAAGGTGCTGTTGGCCAAGCCGAGCACATTGCTCTATTCAAAACCCCACGTTTCATTGTAAAGTTTGGAGATACAGGCACCTTTATGTTTGTAAGCGTGATGCTATATGAAGAGTGGTCTTTGTTCATTGTCAAGTAGGTGGACCCTGACAGAGCAAAAGATGCAGAGGGTCGTGTTGTGTAACACAGCTACTTTGCATAACTGGAAGGATTGATGAATTATACTTTATGTGTATCCACAATAGTCCATATATTGCACGCTATCAGCCATTTTCTCACAATCAGCGTTGTTGCAAAATCCACTGCATGTGAACGATTCCCCTACTCCAGTCGAGCGTTCCCATCATTCAAGTTTCTTGATCCGAGCCGATTTGACTGAGCTACGCTGAAACAGCAAACATGATAATTAATGAATCGCAGGGTCTGCGAATGTCTCCGTCTTTCAAACTTTTGGAAGCTCCCATTCCAAATTTTCAAATGAAGCGCGAGGTTTTGTTAAGAAAAAGTTGATCAGCATGCTCGAGAGCACCATTCTGACCAATTTTCAAGTTGGAGGTGAGCAACTTCGGGGCGGTGGGCCGTCCGCTCTTTTGTTCCTGTCATCCACCATTTGGATCACCCCGCATTTTAAATCTTCACAATGAAGTCTGCGACTTTTAAATGAATGAAGTTGATCAGCATGACCCAGCGAACCTTCTGACAAAGTTTCATGTTCGAGATGGGGAATCCCAAGGTAATACATACTATTTCCATAGATCATGAATCCGGCGCTGACCTGCTTTCCGACCTCCATAGTAAATCCCACATTGTACCCTCCCATTCAATTTTTTCAAATGAACATGAGGTCTTTTTTAAAACAATAGCGATCAGCATGTCCTCGAGCACCTTGTGTGAAAGTTTCAGGTTCGAAAAGAGCAATCTCAATATCAAGGTTTGATGTACAGTGTTCATGCATTTGTAGGGCAGCCCAACCTACTTTAATTTCCACTTCTTCCACACCCACTTTATCTTCTCTTCCTCCCATTCTCAACTGTTGGCCCATTCAAGTATACAACTACCACCTGCAAACGATTGTGCTGCTTCAACCCATCATGTCAATCCTACAGCTGCCTTGATCCGATGGTCTTTTGAGTGAATGGCAAGTCCATGGCGTGTACACCCCACTACAACAACACATGAGTTTCTTGACACCACACCTTCTCTTGTACTCCCCTCTGCCGCGACCCAACGTAACAGCATTTGCCATTAGCGAGGTCTTTACCTCATTGTCTCAAGTTACTTGCAGCTACCTGCCTTGCAGCCCTTTTTCACGTACACAGCAAATAGTCACTATATAGAAGCAGCTTTATTTACGCGTAGCAACTTGCTTTCAATACATACGACTTCTTATGGACATATGGATATTGCTTTGGTGCATGGGATGGAAGGAACTGGTTATCAATTGGGTTGGTTCCCCTTTGCCAATTTGGAGCGCGATGCTTAGTTTCGATGGCACCCTATCAACCACACAAGCAATCTTCACCTTGCTGAACTACGATAGAAAATGACAAAGTAAGAGGTAGACCAGCAGCTAGATGAGCAGCGATCACAGAGGTTCCTTCTATCAAAATATAGGACTTGCAATGGCCATGATGGATGGTTGCAATCAAGTGCAGTGATGAGAATCTTGGAATGTTGCTTTGGTTGCTAGGCGCGTCGTCAATAGGAACCATGAATCATACCCTATGCATACGGCTGAGGAGGAGGATGGTTCGGATTGAGGAGAGGGCTTGTATCTTTGACGAAAGGAGGTGTTTCACAGCTATGGATGATAC